TTCACTTTGACTACTGCTCGTTGTGTGACAACTACCATCATCAGTGTGCGCATTGCGCCTAGTTTGGTGCATGGCTGGTGGAATCCGACATAGCGGCTGATGCATTGAGCACGTCAGGTAACACCTAACGCATTGAAAATGACACAACTATGACTTGGTTCGATTGCAACAAACCTAATGGTAGTGGTACCGAAACATTCGGGTAACCGGAGTAAGTGCCAATTGATGTTTTTGGCTCCAGTCAGTCAAGTGATTCAATTGCAATAAAATTATATACGTACGGTGGAACTCACTTAGTACGTACCCGGGTACGACATACACCTGCATAGTACGGTCCTCTTTTGTCGCACGGATTTTCCCCCCATAAGCGCATACTCAGATGTGTACGGATAAGACTGCTTCCTTCTGTTCATGTGATTCATTGTCGCTGTGTTACTGTATGCAGATCTCACTCAGCTCTGCTCTCCGAGCATTCTGCTTCCAACACGCCGTGACTTCCCGAAAGGTATGTATGGTGGCTAATAATGCGAGAGTCTTTACAGATTCCAGTGCTCTCATGCCTTTTGCAAGTTCCTTTTGTAAGTCAAATGGAACATGTTGTGGTCAATACTTCACGAGTAGTGGTGCGAGAATATTCGGGTGTCAAATTGTTCGGAATTGATGTATGATAACGGAGAATATACCAACATGTGAATCACTTGGAGATATGGTTTGCCAGGTTCTGATCACACTCACTAGGCTAGACCCTCTCGAATATTGTACAACAGTTCTGGCCCAGGAGTAGTAAAGGGCACCGGGCAAGCTATGTCGGGACCTGCTGTAAAGTCCGCCACACACGAGCTGTACGTCTTATCGGATGGGATATACCCCTGATATTGCTGATAACGAATGGCCCAGTTTCATTGTACTGCTGTCCGCGATATTACAGTCGTCCCTCTCTAATCCGGCACTTTATAATCCAGCACCCTCGATAAACCAGCACAATTTTCAGTAGCCAAATGTCCTCTTCATGCCCATTGCAGCAGTAGATCATATTTGTTAATCCAGCACCCTCCCTAATCCAGCAGATTTCCGTGGCACAAATGGTGCCGGATTATAGAGGGACCACTGTATATCCTTAGTGGCATTGTTAACTTTTCATTGCTTGTGGGGACGCATGGATCATACGGCCATCCAACACCTGCCAATCGGAACCCACCAACAACGCTGTCAGTTGGGTTGGACCACAATCGGTTGGTTTTTGAGTCCAAGATGCCGCCTAGGTAGCACACAGCATTGCTAATCTGATTTGAAATTAGCTGCGCAAATCCTGGCATACTGCCCGTAAATGCATCTAACTCCCAGGGTGCTTATGAGTTTTTAGGTCTATGTGGTACTTGTGTTGCATTGGCAGTCACTGTTCCGTTCTGTATTTTCTGGTGTATGTGTCGTTGAATCTCCACAGAAAATGTGCTCACCATTAGAAGGAGGTGAAAGATGCACCTGCAGGAGAATACATGCTGAAGAGAAGGCAGAAACATGCCCGGATCCACCAGAACTAGTGCTGGCAAGTCAACAGAGGCGAGTACTGATAATGTTCCAGATTGTGGTAGGATCACATAAGCAAAATTGACACTGGGAGGCACGACGGTGGGTCAGCTCATGGCCAGCGTCAATTCCAGTGGATATCACGTGCATCCAGTTCTAGTACTATAGTATGACTGCTACAAAGTAGTGCGGCCCAAATAGAACTCGGGTCAGGTGCCGAAGAACTGGAGGGGGGGGACATGTGTCGATGAATGGTAATCCCGGAAATCATGCTGGTGTATCGAGTGCATTGGCCAATGAAGTGCTGGATTGATGGTGGACGACTGTACTGCAATCTTAGCTGGTCCCACTATCGCAGAGACAGCACTTCCTGGTGCAACCACCCTATCCTGCAATCTATATAATAATTATTGTAAGAGATTTGTGTGAACGATTTTAGCATGATGCAAGTCAGCTTATTGTGCTGGGGGGCTGGCTACATGTCACTATAGCTTTTTATAGACTCAATCACCGCATTACGCTGCCTTGCGTTGACTTGATTGAGCACTCTTTTTGGTTAGTGTCAAAGGTATATGTAATATGTATCTGCCTTCGTGCAAAGCTCTCTTTGTACGTGTCTTGCAGATAGCTCGCTGACTTTGATGCTTTGAGCCATTTTCAAATTGCTTTTTTTGTTCATTTCATATAGACCGTATTGCCATATGTTTAATAACCTCCCGCTCTGAGCTCCACTGATGAGACCTAAAAAGTTTGAAACAGCTGTCCGGAGATTGAGCGTCAGTATTATGGATTTATAATACACGATCTGGGGACAGCACTAGTACTGTCTAGCTGTTTCGTCCTTTGTGGACTCATCAGCGAATCACGGAGAAATAACTCTCAACTAAGGATGAACCTAGCAGCCATGAAAATAGATAAATAATGCCTCCAAGCCAGAATTCAAGGCTACATGTGTAGGCCCGAATGTGCCTCGCCCGAGTGCTCAAACTGATAAGTCATTGAGATACGCATAGAACATCTGGCAAAGGAACTACTAAAGCCCCCACGAGCACGATATTCTACTTCAACAAGGAAGAATTTTGAAAGCATGCACAGCCCTACATGTATAATGTTGGTATAGGTAAGCCTTGTTTGATAAATTAACATGTTGATCGGTTGACAGCATGTTACAAGGCGGGGGACGCACTGTGTTAAAAAACAGTGCTCCTGATACACTAGTGTGTCCTTGGCTTTGTCACATGCTGTCAACCGATCAACACATACAACGTTGCATGCAAAACGGCTGCAGCCTCAAAGTACGGAGTGCTATTTTGGAAAATTCTAGATAAACAGCCTGCACTTATACAGGTGTTCTATCAACTAGTGCCATTGTGCCATTGTGACAACGGTAGCTGAATGATACATGTACATAAACCCGGGGTCATCATTGCAAGAACCTCTGGGTCTAAGCCCGAAGTAAAATTCAACTACATGACTGTATACACCATCATGTATACGCCATCTTCGTAGTAACTGAGTCTACCCCTCACCCACTACTGCCAATGTGACCACAAGTGCGCACAAACAGAGGACCTTAGAGGACCTACTAACTACAGTGCTGGCCAAAGAAATCCAACCTTATGAATAAAATTGCACCGGGCGCTACGCAGCCCTAGTAGTATACATACTGGACCGGTCTGTGCTCTCGAACGCGGCGCTACTTTATTAACGAGGTTGGATTTCTCTGGCCAGCACTGTACAAAACGCACACATGCACACACAACACTGCTAGGCTTTCCACCACACTAGGTTTCGAAACCGAAGAGGGGCAAAATTCAGGGCCAGACTAGAAAATCTGGGGAGACATGATGGTTTTTTTAAGCAAAACACAGTCAACACTCTGTAGCCTCAGGCAGGTTTTCATGAGTGCACAAAATTAAAAAAGTGCTGATGCACCACGAATACTGTCGGGCAACACAGTACGTGGGACCCAGGAATGTACGTGTACACCTCTAGGAACACCACAGCCAATAACGTTTTAGAAAGAAGCGCAGTGTCAATTGACTCAAGTCTCTGCTTCTCGCTCCACATACACCGGCATAACGACATGGACCCAGACAACAGAGGCAGGAGCACACAGAGTGAGGGTAGTAGGCCGCAGCCAGATGTGAACCGGAATGCAGAAGAAAACTAGGAGCAACAACAGGGGGACAGACCCCAGGAGGAAGGAATTAGTACATTCATTCGTCTAACATAAATAAGCCAGGACAAGCACCACTTGGGACCGTCAGATTAATTTCTCTGGACCGAGCCAGCCGGGAAAAAACCCTCGCGCCGACGGACGCACGAATGAGGAAAAAAACCGGGTGTATAACCCCAAGTGGCAACATGGCAGCATAAAAACAGGTACAACATATCTACAGCCAAGAAAGAAATGGAAGAAGATGAAAGTCAAGGAACTAAGCCTAAGGCCAGATTGCTGAAAGGTTTTGTATAACTGACGAGCCCGACCCCTTGGAAACAACAGTCGTGGATGCGTGGCTCTACTGTAATAAATGTAGAGGTACACAAACAATTTGAATGCAGAAATAACAACAACAAACAGGGAGAGGTGTAGGAAAATATACTCGGATCCTAGTGAATTTGCTTGTGTATTAGCTTGAAAACTTTGGGTACACTTGTTGAGAGACCTATTGCATGCAGCTAAAATATGGAGTACCGTTGTCACCGACGACTTTTCCAGTAAAGTCGCGGCTAACATCTTCTCAGGTATTCCCGGGTCTTCGCTAAGGGGGAATGATATCATGTGCGTCTTCTATTGCTGATGTCGCTACGCTCGATGGTAGTGCTGATGTACTGATCGTGGTGGAAGATATTGAGATGCCGTATGTCTGGAACCTTTTCGCCAAGTCTCGCCATCGCGCAAGAGGGTCGGGAGCACCACAACTGCAACGCCACAGATCCAAGGATCGATTCTCGGACAAAACATTCTTCAGATTGCCAAAGGTCCCCAGTGCTTGGCAATACTGGCCTGTACAGCATGAACACACCACACATACGCCCACACACCATGTACCATGTAATCGCCCGTTGCAGAGAAGCACGCAAATCTGCAAAGGAATTGGATGTGCACCCACAGATTCTCGTATAGGAACAATAGCTGATCTGAATCTGAATAAAACAGATCAAGACTAGTGCCAGATAACGATCTAATCCGCACAAGGCAACTAGCGCAGCCATGTGAATCGAACAAAATTGACAAACATGTCCCCGATTATCAGCAAACGGGTGTGCGTTACAGGATTGGCCTGGCAACTTCAAACAGGCACAATCCACTAACGTGGTGCCCCGTCAACTTCAACGGGAACACACCGATACAAACACAGCCCCACAACAGCAAAACGGGTCCCCTGGCAACTTAACGGGAACGCACCAACACAAGCTGGCCTGGCACAAACAGGCACAACTGACAAAACACGGCATCCGGCAACAGCACTGTTTCGATGTCCATTGGGGTGGTATGCCGGCCACTTGCCAGACGTAGAGCTTTGAAGCCGTACTTTGCCACCGTCTGCTTGCCGTATCACCACCTCACTTGCAACTCTGGATTCCAGGACTGTCGCTCCAACAATGGGCATGGAGCGGGAGCTAACCTGATAACAGTTGAGAGCGTGACAGAGTATCTTATTTAAATAAGGCCGAGTAAGGTGGACCCTTTGGCAAAAGTGAACACAGGCTTAGTGCTACAGGCATGGGCTGTCATGTACCAGAATAGCCAATACCGGGCATGTTTCGTCGACAGTAGATGGAACTGCGACGGCTCCACCGTATATGGCCGCGTCTTAGTGACCTTCAGGCGCAACGTGACCAAGTCAGGTGCGAGACTCCCAGCCTCCCACACAAATACTCTTTGGCTGTCAAGCGAGTGAATACTAGTAGATGATGCTAAATACTCGCTGGCAAACAATAAGCCATAGAAGGCCAGTAGTACACTTACCCACAGCATAGCCTGATCTACAATATGACTGATTTGATCGTTGTAAGTATTGCCGAAAATGGATTAAGTCGTCCACTAAAAGCTCTTTGAAACTCGGATGTTGAGCCAATATGGCAATAATAAAATTAATTTAGAAAGGAAAAGGACGTATGGATACGAGTGTAAAGTAATTGTCACTACATACTAAATACAGTCAGAAAGTGCAACAACTAGGCACTAAAACATTTGACGACCTGGCTCCTGGCTTCAACACATCTCCGTAGTGCTAACCAACAGCCTTCCAACTCGGAACGTTCAAGGTTAAGGAGAGACAAAAGAGGGAAGGTAATACTGGTTTCGTCATCGTCCAGTAACAATCAACATTTCTTGTTCCTGTGGGACTGTAGCTTCAACTACTAGCTTGTGCTCATTTTCGTTGCGCTTACCTTCCCCTCTTTGGTCTCTCCTTTTAACCTTGAACCTTCCAAGTTGGAAGGCTTTTGGTTAGCGCTACGGAGATGTGCTGAAGCTAGGAGTCAGGTCGTCGAATGTCTCAGCACTCTGTCCAGCCTTCCAACTTCGAAGGTTCAAGGTTAAAAGGAGAGACCAAAGAGGGGAAGGTAAGCGCAACAAAAATGAGCACAAGCTAGTTTTGTGCCTAGTTGTTGCATTTTTTTACTGTAGTATCTAGTTACAGTGGTGGGCAGTTACTCTTAACTCGTATCCATATGTCCTTTTCCTTTCTACTAAAAGCTCTATAAGCGAATATGCCGAGGCGGCTTGCCATCTCTCTCTATGCCATGCAACACCGCTGTTGAGCGAGCAGCTTTTAGGCCAGCTCCATTGCACAACAGGTATTAGGCTACTAATAGCGTAACGCAGCTAGGTAAACACGAATCGATGAAAGAGGCAGACTTCTTAGAACAAAGAGACTAGTTGAACACAACATTTTCAGCAGTCAGCAATAGGAGAAATTGCCCCAAGGAAATTATTCTGGCAAAACTCTAAGTATGCAGCAATACTAGGCTTACACGTTTGTGTCATGCGTTCTAAGATGGAGTCCTTGACTAGCTCGTCACTGGCCGCACTCAGAGCAGCAGTCGTCACTGCACATGGGATTGGCAGTGTGGGTTGGGAAGCAATGGACAAAATTAACACTTGCCATGCACACATGCACTGCTTACCAGCTAAGTTAATATGTCATACTGTACTACAGCAAGCAAGAAACTGGCAATACCTGCACCAGGCCCATCTACTTTGACCCATGCCATTGTGAATGAGAAGAGGCAGCTTTTGACAGTATGAGCGGTGGGATGAACGGGAATGCATAATACAAGCCAGTCAAGCATTGGTACATGTACTTACGGACGCAAGTTGGCTGCACACCGCTCCACTGGCCGTTGATTTCACAAGTACGCACGGCCGAGTCCATAAGGACATAGGGAGATGTGCACACAAACGTGGTCGTGTTGCTGAACATCAAGCCGTTCGCGGTCATTGAGCCCAGTGCCGGTTGTGACAGGACCTGGCAGTCGGTTTGACCTGCACAAGCACAGAGTGCACAGAGCACAGGCATTCAGTGCATGCATGTTTGGCCTAGGGGTGAAACGAGTGCCAAAATTGAGGACTCTAGTACTCTTTGAAAAAACGAGCGAGTATTCGAGCGAGTACGAGTATTTTACTGACAACATAAAACAATGTACTGCACACTCTCTCGTAACACCGAACGTACTACACCTGATACACATGTAGCCTTGCATGCAGCCTAGTGCAGGAAATAGTCTGAACTACTGTCTTTTGTTGGCAAGTAGGGACAAGTAATAATTTCACGCTTGAATGGGTTATCAGTACTGGTCAGAGTAACAGAAGTGCGTGATGTACATGCATACAGTACACTGTACATAGGATACTTCGAGTATTTTGCGAAACAAGTACTCGCTCCTTTCGAATTTTCGAGCGAGCGCTCGAGTATTCGATATACTCGTTTCACCCCTAAAATGTTTGCGTATGTGTGCGTGGCACAGACGTTGGTTTTGAATACATTGTAGTACCCGCATTGTGTAAAGGAAATTGATGCGAAGACTGCCTCAACATGGCCATGCAAAGTAATAAAATAGATACAGCAGTGAATAGCGGTCAATAGTAGCTCTACATTTGCTTGTAATAGAAGTCATGGTACTACTATCAGTGCTGCTGCTGGTGGTGCTGCTGCTGGTGCTTACCTGGAGCTGGTGTGACCTTGCCTGGGCAGTACTGCTCAGAGCCATCAGCACAGTCGTACCAAACACCGTCGCAGCGCTGTGATGGCAGGATACAGCCACTGGAATGCAGGCAGGGCAGGTAGCCAGACTGGCACTGCAGTTGAATGGCTGGATACACGTACCATGGCATAGCTTAAGGATTTCATTTAGCTCGGACAAATGTCCTTCCGTTTTGAAATCTGTCCGGACATGCCCGGACATTTTCCACAACACATTGTCAGGGTGTTTCTTCTTTTTTTTTAGTAGTACAGTGAAAGAGTGAAAAATAAAAGATGACATCTTCCTCTCAAGAGCGAACAACTGCACTAGCAGTCCAACCCATCGATTCAAGTGCGAAGTCGACACCAATGGTCGAAAGTGTGAATTGACTGTAGCAACAACGAGTTGCTACAGGCGGATCAAGTTAATAATAGTGAAGTCTACGCCTGAGACTACGGTGTACGTGTTAGTTGTACGATATGCAAGTCGCATTTGGCACCAAGCTCCGAAGAAAGCCCAACTCTGCATAAAAAGGTCGAAAGGTCGCTGCTCTTTTTTAAAACTTTTTTGACCGGACACTATGTCTGGTGAAATTGAAAACGTCCAGTCAGTGGCCGAAAATGGCCGGAAAATGTCCGATGTCCGGCCGTTAATCTATGCCCTGCGTACCCATACACACAACACGCAAAGCAGTGAAGAAAGTGCCTGCTCGGCACATCTTTCGTACAGTCAAGAGATATTAGTATATTTGGAGGAGGGGGTAGCCTAAAACAGGCTCGACAAAAGTTACCGGCTTATGCCAACAACTCAGTGTTCTGGTACCCGATGAAACACCCTAACCATACACCTACAAGTATAACATATATCCTAAGGACTCAAGCTGAGATGCCCCGACTGGTCCTGGGTCCTGTGATTAGCACGATCATCATTTGTGATGATGAAAAGTGGCAGGTAACACCCAGACTATTACATGCTCTGTAAATAGGAAAGATCAACGCCACCAGAATCTGCCTTCCTACAAGCCTGAAGCTTCTCTACACAAGAGAGATATATTGGCTCTCTTGAAATTCAACTTACGATTACATGAGGCAGCTGCCCCACTCCAGGAACCGTCAATCTGGCAGATGCGCACAATGCTTCCCTGCAGGTTGTATCCGGAATTGCAGCCGAAGACGACGCTGCCTCCAGCAGAATAGTTTGTGCCCTGGGAGTAGCCGTTGGTCGGTTTAGCTAGCGGTGTGCACACACCGGCTGTACACGTCACAGGCACGTACACACAGGCACACACACACACAGGCGCACACGCACACACACAGGCGCACACGCACACACACACACAGGCACACACACACAGGCACAGGCAGGCACAGGCACACACCATCAGGAAACCAATGCCACCAATTAACATCTGCCAGTGTGTGTATTTGCGAGCACAACGTAAGGAAATCCAAGAAGAAGTAAACCAGTGTCCTGGAGAAGCAATGGCCTTGTAATGTCCTTACTCCACAGTATGCATTCATTGTGATACATGCCGATTTGATCACATGCTTCAACTTACGTCCAGTCGTGCCGCATTGATATTCGTCTGTGTTGTCGGGACACTCAAAGAAAACGCCATTGCAGAACTTGGATGAGGCCAGGCAGGTACCATCACGACATGGCTGGAAGCCACTCTTGTAAGGCGAGGCCACTGTGCACACAAACGTCAACAAAACAAAATCAGTAACAGCGCAAATGTAGAGTATTACATCTTTACCTATACTCAGCAGGCGAAGAAACAACACTTAAAGAACTTGCCAAATAAACATTTCTTGCAGCATGTACGCACAAAAAAAGGTGAGGGTCAAGGTTAGGGTTAGCACAACAAATGCACACAGTGCGCAAGCAGCACTGACTACATAGCAGTACAGTCACGTACATGGTCCCAGTGTAGATCACAGAAGTCACAGCAAAGGACATCAGTAACGTTACTTACATGTGCAGACAGGTGGTACACCATCCCACTTGCCACTCAGCTGGCAGGTGCGGGTGGCAGGTCCCTGGAGAACGTATGGCTGGTAGCAGCCAAACGCAATCTGGCTGCCATAGCTGGTCATGCTGGCTCCCTGGATGCAGCCATTTGGTGGAGTCTGCTGGGTCAGACAGTTACACACACACACACACACACACACACACACACACACACACACACACACACGCACACACACCGTGACGCACGCACACACACACACACACACACACACACACACACACACACACACAAGAAAGCAAGAAAGCAAGCAAGAAAGCAAATGAAAAAGAACACAAATATTTGTCTTTCAAAGATATTCTCATCCAGCATCTAACAGCTGAGCAAAGGCCACTTACGAGTTCAGTAAGGGAGGAAGCATGTATTTGGTACCAAGATGGAAAGGAAATCATTGAAGACTGAGGGAGTTGCAATGAGCTCTCCAGAGACAGACAGCAGTTTTTATGCCATCAGCTGGTAAAGATTTGGTGGGAAAAAGGTGTCATACGTAGCAGACCAACTGACACTTCACTGGTGCTGCATTAGCACCTTTCACAGCTGTAAATCGCCTTGCAGCTGAGCACACAGCCCATGTCACACTCCATAGGCTGTAGCCTGGCAGGCAGGCTGAGGTGTGAATACCATCCATTGCATCCAGAACACCTAGCTTACACTCATACACATGCAAGCCATGCAGTGGGGCTGCATGCCTGTCAACAGTGTGTGACACATGCATGCACATTCAGCCGCGATGCAGGAGTCACAGAACTATTTCACACTCTACACGCTCGTCTTACCTGGTGCTGCAGTGCCGCGTGTGCTGGTGCAGTTGCTCTCGTCGGAGCCATCCGGGCAGTCATATCACACACCGTCGCAGACCTTGGTGGCCGAGATGCAACCACCACTGCCACCGCACTTGAACTATTGGTACTTGCAGGGAATATCAGGGACTGAAGATAAAAGAGAAAGAAAATGAACACATCCGTCAAGGGACAATTGTTAATGATACGTTGCTACAAGAGCATGCTTCGTTTATCTTTGCACAGCAGTAGCAATTTAATATCATTCAAATAGATATTCAACGCAATACTAGGCCTGCCAGCCTGATAGCATGATGGCATGATAACATGATAGGAGGTATTAGGAAGTATTAGGAACACAGGACAGTAGCATTGGCACCGCTTACTTGAGCATTTAGCAGGAACGCCGCTCCACGTTCCAAAGACATCGCAGAAGCACACGACGCTGCCCCGGAGTACGTAGGGTGCATTGCAGGCGAAGAAGAGACCAGTGCCGGGCGTGACACCTGTTCCGGTCACCTTGCCGTTGAAAGGCGCTGTCAGTGCTGTGCAGTTCTTACCTACAGGGGCCAGGGTAGGGCAGGGCAGCAATGTGCTGTCTGAATTTTTGTATTGTTCAGACAGCACATTGCTAGTTTTAACATGTAATTGCCAGACTCAGCTTTAGCCAGCAAACAAGTTAACGTTTTTGCCGTAAGAAGAATGCAATGGCCATAATTTTTTTTCGGCAAGACCCTTTTCGCCAAGCTAGCAGAGCAGCTTCATTATCACAATAGAACATAAGCCGCTCGCCAGACCAAGTATGAGCCCAAACAGCGCAAGCTAGAGCAATTGCTGAAAAGGAATCAGCTCCGCAGGAAAGGACCAACCAAACTGCGTCCAACCATCTACCGCAGCGCATGTGAAGGCAACAGTAGCAGTAGTGCGAAAAGCAAATTGCAGACCACACTCGGCACATAATAATTAGCGGCATGCATCACGAGACCATCACTCAACACGCATTGATACTCCAAGCTGGCATGTATAGGCTCGCCACACTGCAGTAAGTGGGCGAGGACAAGTTGCAGAAATAGATTGAGGGTATCAACTATCAAGGTTATAAATAGATGGACAGTTCAAGGGATTCATCCTAGGGATCAATCTGCATATACCCCTGTCCCAGGGAACGTAATACACTCCAAGCTTGGTTTTAGTTTTAAAACAGGATAGGCGAGGAACCGGATAAACGAACATAACATTACATACTCTAGAGTGTACTATGCACATGGCATATCAAAAGATGTGACATCGTGCGTACATGTACATGTAGATGCGCCACATGCAGTACAGTTACCATGCATTCTGTAAAACAAGCGAACCATACAACAAACCCCTTTTGTTTGTGCAACTCCCTGGTTCTGGCTTCTGATATGCTATGTGAACCCTTTTGATCACAAAACCATGCCCGTTATGTCGGGTCTGGTTATGTTGTAAGTGTAACATATGTTGTAAACTGGTTGCCAGCAATCTTCTTCCGGATGGTGTGTAGTCCGGATCAATGAGGACCGGATAAGCGAGGTATGACTGTACTTGATACTGGTGTAGGTTGTTTTATCTAACAAGAGGTGGAAAACGCCATCACAGCCACCAGGAAAGCATAGATATAACCACAAACAATCATTTATCCCACAGAAGAAAACAGAGACAAGAGACGGACTGCACAGCCCCCTAACGTACCTGATGTGAACACTCAGGCTTTGGCGAGACGGGGTGCTAGGACCACTCACAGGAATAGACACGGCACTGTAGCACAGCATAACAAGACACTGGCCCAACGCAGACCGGCACGGTGGCATAGGAACGCAGCAATGCTAAATAGAACTGAAGCCAACCACAAAGGAAAGGCAAACAACACAGAACATACGGCGATGATGACCAGGAAAAAAGACGATGCCCTCCCTTAATGATAGCTTGCATGCCGTCCTACCGGTAGGACCACGGGTCCTACCGGTAGGACCCAAGAAATCGCGCTGCAAAAGTGCTTTTGGTTGAGAAATTTCTTGAAACAATTGTTGAGATGAGGTCTTTGTCAGGCAAAGTAATGGCGCAAAATGCAAGACTATGTCCAGTGCATTGCATACGCGCAATTTTATCAATTGTCAAAATGGCCGCATATACTCCTGTCGGAGCGCTAGCAACACTGTCCAAAGTGAATTTTGACCATGGCACATCAATCGTGGTGAGGTACTAATGTTTTTATTAGTCTACCAAGGCAGTGGAGTGCATAATTCCATACACCGTTTCCATGGTTACCATTTGCTGTTACCATGGAATTTCGTACTATGCCTTGTGCGATCACGTCTAAAATTTGTGGACTCCTTCATTAGCCCCTGAGCAACAGTTTAGGGTCAAGTTTTAGGCCAATGTTACAACAATGGCCATGCAGCATGTCTGTGTATGATGGTCCTACCGGTAGGTCCTACCGGTAGGACCGAGGTCTATGCAAGCTATCATTAACAATGCCCCTCAGCCACAAAATAGAGTCTACAGTGAAGACTGACAGGAGCCACACACAATGCAGAGCATACTCCAAGTCAAGGACCTCAGAACACAGGACACAACACAATGAGAACATGCAACGTATGGAGACCCAGACTGTGTTATCAGCAGGACACAGCCCGTACAGGATGGAACAGACAACTGCACGTAATAGAGCACCACGTACCGGCGGACTAGTCGACGCTGATGGGAGAAGTGGCACCCCCTGAGGCAGCTACGGATGCTAGAACTCTACAGCCAGACGAACACCAATGATAAAACAAAAGGATACACCACACCAGGAAGCAAGTCACATAAAGATGTGTGAACAATGACCACACACCACAGAAAAGGACACAGAACAAAAACTCAATTACGGACACCATAAACACTGCAAAATCCAAACAGGAGCAAAATACCAACTCCCTGAGGACACTGAGCATGAGGCAAACGAGCAAGCAACCTCTTGCCGAAGTTCCACCTTGTAACAACAATTAGCCGGGCCGCGCTGGTCACCGGACTGTATGGTAGGGGTATTACACCTGGACCTCAAGACCAACGGGCGAAGGAAAGCATGCCGGGCCTAGGTAAATACAATGAGGAGCACTGTATACAACTACAGAAATAACCCAAACCCATGCCAATCTGATCAACATACCTTTCCTGCGCATCCATGCCAGGCCCGTCGCACCGACTTTGGAGGTGGGGCGCCCATGCAAGGGGGTCCGGGGGCCCTCCGCGGTAAAAATGTCAAAAATTGAAGCCAATTGCAAGCAATTCCGGGCATTTCGTGCCATTTCAGTGTAACTACAATGAAAGACTCTTTTATTCTGTAACAAACCCCGGGGATCGGGGACGGGGATAGGGGATCGGGGATAAGGATTCTTCATTATTTGCCACGTTTGCGCTGAGCTGCGATCATCGCGCTTTGTTGCAGTGTGCTAAAAAACAAGAACAAAAAAAACAGCCAAAAATGTGGGGCGGCCTCAGCTGTGCCGGCCTTGCATGCCTGGTGTACGGGTCTGAAAGATGAAAGATGGAGCTCTTGTATACACGGGCCCGGAAAGCCTGCTTCGGCTGCTCGGCAGCAGCTTCGTAGTGGTGGTCAAGGGTCGAAGACCGACGGATACGGATCAACTCCCCAGTGATCACACCTTTGCCCATACTACAGGGGGGGGGGGGGTTACTACCGGCAAGCAGATACAGGGAATGATTGGTGACCTTGAAATGAGGCTTCACTGCCATGTATCCCTTACTACGGAAAACTGTGGTGTCCAGGAAATCAATGCCATCATGTGCCAGTTCATGCGCAAACTCGAGGGTCGAACACTTATTAATCCTGTCTAAAGCGCGCTGAACTTGACCTTCGCAACCATGCAATGAAACAAAAATGTCACTGATAAAGCGTCTATAAACCTGAACCTCTAAACCCTCCCTCTCTAAGATCGGAAAAATGTACTGATTCTCCAAATACAGCATAACAATGTCGGCATAGACCACTGCTGCAGGCGAACCCATGGCAGTCCCTTGGATCTGCGGAAACAAATCGTTATCATACACAAACTCGTTAGTCTTCCGAATGACTGACATCAAGGAAGTCACTGCTGTTGTTAATCGTGTACGAAGGGCCGGGGGCATCCACCTTGTACACCTGTGTGTGATATACCACGACAATGCCACATGACCGAGCACGTTCGGGATGTTGGTGTAAAGGCTGGTCACATCTATACTCAAAAATAAATGGTCGTCCCGCACAGGCAAACCTTCTACCAAGTTGATGAAATCCGTAGTTCAGGCCAGAACAGTACTTTCCTCACGTACATACGGGTTCAGTAGAAAGTCAATGAACTTAGCGGGATAGTAGCCCGGACTATTCAGACTAACAATAGGCCTAACCTTCAGGGCACAGGGCTTATGTGTTTTGAGAAGTCTCCTGGAAACAGGCATGCGCCCCCGGTGCGACAAAGAACAGTGACATATATTAGTGGTCATACGATGCTCAATGCGATGCCTAGTCATGGTGAGTAAACAATTGACTCGGGTCGCGCACACGAAGTCTCAAGGCAGCCTTGAGCCTGTTGGTTGCCATCCGCAGTCTAGCCACATGTTCATCTAGCCCCTCAGGCAAAAAACCCAGTCATTTATAATGTTGGGCATTGTGCTGCTGGGCACGACCTATATCATCATAGTGAGATCAGTCCAGGACTACTATCACACTAGACTCATCTGCCTTTGAATATATGCCCGAGTTTGATCGCGTTCTACATGTAGCTCCCATACTATATGCTGCATGTGTACACTCCGCCTATGGTTAGTCTACTCCAGAACAACGCCTGGAGAGGTTCATTGGGGGCATGATGTCCCCCACCTGAAGTACCGGTATTGCCCCTCCCCCCCCCCCCCAAATAAAGTACAGGACACAGATGGAGCACTCGGGAGCACGTAGCAGTAGGCAAAGTTGGCGATATGAGTGCAGACACGCCTGACCTCGGTCACCACACTGGTACGGTCGTATGGTCTCCAAGGGACATTGCTACCAGAGAACACACAGAATGGGAGTATATAGCGCTATCTCGGAGGATAGACAACCTCCTATACAAAAATACCTACTGATAGAGTTCTGTGTAGACCCTATGTGCACATATGTGTGGATGAGTACTAGTAAACGGACAGCTAACCCTAGTCTAAGTAAAATAAATGTAGAATGTAGACCCTGGGCAAAAGAAATAAGTAAATAAAAATAATAGCAACACATGAGGGAACTCGGATGGAGAGCCAAGGATTAAAATTAAAAAAGAGGACCATATCAAAGTTTATGAGTTATCCGTTTTGTCCAACACTAACGGGCATAAACGTGAAGCAGCTAAGCATCAGGTCGTTGAATGCCAGGATCTCATCAGTCAGTTTTTGTGCTAATTGTTGCACATTTTTGACTCGACAGTATTCTGCTTATAACCGCTAGTGTTGGACAAAACGGATAACTTGTAAACATGAGGGAACACTCATCCTTACCCAAGTCCCAACGCCAGCACTCGGCGCTGCTCCGAACCAAGAGGAACATTGGAGAGATCGTCCATCAGCTCCTCTCTCGTCCTGCAATCAAATCGCCGAATGCTAAAACACAAGAAGATAGGAGAGGCAAATAGAATAAATAAATCAATAAAATAATAAACAACAATACAAGTTTGAACAGCTGCAAACGTAATGGACAATCCGAACAGGACCAATGATATACCTAGAAATTATAGAAGGCACTAGGAAACATCCATACCTGCTCAAACTGATTAGGACAACATAGAAGAGGGTAAAAGAGGGCGCTACTCAAGTGTTCCTGGGATAGCTATGGTCTTTGCTATGCTATTTATTTGCAGTCTGATTCATCTGAAAAACGAAGTTTCAACTTTCAAGCATTTAATTTACAGTCCTACCCTCGTTAGTATGACATCGGTTGCAAGACAAACCTCATTAGTAGACAACGATCCAAAATCCCATGAATCATTAGCAGTCGTACATGCAAGTCCGGATAAGAGATAGTTCGTTTGTGGACCAAATTCGTTATAACGTCCCCTTCAGCTGTCCCACAGGTTTGAATTCTCATTACAAGAAAAAGCGGATGGCCGAGGATAGCTCGATTGATGTTTCATGTTGTCTTGTATCGGGGACCGATGAAACATTGTCTGATAATGGGTTGTTTTGTACAGGGGCCTGGTGGAAAACACTGTCTAATAACAAGGAAACATCAGTTCTGAGGTGGACACAATATGGATGATGCAAAGCAGCAGAAAAATGTACTCGTTATCGGACAACAAAAGTTGATACCCCCAGGGTTGTCTCCTAACAAGGGTAGACCTACGAAATAGTGGTTGCGACTTCGGTGATGATTGTTAGGAAAGGGTTTGCTCCCCACACTGGAGCTCACGCTATTCCGCCGCCTTGACTTTACACTTGACTGACTGACAGCTGCCACCCAGAGCACACGAGAAGTCCATCCAACCTTCCACTCGGAAAACCTGCAAGAAGGGACCACTCCCTGGTCAATACACAGTGTTTCGGGAAAATTAACCCTCAACAGTCGAGTTTGAGTAGGCTGAGGAAGAGTGTGCCTGAAGAGCACCATTTATATAGTGCTCTCCAGGTCCAAACATCACCAGGGATACAAACTTACAGAGACGCTCCGTTTGAAGCGCGACAAACACCTCGTGAGCACCAGATAGCAATGCGAGTCAGTGTCGCTCCTGGACGGTGAGAGCTGTATATTGACAGAGAGAGAGAGAGCGGGGGAGAGAGAAAGAGAGAGAGAGAGAGAGAGAGAGAGAGAGTGAGAGAGAGAGGGAGAGAGAGAGAGAGAGAGAGAGAGAGAGAGAGAGAGAGACACACACACACACACACACACACACACGCAAACACACAGAGACAGACAGGCAGACAGAAGGAGAGAAGACAGAGATCCGGGATGTGACATCATCATGACATCGGCCGTTGCTGTGTATGTTGGATCCAAGGTAACGAAAAGACGGCACATGGGCAATCTCCATTGTTCGAATTGCGAGTGGCTCTAGATTGTCGTTAGAGGTGTTGGGGCCAGAAACCATGAACTTGGTTTGGGTGGGGGTGGGGGCACACGCACGCACGCACACACACACACACACACACACACACACACACACACACACACACACACACACACACACACACACACACACACACACACACATACACACACACATACACACACACCTTCCTTCCTTCCTTCTTCCACTGTCATGACTGGCTATGTGGCCACATACGGGGCAGACCAGGAGACGTGTTGTCCACCGGGCGGGGAACGCCATACTCAGCGCACGCGGGCCGCACGAACAGCGTTACACTTGTTCCTCGCAATATCCTGTGGCCGACGAAAACTGCGTGCACAAGTGCCACAGATGAGGGGCTTCACCACAGGCTCCATGCGGGACTGGACAATAGCGTCGACAGCGTCACGGCAGGTGACCCGCCATCCCTGTCGATCTTGGACGATGTCACCAAGCTGCTCCAAAGGAACGCCAACACACACACACAGACACACACACATACACATACTGTGTACCATTTATATGCCCGTCACAAGAAAAGCACGCAAAGTTGTGGAAGTCAGGTCTCGCTGGACCAACCAGAATGGAGCTGCTACGGGCCTGAGCACGCAGCTTTCCCCATGTTGCAGAAGGCAATGCAGTGCTGCAAGTGGCAGGCAATCCTGCGTGAAAAATTGGCACATACACCTCAATATTATCAAATTCCAACGAGAGAGCTCAGTTGAAAGCTCAGGGCCCTCACTATGCTTTTTTGCCTAGGTTATCATGCATTATGCGATAGCAACAAACAACAGTTTTATTCGGCTGAAATAAAGGATACCAATAGGCCCCACTTGTACTTGGCTGAAATAAATTGTTCATCGTTGTTATCGCATTTAGTTTTTCATTTCGATATTGCACGAATAAAGAGCGCTTGGGCTTGAAGGCTACAGGGGGCTTGACCGCCCAGGAGCACTCGCTATGCTTAATAATTGCCTAGGTCATCATGTGTGTTATTCGAACTGATAGAAACGTCTTTGTAATACAAAAACATGTGCATGACAATCAAAACTTTAGTTCATAAACGCACATTGATTCATAACTCAAAACTCAAACTCTCAGACAGGTACATTCTACCAAGTAAAAGTAAATATAATAATAGATTACGCTATGGTACTAGCTTATTTCATTTTTTCAACCCCTGTTTCAACATGTGGCCAGCAGTCTTTGCCAGAATGGTACGGAACATCAACGGAATAGAGCCAGGCTGGTGCGTAACATGATGATGGCCCTACCGACCGCACACCGAACAAGTTCGAACATGAGAGCATGTATTTTCTCCTGCAGCGGTCTCTAGCTGTCGACGCGTCTTGTCACGAAGGCGGTGAGTCTCCAAACGACATAAATTTGCTCCGTCGTTTCTTGCTGTTGGCATAGCCTTTCGCAAGCACAGCGACTCTCGAGGCGACGGGACCTCTCTTCTCCCTTCTTCTACTCTCTGTGTAGGTACTCCTGCCGACGCCGTCTGCTCAGAGCTTTAACACTGTCACCCCTGTCATTTTGCTCTTCCTCATAGTCCTCTTCTAATGATCTCAGCATTCTATTTATACAACAACTACGCCCATTAAAACACTGCAATCTACCTGATCCTTACATTCCCAGCCCATTAGTACCACACCCCTAAACTTTCGACCGATAGTACGACACTTTCTATGGTCTTTTGAAATCAAACCGCGACCATTACAATAGTGCGATCTAAACCATAATGAGCGTTAGCATGCTAACGCAAGTTAGCAGGCAGCCCAGCGAGCTGGCCCGACCTGCACGCATGCGCGAGTCACGTGGTCATGCGCCCTCCAAGATCCTGTACAATGTCTCTTGCATGTCATTGCTGTTTTCGACTTTCGAGCATGCAACTTGCGGAACATGCGTTCCCAAACAATTTCCTCCACAATTGTGCTCGCCCCGGTTTATCTTGCTAAGTTCAATGTTAAAAGTGCATTCTGCCGAATTCCCGTCCGCCCGGAGGATTGGTCCTTATTGATCCGCTGGCAGGATCAATACTTTTATGAGAGTGCCCTGCCCTTCAGACTGTATTACGCTCCTGTCCAGCTATATGGAACTCTGCCGCATCCGCCAGTGAATGGATTATGTGCTAGCAGTTCGCACTCCTACGCCTGTTGCATAAGGCCAAGTAAAAAAAAAAGCTAGATGATCGTCCCCGTCCGCCCCAGTTTTTGTCAGCGCCCCAAGAAATATTTTATTTTTAAATCGTGAGTTTTTGCCGAAATCGTTGGTTTTTTACCGATCGCGGATGCAGGAAACATGTGCACGCTTTGTTTAATACTTTCTTTACTATATGGACCACATACTACTAGTATATCACAACGTCAGTATCGATCTGCTGAAGAAAGAAAAAGAAAAAAAGAAAAAAAAAGAAAAAAAGAGAAAAAAAACCTTGATGTTGTTGTGTACACTGTGTGCATGAGAGGGTAAAAAGTAAAAAAATAAAAATAAAATCCTCCCGCCCTCCCCGATTTTTCCAAAAAAAAGGACGATCATCTAGTAATTTTTTTTACTCGGCCTAACGGGGAATACCTCAACTAACGTTACTTCCTCAGTGCATGCTCTGGACTTGTGTTAGCTTGCCAGCAATTCGCTATTCTGCTCCGAGCGTTTACATTACAAGTACATACTTGGATATTTCTCTGGCCCCAGCAAAAAGTGGAGGGTCCAGCTCAAGTCCTGGCGTTATTGGCATCATCCCATTACGGGGAGTACCTCGACTAACGTTTCTGTCTCCATGCATGCTCTGAACTTGTGTTAGCTCGCCAGCAACTCGCTACTCGGGGCCGCGCGTTTACATACCTCGGTGTTTCTCTGGCGTCAGTAAAAGTGCTTCCTCAATGCATGCTCTGGACCTGTGTTAGCTCGCCAGCAACTCGCTACTCGGCGCCGCGCATTTACATACCTCGGTGTTTTCTCTGGCGTCAGCAAAAGGGGAGGGTCCAGCCCACGTCCTGATGTTTATCGGCGTCATCCTGGACACCCGCCGTGCTAACATCAGTATACCTATGGACGAACTTGCCAAGCTTCGTGATCTCCTTCGGGCCACTCTTCACACAGCTTCAACCGCCCAATGTCAACTCGAGTCTCTTCTGGGAAAGCTCTCGTTTGCTACAAGAGTGATAGCCCCTGGACGCAAATTGCAGATTGTGGTCATTTGCCAACTGGTACCGGCAGCCGTATTACCTGATCAAGCTCTCCAAAGAGTGCCTCAAAGATCTTCGCTGATGGCCTGAGCTCCTGGATTAACAGAACAGCCGGTCCTTCTTCCTACACCCTTAGTGGGTGCCGTCCCCCGGCTTGCTGTTATTCACTGATGCAAGTGGTGCACTTGCGACCGGGGATAGGGCGATGGACAGTCAATCAAGCAGAGAAGCAATCGCAAAGGGTTGTTTGCAATTGTGGCAGCCCGCAGCACCTGGGAAAACTAGCGGCATCAGCTGCGAATGCCAATCGATGGGCATTTACAGCAACTGCGAGGATATTGCTCATCAGTTGTGGCTTTGGCCTGGCGTTGTACACCGGCCACTCGTTTCGAATCAGCTGCCGGACTCGATATTCAGAGAGGCGGGAAGGTGGAAAGCGATGTCTGCCCGAGTAACATTCGGACGCCACCTGCAGCCAAAGTACGGGTGGCTGCGGCAATGGCCTTAGCCCATGATATCAAGTTCTGACAGTCTTTACCTAGCTTGCACCGCTTACAGATTGCACGGGTAGCTGCACTTTGTGATCCGCTCCGGGAGTGCCGATTTATGGAATATATGCTCTCAACTGGTTATGCATACCAATATATTTAGCATTTGGCGGCTCTACTCAGAGTCATTGGCGGCTCCATGCGGAGTCATTGGCGGCTCCATGCGGAGTCATTGGCGGCTCCAAGCGGAGTCATTAGGGACCTTTCGCACCCCGCGTACGGATACGAAACGAATGCTGATTCGTCACCTGGGTTCGAGGATTCGTCAGAGTCCCTGCGGAGAACTCGTTTTCACGAATGGAAGCCTCTTCATTCGTGGCACGCTCCGAATCCGTCAGGTACACATTTATTTGGATAGGTACACATGTTTTGCAAGGTACACATGTTTTCCCTTAATTCCATGATCCATGCACGTGTGCGTGTAAAAACCCGTACGCCAAACTACCGGCGCCCGCGGCCGTATTCGTAGTTGCCATGCACATTTGCATGACGACTCGCGAAACCTGAAATCTGTTTTCAACGAAACGATGAGCCGAATCAAACTTTCGTTTCGCATTAGTTTCGTAGCAAATGCGAAAGGTCCCTAATGGCAGCTCCATGCGGAGTCATTGGCGGATCCATGCGGAGTCAATTTGCGGCTCCATGCGGAGTCATTCGGCGGCTCCATGCAAGGTCATTCGGCGGCTCCATGCAGAGTCATTCGGCGGCTCCATGCGGAGTCACTTGACGACTCCAAGCGGAGTCATTTGACGGCTCCAAGCGGAGTCATTTGCCGGCTCAGCTGCGAGCCATCTAGTGGCTCCAAGCAGAGTCATCATACCAGTTGCCCAAATCGGCACTCCCAGTTTAATCCAAAACTCGATTGCTTTCTTGTGAGGTGGGGGATGCTAACCTAGGAATGGGTTTGCTCCCCACACTGGAGCTCGCGCTATTCCGTCGACTTGACACTTGACGGATTCACGACTGCCATCCAGAGTCGCAACCACTATTTCTAAACCATACCGCTAATTATTTTAGTTAGCTATCCACTTACCGGTATATCCCTTACCGAAATTGTATTCTTGAACGCGATATTCTTCTTCCTTTTTCCTCTACTCCGTTCCATCAGCACTCGGCCGATGGCAGGAGATTGGCACCCACTGGGCTAGCATGCAGCAGCCAAAGCTGGGGCCTTTTCTTACTCCGCTAAACCCACTTCTTAAAACGAAACTGACGTGCATATTCACATTGCATGTTGTGAATGTCCCCATATTTGCCCTGACATCTTAGCTCGTACAGCGCTCCAGATGCATCTATACTCGAATTACGGTACGGGACACATACGGGATACTGCACCAACCATGGCATGCCACGTGAACCACCCTACCAGGCACCGTGACACGCACCGAATTAAAGCGGTGTGGATCCTGGCTAGCGCCAGATGCTACTTAAGTACTACTGAATAGCGTCTTTTGCATAGCTACCGGAATAAACTCATATCCCAAGCATTGCAGCTCTGCTAATAGAATAATTCAGGTTACTCCTACTCCATTTCTCTAGTGCTTATTTTTCTGAAAAAATATCTCTGGCACCAGAATGCTGCCACCAAGAGTACAATAACCAGAGTGTGCAGCCCAAGGAGAATCATCCCACGGCAAAGTTTTTTGTTTAGGTCATAGACTCATAGTAACAGGCTCACCTTTGCTGCATCTCACACCGCTTCACACGGTCATCTACTGTATCACCATGGTAATTCCTGTTGCACATTGCTGCTTGTTTAACAAAAACGCAGAAAACACACCGAATTTTCAGGTAATTACCATGGTGATACGGTACTTTAGCTTGAACCTATTGTATGACGGGTTTTCTACGATTCATAATGACCCAGGGAATAACTAACAGTTAGCGATGCAATTCTTCTGAGGTGTAAAGTGACTTCAGGAATATGTTGCAGAAAACTGCGATGCATGCTGATTATTTACTGTGCCCTATTGTGCACCATATACCTGGTGGGTTACTCAAGGATAAAGTAGATGCACACGAGTGACGTGCATCACGGCACAGGTTAGGTTCGCAACTAACTGCTACAGTGTACTTGTGGTCCGAACTTGCACTCTACTCAGCTCTGCATACGCAAAGAGTGCTGGTGCCGAAATGAACCAGAAGGGTGCCGCGTGAGTGGGACGCAACAACACTGACTCTGTATATGTACACAGATATGGTAGGGTGTTCAGTACCCGCTCTAAGATTTTACACCAACCGGGTACACGTCTACCTGGCACAACTCCTGCAACACTGGGCCAGAGCCAGATGCGTTTAAGTGCGGCTACTGCGTGTCAGGGAGTCGTAAAATTACTTTCGACTTCCTGATGTAGTACATGATTGTACATGTACATGTATGAACGTACTTGCACTGGGCACTCTGGCCGCACGCATCTGCACGCGTATGCAGCCTGTCAGTGGCGGTATACCCCTCGAAGTATAAAAATATATAGTACTCGACAGGACTTCCAACCGGGTCGCAGGTAACCCAGTGTTCTTTTTCCAAAAGGTCCAAGTACTCACAAACAGGGCCACTGACCCGGCTCTGGAGCAGATACTGGTAATCTAGGCCCAAGGTTGCACGATTTTGTTCTGACGCTTCATGTGCTTTCATAGCCAAGGTTTCTCACATTCTTCGCAAGCTCTTTTAGTCTTGAGAGTTGACAACTGCTTATGGTTGTGTTGGCTGAAACATGTCAACTAATCTGACAACCGTCCAACCCCATTTTACTGGTAAGTAGTCAGCGAGTGGCTTTGATGGGGCCATACTAGAGGGAGTTACGCGGCATATTTGTGCTTCCTTTTTTAAAACACGTTCTCGCTCGAAGGGTTTCTTAACTTTATCCCTGCGCTCATTGATGGAGTTCGTTGATGGAGTTGCCAGCGGCACCCTACAGAAGAACAATGTTGTCAAGTTTTTTATGAAAAATTGTCAAACATTTTCAAATTGCTAAAAGTTTGGTTAGGGCCGGGTTCCACTGCGGCTCCGCACCTCCGCTGCTCCACGGTACTTGGCTGCATGCAGCAGAGCGGCACGGTTCCAGTGACACTCGCCATTCGCGGTACCTCGATCGTGCTCGACGTTTTTTGATGACATTTAGCGTGCCTGCGCGCGCGTGAAATCCAAAAAAATCCTCGTGTTCTGGCCGTATAAAACAATTAAGTGCGGGAAACAATGCAAGCCGTGACCGCGGCTGGCATTTTTTGTATCAAGCAGCGAAGCGAAAGCTGGTGATGAACCGCGGCCTCGCTGCACCAGCTCGTAATGATGACGTTTCATGCCGTGGATGATGTGCGGCGGAGCGGCAGTGGAACCCAGCCCTAAGGCAAAGGAAATTTGTCAGGAATTTGTTTATGCTGCATAGATGGAGAGCTGCACACTCTGGCTTATGGACTCTCGCCTACAGTGTAGTCGTACTGCTAGTGTACTGGCATTAGACTATCACATGCAGTATACTGTCTGGCAGGAGGACTCAGGAGGGAATATTAGGACTGACAGAAGACACGAAAAACGAGAACATAATTATGGCGAGAAAGTAATCACTGGCTAAGAATTGCCCTAAGACTTACCGCTTCTCAGTGCTCCATACCAGGAAGTAGTACAATACCTACTCCCTGCTCCATAGATCTACGAGTGTTTTCTCCTCATTCTCTGCATCCTTTCCCCCAGGAGTCTCGTCCATTTAGCGGCTCAAATGCTTGAGCTCCGGATAGCGGAAAATAGCTCGTCGTCCATTAGCGGCTCTAATAGTACCTGGTCTGAAGTGTCGCAGTCTAGCAACTATGATTTTTTCCAGGAGGGTAAGGGTTGCAAACCCAAAGAGACCCTAAGCTTCGTCTATCAAACAAAACAATTGAATTGCCCTAAAAAATGGAAGAGGAAACGAGTGAGCGAGCTGGTCTGAGCGCGCTACTTTTCAAAAAATAGAAGCTGAAAGCCATCAAAGTCAAAGCATTCTGGCTAGCGCGTTTGTGTATGTCACGAGCGCTAGCGCGCTAGTACTCGCAGCAAAAGCTCGCAGGCCAGAGTTAGCGCTATTTGTGCTGTTTGCCGCACGCGGCAGCTGGATGGATCACGTGATCCAAGCTGACAAATAAGGTCCGATGGTTCAGCTACATTGAGCCACAAGCGTTCCTGACTGCAACCAGAATGATGAATAATGTTGTAGTGTAAGTGTAGATCTGCATCACGACGGCACTCTACACTGTAACGTTACGTCGTTACAGCCTACACGACAGCCTACAGTACTACAGGTGGCTTGTTCTTCAAACGGAGGAACGAGCTGCGGACCGTAGCCGCGTAGGCCTAGGCGTAGGATGAATCCGGAACCGCCTACTACAGTTGTACTGAGCCTGGCTTTCTCCTGATATGCTTGCCAACATCATGCCCGATGCGGGGACGGCCATGCGGGGCCAGCTGAATTGAAGTCAACTGAAGTCATTATCTAACAGGTAAAGATGAGCCTTACTGTTGCCGCTAGATCTACCAGAAACGAATAAAGGTTTCATCATTGCATGCAGCAGACATTTCGAGAAGATACAAAAGATCGCCAATATAAAGGCTGATTCCGACACAATACAACTTTCTGCGACGCGACACGCGATTTGCGACAGCCGACAGGTGCGACAAGAAACTGCCTGTTGCGATATGTCGCGAGGTGTTGCATGCCGCCGCAAGGCACTTGTCGCAGAAGTTGAAGAAAGTTCAACTTTTGCTACATCCGACGCGCGACATACACAAATGGAGTCAGGCACGTAGCACCGCTGTTGGCGGTGGTCCGGCCGGGGGGGGGGGGGGATCTCCCCCGTAATTTTTTGAAATTAGGGTGCAAAATCCTGCATTCTGGGCACTTTTGGCATTGTTTTACTATGGTGGTCGTGGTCGGGCGAAAAAGTGGTCCGGCTTTGGCCGGACTGGCTGGAGCGGCTGCTACGCCCCTGGGAGTACAGTTTCTACCCTGGGTGCATGTGCAGTGCACGTTCAGTGCATAGTACTACTAGCGCATAAGGCCGTGGGAAACATGAAAAAGATTGTGAACCGTGTGTCGCTGTCGCAGCTTGTGGCAGGTGTCGCAAGTCGCCTGTCGTATACTACATTGGTGTGCTGTGTTTGGTAAAATTCTAGCCTGGCCACTCTTCGGCGCTCCATTCTCCAGCGCTCCATTCTCCAGCGCTCCATTCTCCAGCGCTCCATTCTCCAGCGCTCCATTCTCCAGCGCTCTGTTCTTCAGCGCCCGACAGTACCGTACTACAGGTCCTCCCTCGTTACAACAAGTCCACTTAGTACATAAACCCCGCTAATAAATAGAAATCTGAAATCCCCTGGCGAAACGTGGTCTATACAACTGTTTACAGGTCCGGTTACAACACAATTCGTGCGTACATAAAATTCGTTATAACCGTCGGACCCTTTGTCCAGGTCCCTGGAGTGCCAAACCCTCAGTATAAGATAATATTTACCATACAGGACCAAGACCAAAACACATAGGATAAAGCAGAAAGGCACAACGTATTATATATACATGTATGTATTCGTAGATAGGTACATGTACGATCTTTTGCATCTGTTGTGATCTCGAACTCATCATGGCATGATACAGATGATACAACAGCATCCACGGAACAAGTATGTTGGAGATTTTCTATTATTAGAGTATAAGTGTCAATAATTCTTCTGGTATTGAGGGTAGCTCAGGTAAGTACGAATTAGTGCCTATTTCACCTTAAGCTGCAAGTCCTGTTACAAGATAAGTCTCGTTAGAGGATAACTTTTTTAGTGGCCCAGAGATTATTTAGTTTACTAATGAGGGAGGACCTGTATACAGTAGCATGTCACAAGGTGGAGGACCACTGTGTTCGGAAACAGCGACCTTTCTACAACCATCCACAGTTGGTAGAGCCCCGCTCCATTGCGACCATCTGAACCGGCGACCGGGTCTCTACCAACCTTGGATGGTTGTAGAAAGGTCACTGTTTCTGAACACAGTGTTCTCCACTTTTTTACAGGCTGTCAACCAACAACACGTTTGAACAAAACCAGGTTTATCTAATAGTATACAGTAATAGAAGCTAGCACTAAGACATTATGGTACCGTGAGTGCGGAGCGGCATTGTGACTGCACCGACATACAAGTACATTTCTACCATGTCGAGAGATGATAGCCAGGGAAGTACAAAGGCGATAATACGTATATAATAATTATTTTGTTTGCGTGTGTGAGTGGATGTACGTGTGTGAGTGGGTGTATGCGTGTGAGTGTGTGTGTGTGTGTGTGTGTGTGTGTGTGTGTGTGTGTGTGTGTGTGTGTGTGTGTGTGTGTGTGTGTGTGTGTGTGCCATATGGTGCAGTGGTATGTGCAGTCGATTTCCAATCGAGAGGTTGCGGGTTCAATTCCTGACGATTATGGTCGCACGCGTCTTTCTTCTCTTTCCGAGTCATTCTCCTAGCTCTTCTTTCATTCCCCTGGGTGGTTACCAACAGCCAGTGTATGCGGGAGTATGTGGTGTGGCGTGTGTGTGTCGGGAAAAAAGAAAGAAAAATGAAAAATAGGGATTCACTGGCCAGAAAAAAGCCACTTCAATCAGGTGTGTGGTGGATACCAGGCTAAAAATTAGTGGCGGTCAATTCATCTGCCTTGCAAGCTGTTGAATGGTGTAATCCCAGCACAAGTTGCTATGCCCAACATAGCTGTTCGCTATCATCGCTTCCGTGATGGGCATGTCTGAGGTCTGTCTCAGGTGTGTGTGTGTGTATGTGTGTGTGTGTGTGTGTGTGTGTGTGTGTGTGTGTGTGTGTGTGTATTTAAATCGGCTGCGGGTCTCAAACGTCATCGGTGTGGAACCTGTCCAAAGCGCCCTACTGTGGCTGAACACCAGCAATTCAAGTTTCACTGTCAAGTTTGTCACAACCGACGGTTCCGGAGGGGGCAAGATCTGAATCGCCACTTGGAGCATTGCCTTCCCCCCCCCCCCCCCCCCTAACCTCTCTGACAGCCGGAGAAGGTGTTCAGGAAGTGTTCAGAGGGTATCTGTGGCTGAGTGCCAGTCTGGACTGTGGAGAGACTTGTAGGCGCCTTCCCTGAATATGAAATTTGTATTGCCGATGATTTTAGCCTGAGAAGCCCTGGGGCACGGTTGATTGGGCGAATCCCGAGCAAGTGCGCTCCGAGTGAGCATGATCGTTTGGCCGAATCCGATCGAATTCGGAGTAGGTGTACTTGGAGTGGAATCCGACCACACCGGCCCCCCACACCGGGAGTGTCCGGAGTGGAAATGGACTTAGGCGTTTTGGACAGCTTTCACAGAATCTTTGTACGATATGCGTACATTTTGCGTACTACACCCTTGTTTATTTTATTTATTTATTCAATATCTTATGGCTTCCAATGGCAGCCAAAACGGGATGATGTGGGTGATAGCCAACCATGGTAAAAGAAGGAGAAAATTATATACGTGATTGGGACCACACTGCCTGCTTGCACTCAATCCAGGTTCGCCAATTGATGACACCCCTGGTTAGGCTTTCCCCAAATCGGCGCGTTATTTCGCCAATTCGGCTTTTTGCTCGGCTCAAAAAATACATCAGATTCGGCTGCAAAATCAGCTGATTGTTCGCAAATCGGCTTCAAAATTGGAATAGATTGGAAAATCGGCTAAAATAATTGTTCGCATATTGGCTTCAAGATTGGTGAGATTTTGGAAGATTTCAGGGTAGATTTTCGGCGATTCTCAAAGCAATCCTCCCAAATCGGCAAAAAGCTTGGCGATTTTCGATAAGTCTCGTTTTCGGCGACCGATTTTGGGGATTTTACTAGTGATCATCTTCCTAATGCAGTAATGGCTAATGTTTGTTTGAGAGGAGGTCAAAGGACACGAGTCACACGACCCACACTAGAACTACAAGTACTGAAGTTGAGAGCTCGAGCGGTCATGCTTGCAGAAATATCATTCGTTCGTAAACACACTTTGCAACAACATTTGGTAGATTTTCGGCTATTCTCAAAGGAACCCTCCAAAATCCGCGAAAAGCTTAGTGATTTTCGGTAGGTCTCGTTTTCGGCGAATTCTTCGGCAGGCCGATTATTTGGGGTGGTTCATAAAAGTATTATTATGGCTTATGCCAGCTGGTAACCAGTTGAACAAATTTTCATCCATCCAGGCATATCCCATTGTTTGTGTTCGTCCTGAAGGCTGAAGGTTGGGCAGGACACAGAACGCGGCCCAGCCGCCCTAGGTAGGCCTTTCCCAAATCGGCCATTTATTTTGTCCTATTCGGCTTTTCGATCGGCTGAAAAAATCGCCAGAATCAGCTGAAAATTTCTGTGAAAGGTGGAAATTCGGCTCTAAAGTCACAACCACCTTTCGCAGATAATGGCTACAGAAATTGTATTTTGGCAATAAATAAGATAAATTGTGCACTCATAACAACAGCAAAAATGAAGAAAGTCAAGTTCCATAACGTTTTCTTGCGACTTATGGAACTTGACTTTCTTCATTTTTGCTGTTGTTATGAGTGCACAATTTATCTTATTTATTGCCATTTTTCGACTATTGTCTCCTCGTCGATTGTTGAAATTGTATTTGCATGCTATTGAGGCACTAAAACATCAATTTTCGGCGAATTCAGTGCGAAAATTGCGTATTCGGCTCAAAGATCGGTGATTTCTTCAAAACCTCTATTTTCGGCCAATGTTTCGGCCGGCCGATTTGGGAAATGCCCACGGGCCGTGACGCAGGCGCGCACGAGCGGTCATGCCCAGTTACCCACGACCCTGCAAAACATGTATATTCGGCAATTTCTTGGTAAAATCTCAGAATTCGGCCAAAAGATCGGCGATTTTCTGAAAAGGCTACTTTCGGCGAATTTTTCGGCCGGCAGGTCGTGTGCCGCGCCGTACTACACATTCCCACATTTACACACATACCATACGGTAAGTGCATTATGTGTACGAGAAAGCGTTTGAATGCGTAGATTGTATGGTACGGTGGCGACGAACACCAGCTGCGGCCACGTGCACGAGTGTTGGATCGCGTCACACCATATTCCGGTGACGCGTGGAATCGAGAATCAGTCGGATAGATATTTCAAATCAGGCATTTCGCTTCGCAGCTTGCAGTGAACAGAACATAGAATCAGAGCCCAGAACACAGGAAAGTGAAATAAAATTGTACTTCTATGTTGCTGCTGGAAGTTGGATCAGCACTCTGGTAGGAAAGATGAAGTTGTCAAGTGGAGAGTACAGTCTACGCCCTTACGATTGCATTGTTTGGATATCTGTTTTACTAGTCGCGTCTTCTTTCGTTGCTGAGTTACAAGACTTTCCCGATTCTCCCTTCAGTCATAAGCAAAACTTTTTGAATAGAATTGTAGTTGGTTTCGGATGGGGAATTGTTTTGGCTTTCGTGTCTGTACAGTCTCTAGTTACAACCAGAATTATAGGATGTGATGACTGGCCTCGGAAGCTGAAGGGAACGGCCATTCGCCTGGCGGTCAACTCCACGCTGTGGTACGTTCTGACAGCAGCGATGACTTTCGTCAGGAACAAGACTGGCTACTGCATCAGCATCAGCAACAACAACCTTACGGAACAGAACATCACTACAGATATGTCCTACAAGGAATGCATGATAGGTGGTGGCGAGTGGTCTGGCTTCGACGCGTCAGGGCACGTTTTTCTTATGGCATTGAACATGCTGGTGATGGTCGAGGAGGCTGCTGTGTTTCGGATTGCGAGAATTCTGCGCAACGCAGTTGCGCGCGACAACTTGCACATTCAGCTGATCCGCCAACGCTACACCAAGTGCTCGACGGTACTCTGCATTCTAATCGTGGGTAACTATGTGCTTCTTGCGCTATGGACATGGACGATGCTCACTACCTGCTTCTACTTCCATACATTCCTGGAGAAAGTCATTGGCTTCTTCTTGGCAATACTGGCATGGCGCTTGGCATATAAAAACTTTCAGCATTTCGCATGCTCGCCTGGATTTGCGGAGGCTGAGCCGACAGTCCTCAAGTATATACCTAAAGAAATTGTTGGCATCAAATCTGCAGGTGCGGCTAGTACTAGTGAAGCAGAAACAGGAACGAGTCGTGTATTGCTTCTGGTAGGCTCGGGGCTCAGTCTACTGATGACGATGGTGATACTTCAATTGACTATTATATTGAAGAAGGTGCCCACTTAGATCTAGACTGTTATTCTATTCTGTTTTTTTATCAACTCCTGATTCTTTAGCATGCAGCTGTATTTCTTCATTTAGGCGTGTGTTTGCAACTGTGTGTTCTCCTTTTCTTCCGTGTGTGCTCGAACTGTATGAGTGCATGTGTATCCAAAGATGCAGTGGATCATTCTCTGTTTACATTTCTTGTTTTTATAGTGGCATCCCATATTCAACTTCTTATCTATTTATTTTTATCACCTGCCCAAAATGGAAATCATCATTCAACGGTTGTACTCATCGTATGGAGAAACAGGAAAACCCTGTTCTCTTTACCAAGTTTTTTTACGACAATGATCACTTGATATTAGGCACCGTTGCTGACAGGTCGGTGGCACTCTCATAGTGCATGTGGGTGTGTCGGTATGGTTGTTTTGCGATTGCCTTGTCCAAACAAATAGCAGGTTGGCCAAGCTGTACATAGTAGAGTCTGCTGATTACTGGACTCATGCAATCAGATTTCATTGAGCACAACTCCAGTACAGTATTGCTGTCAGCTGTGTGTTATTTCATGATTTCTGTTTCCACTCACTGTTCACAAGACAGCAGACAGGCCTTGGAGGACACTCAGGTCAGTGAACCAAAGTCGAACTGAGAAACACTCAAAAATCCTGCACAGTGACCAGCAGGGAGTAAATACTTTTTGACGACTCCCTGGTGACCAGTGACCTGCATCGAGCTCACACTACAGGCCAGGGTAAGTACACAAGCCAAGGTAGCAAGAGTAGAGTAGTAGTAGAATCTACGTAGGGGGGAGGGGTTCTTGATGGTCGATATCCAAGCCAAGAAACAAAAAATTAATAATAAATTATTAGATTTTTTGAAACGTGGAAGGGGAAATCCCTGTAACATCACTGATCATCACGTCATCGTGACACATGGGAATCTGCGCATGCGCTGCGCTGTGGAAACCGGCTTTGTCCGAGCCAAACAAAAGACTAGATGGAGTTGAGTCAACGTGTAAGATTTTCAGTTTTTTCATATTGTTGATTTGCTTTTGTGAGAATGTGAGAAGAGGTCAAGATGACTACAGCAGAGCAGCCTTGTTTTTGCTTGCTGAGTTCTGGCGAGGATGGAGACCTACCAACTGAGGAAACCATCCGGGCGGACTTGGAGAATAATGATGTTCGCCAGAAAGCGGAGGCCATGAAAAAGCTGATTCGCCTGATGATCAATGGAGAACGATATCCCTCACTGTTGATGGTGGTGATACGGTTTGTTATGCCAGTAGATAACCATGAATTGAAAAAGCTCCTCTTGGTTTTTTGGGAAGTCGTGCCCAAAACAACGTCTGATGGAAAGCTGATGCAAGAGATGATTTTGGTGTGCGATGCGTATCGCAAAGATTTGCAGCACCCCAATGAATTTATCCGTGGTTCAACTTTACGGTTTCTATGTAAGCTGAAAGAACCTGAATTAATCGAGCCCCTAATGCCCAGCATTCTCAACTGCTTGGAGCACAGGCATGCATACGTACGGCGAAATGCTGTGCTTGCCATCTATACGATTTACAAGAATTTTGACATGCTCATTCCTGATGCACCTGAGCTGATGCAGAACTTTCTGGAGAAGGAGAAGGACCCATCTTGCCAGAGAAATGCGTTTATGATGCTGATTCATGTTGACCAGAACCGGGCATTGGACCATTTGAGCAAGTGCATCGATCAGCTGCAATCATTCAACGACATTCTGCAGCTGGTCATTGTGGAACTCGTCTATAACGTGTGCTACAACAACCCTGGCGAGAGAAGCCGCTTCATCTTTGCTATCTATCAGATGCTGGGGTCTAGCTCTGGCGCGGTGCGTTATGAAGCAGCGGGTGCACTTATCATGCTATCCAACACACCGACTGGCGTCAAGGCTGCCGCTCAGTGCTATATCGAGCTGATCCTCAAGGAGAGCGAGAACAATGTCAAGCTGATCGTTCTGGACCGTTTGGTCGAGCTCAAGCAATCTCCAGCGACAGAGAAAGTTCTTCGAGAGCTGACCATGGACTTCCTGCGAGTACTCTCAACGCCGGCGTTTGAGGTACGGCGGAAGGCACTGGATCTCGCGATGGACTTGGTCACGGCACGCAATGTGGTTGAAGTGGTCCAAGTGCTGCGCAAAGAAGCCAGTAAAACCAACGACGGCTCTGGAGATGACAACAGCAAATATCGTCAGCTGCTTGTGAAATCCCTGCATCGCTGCAGCATCAAGTACCCTGAGGTGGCACCACAAGTGATCCCTCTACTTGTAGAGTTCCTCAGTGATTGTGATAAGGTCTCTGCAATGAGCGTGCTGGAGTTTGTTCGCGAGGTGGTGCAGACACACGAGTCGCTACGCCTCATGGCCACGCAGAAAGTAATGGATTTCTTGCCGCTTATCAAGGATGGCCCGACTGTCCGTGCCGCTCTTTGGATACTCGGCGAGTACTGCACTGTCCCAGATATCATCGACGACTTGCTGGTGCACATCAAGGAGAGCATAGGCGAGTACCCCATTGTTGATGCAGAGCTGCGGGACGCTGCAGATGAGTCGAAGAGTTCCAAAGTGTACCCTATCAGAGTTCTGCTGCTCGAAGGAAAATTCTTCGTAGGTGCTGCTCTGGCCTCGACGTTGACCAAGCTGGCCTTGCGATACATCGACGAGTCTGTTGAGGAGAAGCGGAAGAATCAGTTCTGTGCAGAAGTCATGCTGATCATCTCTTCTATCCTTCATCTGGGCCGTACATCGTTACCTGCCAAAAAGATTCTCGAGGACGATGCTGAGCGGTTAGGCATCTGCTTGCAAGTGATTGCGGAAAGGTCTGGCTTGGTGCTAGATGTGTTCCGCAAGGAATCCAGATCGGCACTGGAAAATTTGCTGGCGTCACAGAATGAGGAGGACGAGAGGATGAAGACTAGTACAAAGGAAGCCAATGTTGTGGTAAGTTGTTGAGCGTAGTGATTTCTTTCTCTGTATGTCAATCGTCTCAACCTGTGGTCTTGTGATTGGTGTGTGTGTGTGTGTGTGTGTGTGTGTGTGTGTGTGTGTGTGTGTGTGTGTGTGTGTGTGTGCATGTGTGGTGTAATATGCAGTTGCTTGGACTGACTGCACGATTCGTATTGGGCGTGCTTCCCGAGACTTTGTGACTGCATGGCACGAAGTCAATCAGCAGCAGCCGTACTGCTGCTATATTGCACCACGCCCTACTAGTATATGCTAGATGTATAGTACCAGTATGCACTATCTGTCATCGTGGCTTTGACCCTGTGTAGCAGTGTGTTAGCTGTGTTTAATATAATAATAATAACTTTATTAGGATGACCCAAAGGCTGACCGCCTATCGTGGGGTCCGTCGCATTGAAGGATGATGGTACAAGATATGTCATGTCAAGTTTCATGTCGCTGTGCAGTATCGTTCAGAATCCATTCCTTTTCATGTATCTTGTGCCCTTGTAGGTGCAAGTTGATGATCCAATTTCTTTTTCTCAACTGACTGTAACCGATGAGAATGTCAGTGAGGAGAACCGATTGGAGGCCAGTCTTCTTGCAGCAACTGGCATCGCGGCTAAGAAGAAGGAGGAGGAAGTGGGCCAAACTAAGCTCAGCAAGGTAAGATCCGAATGTTGACTTGCCGTGAAAGAGACTTGTGGCAATATTTTGTCTGTACTCTCCTGCTTGGTGCCGCCCATTCTCTCTTTTATCGTGTTTGGTTAGGTGTCTACTCTGCGGTTGCGGGCATAAGCCTCCAGTGTTACCTGCATACGAATATAGAGGAACCTGAGAAATGTGGACACCCAAGGGACTGGTCCAAACTGTCCTCATTATGGAGGTTTGAGTACATATTTTTGAATGTGTGGCTCCAACCGCTGCCAAAAGATGTCCTCAATTTACAGGGGACCGTATTTCTCGCTTCGTCGCTAGCTGCTGTTTTCGCTGCATTCCGAAGACTACAAAGTGCTCGGCATCGTCAAAGAATGCTTGGGGAGAAAGATTGACAGCAACTCTACTGAACTCATAAGCGCGCGTTGGTGAAAATAATTGTCAAAGTATAGGAAGAAAAAAAAATCACGGTTCGCGTGAGACTCGGCTGGAAGCCGGGTTTTCCGCATCCGTAGGAACGCCACCACCCTTCAAGGATCAAGGCGCAGATGCAGCTCCTAAAGCGGTGGGAGGTCAGTAGATCAGCTCACCAGCAAGTGGTCAAAGACCGAAAATCCCATTCACTGCATCCATGTTTTCCTCAGTATAGGAAATGGCAAACAAAATCGGTTTCCCGGGCATTGTGAGGACACGCGCGTTGATAATGACGTCACACTGATGAATTTGATCGGCATGTTGGGAGTCAAACGCGCCTCCCTGTTTCAGGAGGCATCTTGTCATACGCGGAAAGTTTCCGCTGCACTGAGGGCACCCGGTAATGGCAGGTTTTGCTGTACTTGTCATTGTGTGTTTTATCCCTTGTTGGTTTCTGTGGTCTCCTTTCCTGTTTTCAGGTGCACCAGCTGACCGGCCTGTGTGATGCAGTGTACGCAGAGGCGTACATCCACGTGCATCAGTTTGATGTCGTGTTCGATATGCTGGTCGTGAACCAGACAGCTGATGTTCTGCAGGGCCTCACTGTCGAACTGGCCACGCTCGGCAACCTGAAGCTGATGGAGAGACCGCAGCCGTGCACGCTGGCACCCCACGACTTCACAAATATCAAGACCAACATCAAGGTATGTGGTGTTTACACTGGCATGATGTGTTGTGCCTGCTTGAGCACACGTTCGTGGTGTAGTGGAGTGGATGTGCGAGCAGTTTACTTGTGCATTGTGCATGTACATCAGCATTGATGATTAGATCACCAAGTGCGGTGGTGGCAACTGAGATGCAACCCCAGGAGCGGTGGGTTTGCACTGCACCAACGCCGCACTCGACCACACCAACCTCAAAGCATGGGCAGTGCACGCATGCATATCTGCAACTGCTGTACTTAGCTGTATGCATGCCATATCTTGAGCCTGGTTCACATTTGACGGTATGGGATGTAAGGGCCTGTGAGGGCTGGGGTGAGCTGTAAAATCTTGTGCGATTCGTACGACACGCCGTGCAGCAGTTGTTGCGATGTTCAACGTCGAACGGCGGGAGTCATAAAGGTACGGTCCGTGACGGGGTGACTTTCGGACCTAATTTCTTGTTTTTCGGGGCTTCTTTTTAACTATGTCTCCTTGAATGAAGCGGAATCAAGTTCACAATACCAGTTTTCATCAAGACCAAAAAAAATAGCCCTGGAAGTTGTGCCAGTTTAACCTTTTGCACCCCGCGCACGAGTATACTCATTTTGTAGCATTCCCTGTTTCCCCAAGCCCGAGTATACTCGGGTAGAAAATGTACTGTATGTACACTGAACTCGGATTGGGTACTACATACCTCGCTATTCAAACCTTCGTAACTCTGTTATACTTTCTTCGATTCTCACACCTCATGGCTCGTTGGAAAGCTCAAGGAATAAGCTTCCCACTGGCATGTCGTTCACTGGGGCGAAAAGTAAAATACCGGAGCGCCGACGGTGGAAACGCAATTTACGCCCAAAATACACGGCACAATTTTTCGCACTTTGAATCTTCGAGTGGAGATCCGCAGGGAAGGGGATTTTCCCTATGACTCGGGTACCAAATTGAGCACTTGAACTTCAGGAATCTGAGAGAGTTTGAATTTTTGCTCTGCGCTGAGTAAAACTGTAGAAGCGAAGACATTTGTGACTGTGTGGAGTATCTCTTCGATGCGCGATAGAGGAGCTCTCAGCGGGTGAAGTCAACTCTATTGCTCCTGCTGAGTGATTATTCGCTCTTTTGGACAGAGAAGGCTTCAAGCGTTCCAAAGAACCCAAGATAATCAACTTCTGTTCTTGGTGAGTGAAGTCAGAATTTTTTTTATCACTGGTCTGCTCTGCAGGGCGCCAGAAAGTGAGCAACTGGGAATTGATGGATTTCCGGCCAGGGTGGAAAACGTTAAATAATAGCCCCAGGAAACAGTTCGTCTGTCACATTCCTGGATTATCTCTAAATACATGAAATGACATGAAAATCTTATCCTGCTAAAATTCAACTCCAGTCTTGTTAGCCATTCTGCGAGTTATCATGGGAGGTGTAGTGTAACTGTGTTCAAAGTGCTAACAATGTCCAGTACGAATCGGGTCGGGAGTAGTCGTTGCACGACGCCGTCTTCTGTTCACACTCAAAATGCAGCCGTTTTGTACGCCTGCGTCCCCGTCTACGGTATGAAAAGTTGAACTAATTCAACTCTTCCCGTTGCTTCCCGATCCGTGCGGTTGCGTTCCCGTTCCTGGTGCTCACTTTGGATGCCGTCAGACCGTCCCGTCGCTTCCCGTCGACCCTTTAATACGTCGCACCCTGTCGAGTTAGAACTAGTCTTTACAGTTAGGCCATGAACATTGCAATGCTGACAGTACACCGGCAACGGTACACATGCATGCAGTTGTACACGCTAATACGTCAGACCAGAGGATAATGGCTTTAAAAGAATGATCTTTGCACATTGCTGGCATGCTAGAGGCATGCACACTACTCGCTAGGATTTGTGTTGAGCTCTGCAGCATTCGTACATGAAAAATCCGGGGTCGCATTTCAATTGTCACCACTGTATGCGAAGGCACGTAACTGTCGATATAAGCCATTATTGGCAGCTACGAATGCTCCTGTGTATTCCTGTAAATATGTGTTGCTTGCATTGACTGCCATAGCACAATTTCATGACACGGCCTGATCTATGTTCTCGTCCACGTTCACTGTGTTTGTTTTAAACCTGCTCCGATTTATGCAGGTTGCGTCCACTGAGAATGCTGTTATCTTTGGCAACATTGTCTACGACGTTGGCAGCTCACAGTCCGACCGCAGCTGTGTAGTGCTGAATGATATTCACATTGACATCATTGACTACATCAACCCAGCGTCTTGCTCCGATCAGGAGTTCAGAACGATGTGGGCAGACTTTGAGTGGGAGAACAAGGTGAGTGTGTGTGTGTGTGTGTGTGTGTGTGTGTGTGTGTGTGTGTGTGTGTGTGTGTGTGTGTGTGTGTGTGTGATGCTTCTGCTCCTATTTCCGTTATGATTTTTCTGATTTCGACTCGTATTCCTCGGCAGCAACTGAGTCTGACCTGGAGGGACTTTACCCGCCTATAAGCAGGGAACACAGTCTGGTATGTGTGTGTGTGGGGGCGGGGGGTCTGCTCTGTTTTTCACAGTTGTATTTCGTTTCAGTCTTGCTAGCAATGTGACTAATGGGCCATTCACACTACGCCCGAAACGTGGCGTACGTGACGTTTTCATCGGGATAGCCATGACAACATGGAACGTGGCGGGAAAATCGTACCCCTGATACGAAAACGTAGACGACGTATCCAGACCCCTGTACCAAGGTTCGTTCTGTCGTTCCTGGCAGTGTCCAAAAGAAGCTGTGCGCACAGCTGTACGAAAAGCATATACGTGCATGTGTAAATGCATCTTCATGAAAACGACGCCTGCCAGTACGTCGTATTCCGAAACGCGACGCGTATTGTAACGTAGTATGAATAGCCTGTAAGCAGTTTCTTTCTTTCAACTGCCACGTTTGTACATGTATGTTGTATGTGCAGCCCACACAGCACCGTTACAAACTTGACTCGGTCCCACAAAACTATCACAATTTCTCTCACCGGCTATGGATTTTCAAAATATTGGGCTCTCTGGACAAGGCAGGCAGAATAGCGCTACTGCCATCCTCTTCGAAAGTAGCTCCATTACGCCCTCGGAATGATATTTCACGCCCGTACAGTGTACAGTGGTCTATCCAGCGCCTTTATGAACTACTTGTACCGTAAAATCCCGCCAGAGCGCCCCTACCTCCTTGACGCTTCAGGTGGGGAGGGGCGGATGGGCGAGTTCTACTTGCCGCATTCAGTACTACATGAAAAAGTACTCACCCTACGAAAACTGTTCATGCATCTCGTGCACCGACCAAAGGTCAAGAGCCAGGAGTCATACAGACCCATCAAAACTCAGGTGTGTGTGATCCCTGGTCAAGAGGGTGGGCACTGTTGCGTACATTTCCAACGGGGTTGAGCATGCGTCTGCAGTACAGTGCGGCATCACAGACTGTGACAGAGTCATACGAGGATACAATCAATCATGTCCCTGACAAAAGTCAGGGAGGGGCGGATGGGAGAGACGGGCGCTCTGGCGGAATTTTACGGTATATCAATTTTCAGCAATGTCGTTAGGTTGAGCACTCTTGCCTTAGCGCGAACCCTTGCCGCTCGCCTTGTGCAACGCTCACTGCTCTTGGAGCATTTCGAGCACTCTTGGCGGGGTTTGCAGCTCTTTATGAAAATGCTTTGCTTCACGGAAACGTATTTCATTGCGAAGAGCTGCGCTTCGGTCCTCTGAGCTGTGCTGATGAGCTCTAACAGAGCAAAACAGTTGCTGTCCACAGATTTGAATATACCAATTTTAAGTACTGTATAAGCAGAACTATTCGTCTGGAATTTAATTTCGTCTTTTTCGTCCAAGGAGCTTTGGGACTAAATTAAATGCCGGACTAATGTTGATCTGTCCAGCTTTTCAATACACTCTTATGATCCATGGACGAAATTTTCAACCGGACGAACTCCCTTTCTTTGGAGTTGGACGAAATTATTGACCGACGAAATTTTCTGCCTGTACAGTAGGTAGTATTTAAAAAAGGAATCAATCATTTTTTCCTCATTCTTCTGTGGCCCAGGTACTTGTCAACACTAACGTAAAAGATCCTCGTATCTACCTGGAGAAGCTCCTTTCCACGACTAACATGCGGTGTCTGACGCCCGACCGTGCTCTGTCCGGGCAGGCGACTTTCCTGGCTGCCAACCTCTACGCTAAATCCGTGTTTGGTGAGGACGCGCTGGCCAATATCTCCTTGGAAGTCAATGGAACTGGTCCAGTCTCTGGCCACCTCAGAATCCGAACCCGGACCCAAGGTATGGCGCTGTCTCTTGGTGACAAAATCAATCTGTCCCAGAAGAACTGGCAGTAATGCCGCGCTAATATGTCCTCACTTTCAGCTGGCTGTTGCTCCCTTGCCTGTATTACCCAAGGGATTTAATTATTTTCCCCGTTGCTGTTTTATTCTTAGTATACGCGTCGTCGATTAACTCACTCGTCTAACGTCATCATTTGTACTTTTGTGTCTTTTTTATGTACATCTATCTTCATTGTATGTTTTCCCCATGCATTGCTGTTCATGCTGCTACTGTGTTCGCATGCTGCGCACATAGATTTGCTTTCTTTTTCTTCTTTTTTCCGTCTACATGTACTTGGCCACAGGGTGACCAAGACATCTGAGAACTTTTATCTACATTGTATGTTTTCCCCATGCATTGCTGTTCATGCTGCTACTGTGTTTGCATGCTGCGCACATAGATTTGCTTTCTTTTTCTTCTTTTTTTCCGTCTACATGTACTTGGCCACAGGGTGACCAAGACATCTGAGAACTTTTTGAGCCATCATTTTTCGTGCCATCCATAATTATTGCAATTGTGTTGGTTTAGACTGGAGTGTATTGCTTCCTTACAATGCTTATACGGTAATAGTGATGGCATGCAATCATTGTATTTTTTACCCTGCTAAAGAAATTGCCACGGTAAACTTTTCAAAAAGCTTGGTGTCTTCTTGAAAGTAGCGAACATTAATGCATCGCGAATATTATTAATAGGTGGGCCGGGCTGGAGGGCAGGATTTGATAATCCAGCATCCAGCACCGGTAATAATAATATATTATTATTGTTGAATGCACAAGGAGAATTGCAAGGTAGATCTACTTCTGGATGATCATGCCGAGAAATGAAAATCATCTTCCTGAAAATCGTCTCACCTGCAAAAAGGGTGTGTTGGGGCTGGGAGGCTACATGTAGTAAATGTCCTACTAAAATGTTTGGTTTGAAAACCAACACGTGTTACATTCGCCTTGGGCACTTCAAAAACGCCCAGGGATTTGTGTACATGTACATGATTTAGATAAACCTTGTTTTGTTCAAACATGTTGTTGTTTGAAAGCATGTAACAAGGTGGAGGACACCGCGTTCGGAAACAGTGACCTTTCTACAACCATCCATGGTTGGTAGAGCCCCTGAACGTATGGGTGTTAGACCCGGTTCTGACCCTCTCTATTCCAGGGGACCAACCGTGGACTCCGATGGTTGTAGAAAGGTCACTGTTTGCGAACACAGTGCCCTCCACCTTGTTACATGCTGTCAACCAACAACAGTCATGGGCACGTCTGTACATGATTGTACAGTACAACAACAATTTCAACTGCACCACTTTACGACAAACTTTAATCTGTCAAACATCATGCCAGAAGTACATGATTATAGTTTTCATTAGGGGCTATCCGGCATTATCGATAATTTTCACGGAACGAAAAAGTTTAGCTAGGACCCCCGCCGCCCGAACGAAAATAGATTTGACTTGACAGCAAGAATGCCTTGATATGATGTCTCACAATCATAAATATGATTGTTTCGAAACAAAACTCCCCTTGATCCACCCACGGCCACTGCCCATAAACGAAACTTTTTCTCTTTGTGTAAAAGATCGATAATTATTATGGCCCCTTATAGACAACAGCTGGGAGTACAATGCTCTGATCAACATTCATGAGTGCGGCAAGCACGTACCCGTTACCGTGGTTTCAGCGACCCTGTTTGCGTGTTCAGTAGTACTGTAGTACTGACTGTACCATGTACAAGATCACTACTACTGTACTAGGGGGCTACATCAAAGAACAGTGAAGCGGGTGGCTACAAGGCCGGGGAAATACTAAATGGGCTCAGGAATAAACAATCGAATTCTGAAAAAATGGCTACTGTCCTATCTTTGGCATTCAGCAAAGCCAGGGCCTGGAGCAAAGTTTTAGGTCACTGCATACATTCTGTACATGGCATGCCATGCGTGCATGTAATGCAACACACCCGAAAATACCAGTAGTAAAAACAGGACTGAAAGTTTACAGAAGCAAGTACATTCGTACACATGTGTGTATGTATTATCTGCATCCTCTCATTCAAGGCATTCCACTCAAAATTAAAATTGTTTTGCACTAAATACCTATCAGCTAAACGTGGAGATAAAGATGCAGCATACAGTCAACAGTAGAGAGGTTCTGGGGAACGGCGTTCTGTGCCAAAATCCATACAGGCGCTACCGGTTTTCGAGGCGTGCTTCAAACGATTTTTCGGCACGGAGAACCCGTGTGGATTGGCTTTCATACGAACCATGTTTCGTATGGAGATTTTGCGTCATCGAGTGCAGAATTTTTCGTGTACAATTTTGATACGAGAAACATTGATTTTCGGTGGGAAGTATTAATTTTGGTACAAATTTTCAAAACAAAAAGGCATAACGCGTAACGTGGGAATATAACGTTATTGCAATCGTAACCTAGGCAATACGGCAAACACATTTTTTCCGTACTCCACAACAGTTTTAAACTACTTGAAAACAACGCATAAAAAATCCGTGGAACCTCTACGGATTTTGGCACGGAAAATCGTACCTGGAACCTCTCTATCCCTGGCCATCGTCTCAATGAGCATTGGACCCCCCCCCCCCTACCCTTGACCCCGGCACACACTCACATGTACCCGCATGCACCCGTGGCTTATAGTCTTACCGTGTCCTGCAGATCACAGCACGCAGCGACGGTTGTAAGTCTTCTTTTTCATCAGTGATCGTCTATTGAGCTAGGAATGCGTACTGAAATGTGCTCATTTGCTGCTGATGGCGCTGATACCGCTTTGAAGCAGTGGCGAGTGTGTGCGTAAAGACATGCCGCTGCCATTATTTGAGAATACAAGTCTGATGAGAGAGGATGTGGTTTGGTTTAGCAACTTAGAAGGGTGGAATCATGAGAGGTTAGGTATCTACATTTAGATAGCCAGAAAATGAGATGATGAGAGTGAGAATGAGATGATGAGAGTGAGAATGAGATGATGAGAGTGGATGAAGGAAAGTAATGGATGGAGAAAAAGCGGCTGAAGGATGGTATTGGATTGCCAGTGAGCTTAGATGCTTTGATTGGAAAGTGCCGTCATCGCATGCTAATTGCGAAGCCTGGTGAATTTTTGGCATTGCTGATTGTCATGTGGGCATTGGCATATTGCATACATGAGAGCAAAAGAAAGTGAGAGAGTCGCTGAGAGATTCGGGGCAAAGTGTGTGTATGGGGAGGGGGGGGGGGGGGCGTGATGTGCACTTCACCTGCATAGCTGTGAGGGTAAACTTGCTGGGTTGCTCATGCGGCCACAACATCATCACAGTTGGTACGCTGTGTGATAATCGGTGAGATGACTCCGCCCAGAGGGAGCTGAATCGCAAGAGACAAGTGAAAAACAATAGCATTATTTGATTTATTGATTTACTTAACGGGGAAGTCCGGTGAAAAATTTAAATTTCAGGGTCCGTAGAGTTTGGGGCACTGAGTCAAATGGCGTTGGTCCAGGTGTCTCCGACAAAGCGTTCTTGAGATATTTCCGGTTGAAAAACTGAGTTTCGGTGGCTGCGCCATGACGTCATGCGGCAGCGACACATCCTCTGCAATGTCATAGTGTGCAGCAAGGTCAAAAGGAGTGCGTGAAAGCAATTTTGTCAATGCTATTTCAAATGATTTGGCTACCGATAGTAGTTGGTGCAAGCGACCCCGAAGACCTAGCTCCATGTGAGAGTGAGCATGCAGTCATGGCTGACCATCATGAGTTCGGTCTGGGGCTGAGAACTTCGGTATTCTGCTGAAGAGTGAGGATGCAGTCATGGTTGACCATCATGAGTTCGGTCTGGGGCTGAGAACTTCGGTATTCTGCTGAAGAAATGGCCGTGCGGGCCGATCAAGAGTGAGCGCCACCGCGTTAGCGACTAATAAGGAAGCAGCAGCTATTGCGGATAAGGCTGATATAATGATCAGATTTCTGGAGGGCAGAGTTGGCAAAATGGAGAAGAGTGATGCCAGTGTTCGATAGCGACTCCAGTGGGCTGCCACAGTGATTTTTGGTGCGTGGCTTATTTCGGACGGTGCTCGATTGGCGAACAGTGCAGGCTCTTCGAACCACAGGCACGACTCTTCGGTTCAAGGCTCACAACACTACGGGATCTGAAAGTTTTCGGTCCGGAGCTGTTCGCTATTCTGTCATGTGTCACGGTTGTGGACTCATCGTTGTAGAATAAATGAGGCTGGACTATTCCATGCGGAAAACTACAATATTCCTTTCTCAAAGCACAACCACTAACCCGGAGGAAATCATGTCCATACGACTGATACGTGCAGTACATGACAAGTCTGTGTAGTATCTGTCTTGTATCACACGACTCACATAACACGGCAATTGACAGTGCGCTGCGGGAGTACGATTGTGTAGTCATACACTATATCTTGTGATGAGTTTGTTGCACACGCGCAGAGGCCAGAGGACGTAAAATGTCCAACTCGGAAAAGGCTAAAAGACGGGATAACCTCAAGATTTGCCGAACTGAAAATCTCAGGGAACGTAGTGTTTGTTACACTGATTGGACGGCGTCTTGGTTCGAAGAAGCTGCGTCAAACGGTTCCCCAATCGAAAGCTTTCCGAACAAGGGCCATTTGGCACACACATAGATGGTGTGGCTACCTGGCTGCACGCTGTGACGTCATCAGGGTGACTGCTCGCTTACATTTGCAAATGTTCGATTGGGCATATCTGACGAACCATGGACTGCGGCCTCCTCAGGCCAAGACCATTTGACTCCGCGCCCCAAACTCTGCGGACCCTCAGATTACATTTGTTCACCGGACTTCCCCTTTAAACACAGCAACGCAATTGCCGAATTCATCACTCATCCTTTATATGCAACACCACAGGTAGTGAGCCTCAACCTACTAGTAGATATTGTCATCTAAAATGCTTCCCTGTACTGCATGGATATTGGACTAAAGCGTATCAGAATTTCCTAGTCACTTGCCGTTCATACCGTTACCCTAGCATTGAAGATCTCTGGTACGCCATTAAATTGGTAAAACGCAATTGTGTCATGAATCAACATGTACATTACTTACTCCATCCGGTTGCGTCGGGTCGAAGAAAGCTTCATCAACCATTCTCTCGCCGTCCTCTACTACTGGGTCTGGGCAGAAAGAGAGGATGGCCGTGAGGCCGGCAGATTGATCCAAATTTGAAAAGCCATTGATACTGTTCAGGACTGGGTTGTTGCCGATGCTTATTAACCGTTGAACGCGTGTTAGCGAAAGAAGTCCATCAAGTGAATCCAATGCCTGTGGGATAGAGAAAGACACCAAGGCACACAACATCAGCAATCCTCATTCAGCAAATTTGTTGCAGAACTACGTTTAATTGTTCCAGCCACTTATGCTTGTGGAGAGACCTTCTCGGTAACCCATGCCATGTGTTGCCCACTGGAGGCTTTCCCGCAATCCGCCACAATGAGGTGAGGAACCTGGTAGCCGATCTGCTTACTGAAGTGTGCAAGGGTGTACTTGTCGAGCCTCAGCTTGCTCCTATTTAATGGCGAAGTGTCCCGAGCAGCCAGCACGGATGTTGCGTATGATGCAATGGCTGACATAAAGGTGCGCGGTTTCTTGCCCAGGGCCCAGGATGCGTTTGTGGATGTTCGAGTTTCCATCCAGATGCTGGGTCATATGGAAACAAGGCGGTTGATGCCCTTCTCCTCAAACATGAACAGAGAAAGAAGTTGGAATACATTGAGCGTATCATACATGTCGATCGCGGGACCTTCACTCCCCTCGTCTTCTCCACGACCGGATGTACGCCGCCAGAAACCAACCGTTTTCTCAAGCGTTTGTGCGGCATGCTGGCAAGCAATGACAATAAACCGTATGGAGACACGATGTCCTATATCCGGACTCATTTGGCATTTGCTTCGTGTTTGGCATACCACCGTCCAGTCAATGCACTCTGAGAGCTAACTGTTGTGAAGGGGCATATGTGAGCTGGTGCTTGTCCTAGGTCTTCTTTTATAATTTCTAATCCGTGTTAGGTAGTGTTAGCATCTCCCCACCTTGCAACAGAGCAACAATGTGTTGGATTAAGCTGGGAGCGCCGATACGAGCAACTGGTTATACATTGTTGTATCGAAGCAAGCACAGGATGACCCCGCTTGGAGCCGCTAGCTGGCTCGCAGCCGAGCCGCCAAAAGACTCTGCATGGAGCCGCCAAATGACTCTGAGTACAGCCGCCAAATGCTAAATATAGGTATGCCGAAAACCAGTTGAGAGCGTTACATTCACGTTTGCACCAGAAACGTGAGTTGAGGTAGAGGGTGGGAATAAATGTTCTGCAAGTTGCAAGCTCGAAAGTCAAAACAGCAATGACAATGCAAGAGACTTTGCGCTGGATTTTGAAGGATGCATACCCGCGTGACTTGTGCATGCGCACAAATTGGGTCAGCTCGCTGGGCTAGCTGCTAACTTGTGTTAGGCCCCGGTCACACCGAAACAAGCCACTTTGGGCTTGTTATCGCTGGCGCTCAGCTAGCTTGCGTGGTCCCCGTGACGCGGTCACACCAGACCTTGAGTGCAAAGCTTGAATGGCTTGTTTTTCTTACCCGCCAAATTTTGAATATCTCGAAACACACCAATGTTTGCAAGAAACAGGAAAGCAGAACGTTCGCGATCTAAAACTGTACTTGTTCTAGTGTTCAGTTTTGATGAAGAAGCAAAGGAAGCCCGGGTTCTGAATTGCGAAGTCGGGCTCTTTTTATTTGTTCGGTGTGCATGGACGCGATGGTTCGGGTGGTGTTTCCTGATGTCGAGCTTTCTGCCCCGCCGGTTGCCGTTCTTCAACTCAGTTGCAATCCACTCTCTTCTTCGTACCCGGCTTTCTTCATGAATTCGGTCGTGAGTGTGGTGCCTTGTCTTGGCCTCAAACCACAGCTCCAACAATCTACGCAGCAGTCTAGAGGCACAGCGGCAGAAATCGATGGTCGTCGGACAAAATCCAAATCAAACGGTTCCACGGACACAAGAAAGAACATCAATATCAGTTCATCATGTCAACTAGCTACATGGTGTGCTCCAAGCGCACTCAAATAATTTTTTGAATTTCGGCTTTCAGCCGCTTGTACAAGCTGTGGCTGAAACAAGCCGGAAAAAAACGGAGAGTCAGCCACGGCTGAAAGTCGCTTGTAGTTGTAGTTGTAGGACATTTTTCAGCCATTTCCATGGTAATAGTGACGTAAACAAGCGCTTTTTTCGGCTGAACGGCTGAATCGAGCTCGGTGTGACCGCGGCCTTAGCATGCTAACGCTCAATTATTGTGCTTGTGCATCATCACACTAGCACATTATGTAGCATGGTACTATTTTCCATGAAAGGGAAGAATCAGTTTTTTCAGTGCCCACCAAAGACTATGCAGCATAACATTGCAAGTAATAACACATGCATGTGGAAAAGAAATGACTGCCTACTGAACTGGTATTGCCATGGCAACCAGAGCACATCGAGTTATGTACTGTAGCAAGAAGGACCCATGAGTGTGTGTGATCCCCGGTAGCCCAATCGGTAGGGCACTGTCGCGGAAAGACAGGGGTGCTGGGTTCAAATCCCGCTCGTGGATCCTTCTTTTGCAACATTGGCGCCTGGCAATGGCTCGAACCCACGACCCATCGTACCCCCCCCCCCCCCCCCCCCGCAAGTAGGTACGACGTGAGGACACAGCCTGTTGGGGCGGGGAGCAGTGTAGCAAGAAGGACCCATGAGTGTGTGTGATCCCCGGTAGCCTAATCGGTAGGGCACTGTCCCGGAAAGACAGGGGTGCTGGGTTCGAATCCCGCTCGTGGATCCTTCTTTTGCAACAGTACTATGCATGAGCACTCCAAGCTCCCCTGATGGGACCATGTATGAGCACTCCAAGCTCCCCTGATGGACCCAAGGTGGACTAAGAAAGTTGAAGATGCCGGCTCCGGAGATTGCATAGGACATATCAGGATGTTCATCAGCCTCTTGAGCATGAACGAAATACCCATCCCACTGTCTACTCGTATACGCATGGAGTACATGCAATTCCATTTGTCTGGTTTATGACAACCAGCTACAGTATTAACAGCTGTACAGTGTATATACGTTATACCTTTTTACACTGAACTTCAAGGGCAAAGAAGAGGGAGCGACTTATAATCGAGGGTGAACACCTACTTATGTGAATAAAATTAAACAGTATGGTTGAGACCTGAGAATGGGGATGAGACTTATAAGCCGGGAAATGCGGTAACTGACAGGAGTTGCAATAAGTCAGTGCTTTGGTACTGTCCTCACAAAAATCCAATAACTCTTACCGGATTGCCGCTGACAATGAATGCTCCTATTGTTGCAATTCTGTCTAGACCACTGAAGGAGAGTACGCTCGGGTTTGAGCTGACGCTTATACCGTCGGCCGTTGCCAGACAAGCCAGCCCAGTCATGTCAGTGATACCAGTGTTTTGCAAGGTCAGAGTATCTGAACAAACCAAAAAAATACATAACACTTCATTGCCGCATCAGCACAAGTAGTGCCAATATACTGGCGACTGGACGCATTACGAATTCGGATAGCAACTTTTTTAACGTGTTACTGTCACACCAAGGTTCAACTCGAGTGATGGGAACGCGCCCAAGCAGGCTGTAAGCTGTACCCTGCACTGGGCCTGCAGGCTCGGTGACCAGGTGACTTGTGCCCGCATGAGCACGTGACCGCTTATTCAACTATGTTCAGTTGGGAATACGGGCCGAATGCTGCATCGCAGCTTTCTCGGACCAAAACCAGTCAACTCAGCGCCTGAAAGACTACAACATATGGGCCAATCGCGGTCATCCGTGCTTTTATAAGAACGAAATGGCGCTTTTAGTGACATTTTGCACACAAATCCCCAGCTAGTAGGGCACAGTCACCCAGTTTCAGTGGAAGTGCGCGTCGTTCGATTGGGAATAAAGGAGGAGCGGAGCGTCTCAGCATTCGACTCAGCACCTCGAAGACTACAACTGGTGAACATTTGATTTGGGGCTTCAGGGGAAGTTAAGCCTAAAATCAAAATTTCACCAGTTGTAGTCTTCGGGGTGCTGAGTCGAATGGTCTTGGTCCGACGAAGCCGAGACGCTCCCTTCCTTCTTTCTTCCCAATCGAACTAGCACACTTCCACTGAAACTGGGTGACTGCGCCCTACTAGATGGGGATTTGTATGCAAAATGTCACTAAAAGCGCCATTTCGTTCTTATAAAAGCACCGGGTGACCGCGATTGGCCCATATGTCGTAGTCTTTTGGACGCTGAGTTGACTGGTTTTGGTCCGAAAAGGTTGCGATGCAGCATTCGGCCCTTATTCCCAATCGAACATTGCTGAGCAAGTGGTCACGTGCTCATGCGTCCACCAGTCACCTGGTCACCGTGCCTGCAGGCCACAACTTACAACATGTTTGGGTGAGTTTCTGTCACTCGAGTTGAACCTTTGATTTGAACCTTGGTGTGAAAGTTGTCGCCTGCTGGCGTGGTGACGAGGTGACTGGTGTACGCAGGAGCACGTGACCGCTTGTTCAACCATGTTCGATTGGGAATAAGGGCCGAACGCTGCATTGCAGGCTTTTTTGGACCAAAACCATTCGAAGCAGTGTCCAAAAGACTACAACATATTATGGGCCAATTGCGGTCATCCATGCTTTTATAAGAACGAAATGGCCCTTTTAGTGACATTTTGCATACAATTCCCCATCTAGTAGGGCGCAGTCACCCAGCTTCGGTGGAAGTGCGCGAGTTCGATTGGGAATAAAGGAGGAAGGGAGCATCTTAGCTTCGTCGGACCAAGACCATTCGATTCAGCACCCCGAAGACTACAACTGGTGAAATTTTGATTTTAGGCTTAACTTCCCTTTCACCCATGCAAAATGGACCCTTTGAAGCAAACTGCTATCGTTCACCATCCTGCCAGGGAGGATGTAAATCAGCACACTCGTGCAGTCATGGGCAACATCCTAGGTATGCCATGTTGCTTATGTGAGGGCATCTGCTATACAGAACGTCAGCTGATTCTCCTGTACATTGTTGTTCGTAATACATGCATTACATGCATTGCCCAAAACCAAACTGAAAGAGAAAAAAAACTTATTCGAGGAGGGCCTCCATGATTCTTAAAACATTGCTCAAGAAATGTGAGAGAGATCAGGCTTAGAGAGGGTCGAATGCAGTTTAATGTCCATTCGTGCTGCACTGTTTTCACGGTAGTTGTGGCTGAGTCACTAAGGTGGTCTCCTCTAGTGTAGTGACCACCATACCAGTCTCACCGCTATGTAAATACGACAGGTCAATGCCCGGACTACGTGTTACAATAGATAACACTGCACCAATGGACTTCAAGGTTGATGGTTATGGAAACACCAAAGCGGGGAACAGTCGACGTTTTTGCTGCTATGAGACGTGGCTTGTGTTCGCCCTTGTTGCGCTTACCTTGCCTCCTTTGGTCTTTCCTTGGCCATGAAACTTCAGAACTAGAAGGTGTTTGGTTTGCGCATTGGAGGTGTGTTGGTGCTAGATGTAACGTTGTTGAATGACTCGGTACATGTCGGTTTGGTGCCTAGTGGGTATAGCTTTCTGACTGTTTACTCTGATTTTAGAAATGTTAGGTGCTCACTATTTTCGGTTCGAGGGTAAAAGGCCAGGTCAGGTGAACAGAAATTTTAAGTACAGAGAAGCAGTTCCCCATTGTATTAGGCGTGTTAGTGTTTGTTCGGTGTATTGAAATTTCAGGTATGAAACAGATGCACCGAATGTACCAAAAATAAATGTACACCGAAAATTTGTGCAATTACAGAATATACAGTGAAAGCTGTGTAAGGCGACCCCTCAAGGGACGAGAAAAAGTGGTCGCCGTGGCCAGGTGGTCTTCTTATCCAGGTTCAGCGGGTCACATCACCATATCCACATGTGATACATCATTTTGATCAGTGTATCACAGTGCACACACCTATGCTACTCTAGCACGACTCATGTGCCTGGGTCCTCAGACCTGTCAAATGTTGTCCATGCACCATGTACATTACATCTACACTTCCTGCACGGATGTGTAGATCTACCATGCAAGGTGCACCATGCAATGCATACATTTACATGTACTAGCACTATGCAACGCCAATGCCTACATTTACATGTACTAGCACTATGCAACGCGGTCGTGGGTGGGCGGTCGTCGGTCGCGTTGAGTGAGTGGTCGGCTTATCCGAGCTGTTTCGAATGTGAATGCGTCCGTGACAAGGACAAGTGGTCGCCATAGTCAAGTGGTCGCCGTTACAGGTTTACTGTACCTAGTAGCAGTGGTGGACAGTTCCCCATAATGCGTGTCCCCCCCCCGCCCCCCGCCTTAACATATCCTTAATTAACTAACTTACTAGTCACAGTTCCAAGGTTGTTCAGTCCTGCCAGACTTGCGAGAGCGGGGTTGTCTACTAAGGTTACTGTTGATATAGTAATCGAGCACGCTTCTACAGCAGGATTGAATATTTGAGAGATATCTTCCAGTAGGGGGTTGTTCTCAACCACCAGCGAGGTCAGCGCGGTCAGAGCCTGCAATCCATTGAAGTTGACGATTCTGGTACTTCGAATGATTAAATTGCCAATAGACTGGGCAAATACATCAGAAACAGACACAGAGAAGCTCACACTCAAATTTGCCAATATTACAACTGCGCTGCGAAGCACACACCTTTCATGTGAAGCTGACGGTGTTCCTCACCGAATACCCATTTCTGACCATTGCCTGCTATTTTCACGATTTTCCAAAGTAGGATTGAACAAAAATATATACATGTGAGAGTAACGATGATACAATAAACTACTCAACTACATTTGAAATGTGCTGCAGACTACAAACAGGCAAGGAATTGAATGCTTTGTCTTGCATTTGCTTTTTGAACCCTGGTGGACCCTGCTGGTTACATAGCGATCTCACACTTCTGAAACACTACAGTAAGATCGGGCGCCGAAGAACACCTCGCCGAAGAACACCCAGGCTGGAAAACCGGCAAAATTTAAGAACAGTCCAGGCTAGAATTATCAGATTTAAGAACACTTTTAAAATTTGGAATTTCCACATGAGTGCACATTTCCACATGAGTGCAGTATTTAACTGATTGGCTTTGAGTCATGTATGGAGGTGAGTACATGTCATGTACACGTGTAAACAGTAACTGCTACATGTACAGTCATTCCCATTTACGACACCCACTAGTTTAGAAGTACTACATAATAAGTCATTGCACTACATGTACATGACAAACGTCATGACGTCACTCGACTCGCAGCGCGCGTGTGAATAAGAACGGTCTGGCTAGAATCAAAAATTTAAGAACTTTCCTAGGCTGCGCTCGAGCCCCTGCGTTCTTCGGCGCCCGATCTTACTGTATGATTGATTGTCTAACTCACCGTTACTCTATTGAGGGCATTGATGTTGTTAATTGTGCAGCTTTCGTCGGGTGACTCGCATTCAAGGGTAAGCCGGCCAGAAATCTGAAAAAATAGATCCATGTTACAGAATAGAAAGAATTTTTCAAACAAATTGTTGGCCAACACGCCAAACATCGCACCATTATTCTTAACGGTGAGAGGACAATCATTTGAAATTAAGAGGAGGAACTGAATCGAAATGTGCTTACCAGCACGTTATTAAATCTATTCAGTATCAACAGTGGACACAAGAGCCAACAGTAGAAATAGTAAAGGAGGAAATAGTAGTAAAGAAACTATAGACAATGATTCAAACAGGTGTTCTATCAAAACCGAGTGGGATTAGTTATTTTTCAAAGTCTTTGTTAGTAGGGACTCTACAATGTATTAGAAATCAGGTTGAACACAAGAATTGAATTTTAAGATTCTCATACATCTTCTAACCCCGCTAGCTATCCCATTGTTATTTTTCTACCTGTCTGCTGATCAAGACTTCGCAAAAAAAATTCAGCAGTATGCTGCAGTAAATCCAGCTTTTATGCAAAATGCCGTAAATCGGAAGAAGGTTACGTTTTTCAGTAGATTGGTGCTTTTGGTGCCTTGTCCAAACTCAAAGGCACAATATCTCACACAAAATACTCACACTGGTACATATCGATAGTGCGTCGATTCCAGCCTGGGTGCCTATATCGGACCCATCGCACGGCATGCCAGTTGAAATATTCTAAAATCACAGAGCAGTAATACAATTATTATTGCGATCGTGTACTGACTGATATGCTACACATGCTGCACATGAAAGACATTTTGTCCACCAGAGATCCTTCACCAAACCAAAAACAATCCCCAATAAACGTTAGCAAGAGTGACGAAGAAATCTGTGCTTTGGGGGGGGGGGGAGTGAATTCACTGGACACAAAAATCAATTCAATCAATGATGCGCTGCAAGCCCAGGCTCACGCTAGTGGCAGTCAATTACTTTGACTTTGTTGATGGGCAGGTGCATATATATACGATGACTCGGTCACACTGCCCTGTTATCGCCTCTATTCTCACCTATTTCCGTCAACTCTCACTAACAACTCAATACCACTGTCCCAATGCCACGTCTTCACTTCACACATATGCACTAACTTCCACACTAGCATCAAATATGCGGCTGTCTGATGATCGCTGAAATGCGTGAAACTTAAAGTTACAGCTAAACAGCCTTTTGCCTCTGTTATGTGTGTGTGTGTGTGTGTGTGTGTGTGTGTGTGTTTGCGTCTGTTTGTATGTGTGTGTATGTATGTGTGTGTGCACACAAGTGTGCTGTCGTCCGGCGAAATTACTGGTCAGTCGGCGACACGCATTTTTCACAAAAATTTGCGTTTCACGCGCTGGGAGAGTATGCGTATACTCGAGTCTCATCCTGAGCACGTTTTTTTCTTCTTTTTTTTCAGCTCCAGTATAGCTGTATTTTTCATTGCAAAGCCGTCCTCGATTGTTGTGTTCGTTGTTCAAACGAAGTGGACATTCAATCATGAAGGCAGAGGACATAGGAGCCTGATTGGAGTTTCTCGTGGCATAGGACGGCCACACACAGAGACACTTTGAGATTTTCTGAATATAAAATACCGTACGCACGATGCTGAGATCAATTTGTGCGATATCAAATTGTTTGTGATCTACCACATCGAGCAGAACGGGATCCAAACACAAGCTCACCGACGGTTAGGCTGCCGACCTGACTGGACAAGTGATCCCTGGCTTCACCAGACGCCAGAAGTCGGACACCATGTCCTTTGCCGCGACGTCCGTCTCCAAAAAGAACTCCATCTTCGTCGTGAAAAGGCTTGAAATACTCCATATTCAACCGAGATTCGCGGTCTCACCCTTTCTCAGATAGAATCATTTGTTGTTGTACCAGTTGCAGGGCAGATCCCCGCCACTACTTCAACAGAAGATGGCTCCAAAGCATGCCTGGAACAAGCCATATCGAGGTTGCAAGCCACCCCTCTCAGGACCTTTTTTGAAGAAATTCGAAATTTCAATGGTGGAAGATATACTATGAAGAGAATTTCAAAAAGTATGTTTCGCGGAGCGATCGCTCAACCTACGTCATTCAAACTTTGCAGGATGGTTCAGACGTACATGCTAGGCATGGAACCACAGAAGATGATATCATAGCTGACACACACAGTCACACACACAGCAGATTCGTGTGCACAGATACTAAATTAGTGGACGTCGTCATCTTCTTCCCGCTGATCTCAAATGTACTATGACGTGCTATTTCGCCTGACGGTCCCCGCCACTACTTCAACAGAAGATGGCTCCAAAGCATGCCTGGAACAAGCCATATCGAGGTTGCAAGCCACCCCTCTCAGGACTTTTTTTGAAGAAATTCGAAATTTCAATGGTGGAAGATATACTATGAAGAGAATTTCAAAAAGTATGTTTCGCGGAGCGATCGCTCAACCTACGTCATTCAAACTTTGCAGGATGGTTCAGACGTACATGCTAGGCATGGAACCACAGAAGATGATATCATAGCTGACACACACAGTCACACACACAGCAGATTCGTGTGCACAGATACTAAATTAGTGGACGTCGTCATCTTCTTCCCGCTGATCTCAAATGTACTATGACGTGCTATTTCGCCTGACGGTCCGCAGGCTGTCTGCATTTGTGAACGTGTGTGTGTGTGTGTGTGTGTGTGTGTGTGTGTGTGTGTGTGTGTGTGACCAACAGCCAGTGCATGCCGGAGTATGTGGTGTGATGTGTGCGAAAAAATGAAAAATTGTCAACGCTGCAATCGCTGCTTCATGTCCCGGGCTGGTTTTAACCGCCATAACTGCAACCGTGGAAAACGTCTTGCTCTGCAACCACGGAGGCACGTGATTGACCACCTCAGCAAAACAAATGCAATTTTGCAGCGTAGCTGTGCCATCACAACAGCGTACTGGAGGTCACTATGCTTGTTAACCACCAGCTGAACAATGTTCTTCAATGCACGAGAGCACTCCGTGCCACATACGCCGTTTGTCGAAAATACGAGCGGAGTGAATGACCCCCTCTCGACATCGACAACACGCTGAAGATAGGCCCGCTTCTTCTGATGTTCATTCCGGGAAATCTGTGCAAGGACTTCCTGTCGCGACAGCAAAGACGCCGAGGGGTGAGTAACCCTCACATCAAAGAATGCATCTTGCTGTGGCGACCAAAAGCCCCTTGCACGGATATCCAATCAAGCCTCTGCAGCACGATTAGCGGTAGCGCCGTGAAGTTGTTCACCGTCCAACGGCAAAACGGTGGCTCTGTTTGAACATCCGGGATGGCAGAAGTCATCACCTCCACCAGCACATCACGAAGCTCATTGTGTCACAGACTTGGGTAGCCCCCTGTAGGGCATGTCAATGCATGGTCGACAGACATGTCTCTACCACACACACAAGTTGGTGGGAGGCCGACAATACTCCAGCCATAGCGCAGGGCGAGACCATCCCGGAAACATGCTTTATTTAGTGCAAAGCCGTTCACAGCCAGAGGCTCAGCCGTTAGCCAACTGGAAACGCCAGCATCAGAAGCAATCTCCAACAGCACCCGCTGACATGGGCTGAGCTCAGGACGCAAAGCAACCTGAGCCTCCTTAGCCGCAGTAGCCATTCTCCGACGTTCGGCATTTCGCAATGCCATTACCTCCGCCTGCAAATCAACCGGAGCAATGTCAGCATCAGGGCGACGAAGCAAATCAATCACCGGCCGTGCCGAGGCCATACTGGAGGTCCACTGATGCACTGCATGAGGCCCAATGGCAGGAATTGAGAGACCACCGGACTTGACGGGCAAGCCGATGAGACTCCGCTCAACGGTGGACATATTCTTTTGACCAGTGATTGCTGGTATCAAGTTGTTGTCAATCACATTATCTAGCCTGCCGAAAGCATCCGGCTCCGGCAAGCCATGCGAACACATATGGTAGCGCCAACGCGACCTCAATCCGCGGGAGAAGACAGAATACGCAGCATGTGGCTGGGTTTCCGCCAGAGTGGAGAGAGTACCTCCCTCCCTGCACCATACGGAAACATGACGACACAGGCTCTCCTGTACGAATTCCTTCTCACCAATGGCCCCACCAAGATAGCGAACACCATTGGTTAGCACACGTATACCCGTAGGGTCGAACAGCTCTTGGGCTTCAGACTCCAGGGTGGGTTTCACCAGCAGAACTGTCTTAGCAGCATTAGGGTAATATCCATACTTCGGGCCAATCTCCTCGATGGACTTCCAAAACGAATGCACGGCCGCCAATCTACCACCAGACTCGCCATCATCCGCGTACCAGCATTGGTTCACATCAGGGTGCTGCTCACGGAGTTTACAAATCATAGGAGCCACCGCAAGAGCAAACATGGCCATGGCCAGAGGGTCTCCCTGACAAGTTCCCTCGCGCGAGTACAATACTACGCCACCAGGAAGAAATAGTGGAATATCCGCACCATGTGTATTACGACAAATGTTTTCCATCGGTGGACACACACATGCGATATTATGCAAGGCGGCCTTCCTGTTGATTGCGTTAAAGGCATTAGATGCATCGATGAGTAAGATTGCATCAGTGTCATCGGCGAGATATTGTTCCTGGACGGCACGCACAGCCGCCTCACAAGCTGCCGGCACACCAACACACAGCTGATGAGGGATCACGGCTGTCGCAATATCAGACGATATACACTGCAACACAGCCTTAGCGATGATCCGGCGAGCGACTTCCCCCACCGCAATCGGGCGCACACCTGGTCTCTTGTCCAATGCCACGAGCCGTGCCGCAACAAAAGCCGACAGAGAAGTAGTAGTAGTAGTAGTAGTAGTAGTAGTAGTAGTAGTAGTAGTGTGTGTGTGTGTGTGTGTGTGTGTGTGTGTGTGTGTGTGTGTGTGTGTGTGTGTGTGTGTGTGTGTGTGTGTGTGTGTGTGTGTACTGTCTTAGGGCATGCAAAAGTAATATAATCTGCTTTTGAATTAAGTTCTTATTGTATGCACCACCACACGTCTAGCTGGTGTTTGCCCCTAAAATAACTACAAAACAACAATCAAACACATGCCTCTCCCCCCCCCCCCCCCCCCCCTATATTCTTCACGCACAGATAAGACTCTGATTTATGCATATTTCACCACAGCCCCTACGACCTGTTTGCTCTCAATTCTCTTGTTTTGCGAAGAACAGAGTTTAACCTCTGCCCCGAGTGTTAGCTCACTGTCTATTTATTGGGTTGCGGAAACCTATTGGGCTGTTCCTTGAGAGGAGAAGTGCCAACTGGCAAATGCACCACTCACCTGACATCTGTCACCTGTGAATCCAGCTGCGCATAAGCAGACAAAGCTGGCTATTTGATCCTGGCAGGTGCCATTGTTCATACACGGTTCACTCATGCAATCGTTGATATCGGTCTGAAAGCAAATCAGAGTGTAGAGATCAGATCACAGATAAGTTGGGAATCTGGGATTTCGTTGACTAGCTTCTAGAAAGTGTTAGGGGAAACACGCTACGTCTGAGTTCGCAAGCTTTAATAACTTCTCCGTTTACGAAAATTTTAGTGAATGTGCATGTACTTATAAAAATATGATGGCCATCTTCGCTTTCTTCGGGGTCGACTGATATTTAGCCAAAATTCCAAGCGAAGCTGCCCTAAATAGACAGGAAGTACATTGTTATGTCATGCTCGACTTTTCCATCTCGAGTAAGTTTTGTTTTTTCACGGCTGAGCGTAGCAAAATAGCGCAAAAACGTATTTTTCACTCACAAAATTAACATTTTCGTGCATTTGCATGTGCTCTTGTACTGCGCAAGTCCGTTGAACCTGCCATCGTGGTCTTTTGTTTTCCTCGTGCTAGTTGAAGTTGCCCGCCTACCCACCCCGATGTAATGGGTGTCGTCCGTTGTTCTTCTTCATAATGCCGATGCGTGTGGCATATGACATATCCCGATTCTTGTTTCTCTCTATTCTTGGGTCTGACTGCCAGGGCAGTGGGGCAGGCAGTAATGACATAATGTTTTTTTGGCCGAAAGGCGTGTTTTTCCTCTAGCCCGGTTGACCGGTTGTGGCTAGGAATGTACGGAGTCATTGTTTTCAGGCGCTCCCCTGCTGCCCAGTCACCCATGTTCACCACTGACCATGCTGTTTCTCATGATTTAGCGGCCCTTTCTCCCGCATGCTGGCAGTTCTTTGACCGATTTTAAATAGATTGTTTTTTTCCGCTATTTATCTATCATGTGGCTGCGAGCGTGGTTTTCTTCTACTCATTTCTGGAAAACCACTACAGTTGTGAGTGTGATTGCTCTGGTAGACCACTACCCCATGTACTGAACAGTAGTTTTGTGGGTGAAAACAATAGGTTTGTTTAGTGACAGTTCCCCTTTAACTATTCTGCTTCCCCTTCAAGGTGTGAGAAAGTACCACAATGAATCACATACCTCACAGAGAGTACCAGTAAATCCATCGTTGCAGTTGCACATAAAGCCATTTAGCTGGTCGACACACTCGCCATTCTCACACGGGTTCGAATCACACTCGTTGATTTCAGTCTGGAAAAGGAGCAATCGCATTGTTTCACTTGTCAGACCTCCAGCAAAATACCCCCATTTTACAAGACACAGATATTTTCGAGATTACCATCATAGTCGCGTGCAAGTATTTCACACGTTGATTATCAAAATCCTGAACAGATCCTTTAAGGCTGCCGTCCAGTGGGGGATCCAGGCGTCAATTGGCATATCAGTTCTTCTAAAGAAGAACACTAACATCTTAGTAACACTCATAATTTTTCTGCGTGACGCTGTCGCTTGGACGTGGGTCTCATGGTACAGCATGAGCCGAAGCATCATCTAGCTAGTCTTTTATGTCGGTCAAGCAGGAATTAAAAGAGACAAAGTGTGGAAGCTTGGATTTCACCTATACAAACTTTGGGTGAGAAATGCAGAGACTACGTCCCACTATGGTCATGGTGAAAGATGTGTGAGACGCAATCATCAGTAGTGTCAGTCTTACCTGACACAGAGGTCCTGTCAAGCCACTGGCACATGTACACGAGAAGCCATCGACAAGATCAACACAGGTGGAACCTTCTCCGCACTGATTGTTATCTAAACAATCGTCAATGTCAGTCTGCAGTCACAAAATACACACACGCATGCACGCACGCACACACACGCACGCATGCACGCACACACGCACGCACGCACGCACACACACTCACACGCATGTGTGCACACACACACACACACACACGCACACACACACAGATGCACACACACACACACACATACACACACAATCATATTCACACATACACACACACACACATACACACACACACCATCATTATACACACACATACAAGCATTCACATGCGTCCTCTGGCTGACCCCAGTCACATCAGCAACACAAGTCCAAGTTGTCGTAGATATTTGTACAAAGCTATTCTTCTACACAGATATTTGGGTCATATAGATTCTGAGATCTCATTAATGAAATTTGAACTAAACCAATAACATGATCTGGCACATTGTTTCTATTCATGTCTGAATTCACTATACTAATCTGTAATGGCAGTCTGATTCATTCAGTGGTCATTCAATGTCTTACTCCATTTCTAGAATTTAGAAAGAGAGAGATATGGCTCTAGCAGGACAAGATCCGTGTGCTGGTGCTAATAGTGACACCAATGTACTCTGTTATCTTCAGTACTTGCTCCAACAGCAAAGTCGTTGGCTGGGCAATGTAGCTTGTGTATTTGACCAAAACATTAACCAGTGACCATTGGGTATTACCGCTGCTGCTCATGTGCACTGAGTTACACCGGGTGGTGGAGTTAGGAAAACTCACCATACAAAATTGTCCTGTAAACCCAGCCGCACAATCGCATGTGATCGCTACGCCATCACCCTCCAAACAAGTGCCTCCATTCTGACATATGGTGGGTGTGCAGAAGTTGAGGTCACTCTGAGGGAATAAAAGGATTAAAAGCAGGCATATTGATCGAGGAAGCATTAGATTGGCACTCATAGAACCACTGCAAATAGGATAGCCTGAGGATACCTGACATTGATTGATTGCTGGTGTAGCCCTTTTAAAGTTTCAAGAATACACCATAATGTGTATGACACCTACAGTAGCCACACAAGTTGACTTCTAGGTGTACTAGAATTGTTTCCAAGCCGGCTCACACGTTTACTGACTCAGTGTTGGCCATCGGCACGTAGTTGCAAATAGGAGAAATGATAATTATTATAGTCCAGCAAATAAAATGTTCCAAATATTCAAGGTTTGTGTGGCACTTGGCCCAACCTAATTTTACTCCATCCACAGGAACGCTACCACCCTCAACAATGAGGGTGCAGATTCAGCTCCTAAATTGGCGGGAGGTGAGTAGATCAGGTGCGCCACAAACAGGACAAAGATCTCGAATACATTTGTCTGCATCCATGTTTCCCTCGTGTCAGGCCACGGGCTCCCAGATAATTGTGGGCCATGGGTACAGTAAACACTCAGCAGTGCAAAGAGCTTGGTGAATTGGAACACATCTCACCTCACAGGTTACTCCAGTGAAGCCGCCAGGGCAGAGGCATTCAAACGATCCAATGCCTTCAACACACGTGGCACCATTTTGACATGGCATCGAGTCACACTCGTTCACCTCAGTCTAGAGTAGAACAAAGACAAGCATGGGGGAAACCGGTCACAGTCTTTTGCATCATCACATGAAGAAATTAAATCAGGTTTCGAAAAACCTTACACCCCCAGAATGTTTCTCTCCGCACTTAACAACTAGGCCCGCAGTTCTTGAGACACAGGCATTGCATGGGTGTATTAGCATGCAGGCAGTCATGTACTGACCTGGCAACGATCACCCGTGAATGCAGCGTCACAGTTGCAAGTGAAGGCATTGATTCCATCAATACAAGTGCCACTGTTTTCACACGGCTCCGGTTCGCAGTCGTCAATTTGTGTCTACAGAACAGCAAAGAGTAGGTAGAGAGTAGAGATGATAATTATCAAGTACCAGGAGCACACATAGTGAAGCCATCAGCTGCCATTACCCACCATTCACAAGTGCAACTTTGGCAGATCTCATCTATAATATCTCATTTTTGTATCGCCAACTATGCTGGAGCGAAAACATGGCCCACCTCCAATCCTGGTTCTATCACTGGCTGAGTTCTGCTGTGAGTATTGTAGGAACTGTGAGGCACGACTTGGGTATTCTGCATAAAGGACCTTTGAAGCCGATAGAGGTGTTAGTGGACCTAAGCCGATAGAGGTGTTAGTGGACCTATTCACCACCAATTAGTGGTTACACTAATCCTGATTGTAATACTGCTATCACTTTGGAAAGTTTTATTTCATTTTTTCAGTCTTGGCTTTCTATAATATAGTCAGTCAGTTAGTCAGTCAATCAGTCAGTCTGCCCTAAAAGAGGCTGAGATACCAATCCCCAAATGAATAGGTTGAATTTATAGAAAAGAAAGCAGGACCACGGAACTACAAGTTGAAGAAGATTCAGGACATTATAATTATCAGAACGACCATGAATTCTTATTGCATGGCCTGTGTAAGGCTGGGAAACAACCGCCAAAGCGCTCGATATGCCGTTCCAGAGGTATGTGAAAAAAGTCAAGTTAGGCCACATGCTGCTTCAAGCGTCGTGCTCAGATTTGAATGAGGTATGTACACATATTCCCGGGCGTACAGTCATGTGGGAACCTATTCAGAATGTTACGCAAGTTTGACTCGCTTACGCACACGGGCTCTTGGCAATTTGAAAAATAAGCTGGTGCGAGGGGGGGGGGGGGACCAGACAATATCTGTCGGAATGCTTGCATCACAACTAGGGTGCCGAACTGTAGCATCAGTGTTTCCACTCTGGTGTTTCCACTCTGGTGTTTCGACTCTGGTGGTAGCATCAGTGTTTCGACTCTGGTGGTAGCATCAGTGTTTCCACTCTGGTGGTAGCATCAGTGTTTCGACTCTGGTGGTAGCATCAGTGTTTCGACTCTGGTGGTAGCATCAGTGTTTCCACTCTGGTGGTAGCATCAGTGTTTCGACTCTGGTGGTAGCATCAGTGTTTCGACTCTGGTGGTAGCATCAGTGTTTCCACTCTGGTGGTAGCATCAGTGTTTCGACTCTGGTGGTAGCATCAGTGTTTCCACTCTGGTGGTAGCATCAGTGTTTCCACTCTGGTGGTAGCATCAGTGTTTCCACTCTGGTGGTAGCATCAGTGTTTCCACTCTGGTGGTAGCATCAGTGTTTCCACTCTGGTGGTAGCATCAGTGTTTCCACTCTGGTGGTAGCATCAGTGTTTCCACTCTGGTGGTAGCATCAGTGTTTCCACTCTGGTGGTAGCATCAGTGTTTCGACTCTGGTGGTAGCAAGTATCAGCCTAGAGTGCTCCTCTTGTGACAGACTTTCGGGGAAGCCGATTATTGTAGAAATCTGCCAAGGGAGGCCAAAGTCATGACCTGGAAAATCCAGGAAATTTATTTTGATTGAGGTTAAATTTAGTCTGGTTATATTCTTCAAGTGCAGTTGCCACTGGTTAACATGAGAGGAAGCAGGTCTTACCTCACAGTTCATTCCAGTGAAATCAGGAGCACATGTGCAATTGAAGCCAGCAACTAGGTCAGTGCACGTCGCTCCATTTTCACATGGACCATCCGCACAGTCGTCGATATTGGTCTAAGGGGGAATGAAACACGGAAGAAGGGACAATACGGATTCCATTGGCCGTAATTATAGGCAGGATTACTGTGATATTCTAATCCAACACAATGTTCTGCATCTTTTCTCGCAAGATACATAATTATAACACGTTACATACTACTATGATATTGACTATTTGTAAAGTCGTGCTGCAATGAAGGTTTCGTAACGGATGATTGTTGACAGGTTCGAAATTGACTTATGTGCGTAGCCTGCACAGGTCATACGCAAATCTCTGCAAGTGCAAAACGTCCATGCAGTACATACTGCCTAAGTCAGTGCATTGAACCATCATGAACTGGCTGGATACGTGATATCGCAACAAATCCATAGGATGTTTGCTTTGAACTGTTGCAGAACCGGTAAGTGCAACTACAAACTGTAAGAGTTGGTGGACAAGCCGTTGATTATTCACTCTCATTGTAATATCAAAAAAGTATTCTTTCTAGACCAAAGGCATTCTTTATCCACTGACGATGTTGTTCAAAACAACGAAACGTCTGGAGAAGTATCGTAAATATTTCTATCGTTATTAAATGTTATCAAATATACCACTCTTTGGTCTGGAAAGAATACTTTTTGATATTACAAACTGTAAGGTTGATTGCGCTATACAACACCATTGTACTGGTTACAATTGGTTGAAGATTGGAAATTGAAATGGCTGCCACTGGTCTGGCTAGGAAGAAATGTTTGCTAGCCCTATTGTCCAAACCAGCAGGAGTACAGTTCTGGCACAAATTACACAAGCGGAACTTAGATGGCGAATTGAAAGCAGAGTATAGGGCTTGAAAGTGCTACGTCACAGCATAGCAACAATTTCAAAAATTCAAAAACTGGATCCACTTGGATCCAGTTTTTGTATGGATCCAAGCACATTTCAAGCGGTCTTACCCACAGCATGGTGATGTAGCCAGTGAAACTGACTGATTTGGCTACTGGGGGCGGGGTTACAACTGGTGGCGAAATAAAAGTCACACCTGCATGCGACATGAGTGGGTTGCTATGCACCCACATACTTAGGCAATAGCAAAGTCACACCTTAGTGGATCCAAAAATAGAAATCTGGTGTCAACTTACTACTCCCTGGCCGTTTTGACGTCATCACTTTCAAGCCCTATTGTTGGCGTAACAAGCAGCTGAATGGCAACAGTTCGACTATTTCGAAACACTGTGAGCATATCCAGATTCATTGTCACCAACCGGAGAAAGGTTTACGGAAACAGGAGCTGCTGGATAAATTAAAGTGCTCTATCCCAGGGAATGGTCCTTGCTTTGGATTTAGCATACTCACTTGGCTGCGTGTACTCTGCACACAAACTGAAATGTGAATGATAGAACCTACGTTCGATTGACCAAGGATGTGTCAGCAATTTAGAACATGCGTTGGAGGCATATCTGGAATGAAGGTAGTATTGAAAGGTTCCGTCGACCTCACCAAATACATTGTTACACAAAGCTGTCGGGCTGAATTCAGTAAAAAATAGTGGGGGCTGTTTGATGGACTCCTCTGCCTTCATTGTGGATGGTACGCTGATGTGCCTAGAGGACTCTTTTAAGGACAGGAATGCAAAGATACAGACAGGCCTTTGCTACACATTTACCTCACAGTTTTCGCCAGTGAATCCAGTCACACAGTTACAGGTGAAATCAGCAACCCCGTCCACACATGTAGCCCCATTCTGACACGGGTCAGGGTCACAGTCGTCGATATTGGTCTGCATAAACAGGAGCACACCAGGGGTAGGTAGGTTCAAGACAGAGCGCAGCAAGGCAGTCAGTACAGAACACAATAACTTGTCTTGGATGGAGAGCCAAGGATTATACAGTAACGAGAATGCAAAAAATAGAAACGTTTGTCAGAAAAGTGAAGCACCTAAATTTATTTGTACCGCCAACAACTGTACAGTACTGTGCTTCTTGGCTTGACTCACAATAACAATAGCACGATGCTGAATTAGAATCTTGAACCATTCTACTATGTCCAACTCCAACGGAAGACACCCAAGATTGCCTGATGTATTCAGGAGGGGCCACGTTGTCGCTGTGTCATCATCTATGTGCCAAGTGCTGAGTGACGGCACAAGACAGCAGCTTTGCCAAAAACAACAATCAGCCACGTATCAACTAGGCGTCAGCCGGAAACTGGTGACGGGATGAGGGAATGTGCGCTCTCTTGCAAGAACTATTGCGACTTTGTGAGCACTGTGTGAGCAGGCGTGTATTTCCCGCCATTTCACCGGGTGTGCCTACTACCCCCATTATTCGACCGTAACGGTATAAGATGCTGCGTCGGAGTCTTCAAGTCGTACAACTGAAGGATGAAGGTGCATTGAAATAGTGTTTCCTCACCTGACATGTAACTCCAGTGAAACCGGTTGGACATTCACATACAAACCGGTTCAGCAGGTTCAGGCATGTTGCATCATTCTGGCAAGGCATTGGACTGCATTCATCTATGTCAGTCTGAAGAATAGAACAAATTTGAAAAAAACATAATATATTACACGCCATGATCCAGTAACAGAAGAAGAAGAAAACAATACTTCCCCAGTTTGGTCAAAACCATCAAGACTAGACGTCAAATGTCAGCAGAAAACTATTCTCGATGTTTCACGCCTCCCACGAGGAAGACAAGAGATGACTTGCCTTGTGAGGCATGCGGCCACTCTTCTTTTCAGGCAGGGTGCGCACCCTCGTTCAAGATAACACTTTCCTGTATCATCGTATTTTCACCAGGCAGTCATACATACATACACACTTTGGTACGACTCCCTGCTTTCACTCATCCACTTGCACAACTGCTCAAGGTCAAAGGTGGCCTGTATGCTGCATGTAAAATATAGTTGGAATGCAGGCTTGGGAAAAGCGGCCTTTTAGATTCTATGTGATTTTGTGCTGGATGTTCTATCTACATACTTGTAGTGTACAGAGGGTCTAAGCAAGGATATGGATGTGGAATGTATTCCCCAAACCCTACTATACACTACTGGATGACAGGGGAGGTGATCTTCCATTCTATGTTTCTAGCGGCTTCCTCGACAGCTTCATTCAGTATCAAACCTGTCTTGCAAATTTTGCTATGGTTTTGTTCTCTAGGTTTTCCTGATACGTGATCATGGGGTGGTGGTGTCCCACTGAAGCGGAAAGGTGGTTCTTGACCCGCCCTGTACGCGAACCCGTGCTTTTTGTTTTGTTTTCTTCTTATTTTCCCTTCCTCCCTCTCCCCATTTTGTTTATCATGGTGCTAAGTTGCTCACTAGTATCAAAGAAGGTGTTCCCACCTGTTTGTGCTGCGACTTCAAATAAATTCAAAAACAACAGCTCTTTCAAACAATATCACCAAGCCATTGTTTGCACAACTGCAGTTGCCCATATGCCCACACACCCATATGCCCACACACCCATAGGACCGCTGACATCAAACAAGTAATATGAGTATTTTTACATTTAAGAACACCATGCGAGTTAGCCGGATAGTCAATTCCATGTATACAGTATAAGAAGACCTGTATCACCTACCAACTGACCTACTCCCTGCCAGCACTTACCGTACTTTCCCCATTAAACGTACACGTCTCCATTACTAGTACGTCCCCAATTGTAGTACATGTTGGGTGTGGATCGAAAATATAAGGACACGTCTCTAATAATAGTACATGCCGGAATGATGTGATGGGCATTAGTGGGGTACATATACCAGGCCCACCTTACTTCGTTTTTCTTACCCGTTCATCGTCATTGTGTCTTTGTACACTGATTCTTACCATGGTTGGGTGTATTTACAGCCTTACAGCATCATTATCACGAGTTGTTTGCCACCCAACCCAGGCAATCAATCTTCCCAGAAACAATAAAAGTACACGTCTCCAATACTAGTACAGTCTCCTATAGTAGTACAGGTCACCTTTGAAAAAATAAAAGTACTGTACATTTATTGGGGACAATACGGTATGTCCCAAAATGCTGTCCAGCAGACAACCCCAAACAAAAGTATTAATGATACATCTGTGGGGAAGTGGATCTTGTACCGGGATTTTGTGATGGAGATGTCCGCAGATTGAGATGGAGATCATAATATTTACAAGTGAGCTTCAGTGTACAACAGCCTGTTGCATGGATCCTGTGGCTTCGAGTCTGTCATGATTGGTGAGGAGTCCTGGAATTTGTGGTTTTTTATTGGACGTTGTAGTCATTGACTATCTACTGTATAGGCGTGAATAGAAGCCCCGGGGCTCTATTTTTCCAGAAGACACATTGAGGGGGGGGGGGGGGCTATATTTAAGAGAGGGCTCTATTCGAGACGAGGCTTTATTTGTTAAAAGAAATATTGTTTCACCCCATTCCTGCTGATCAGTACATGCAGTGACTGCACTCGATCGTTGTACGGAAGGTACCCGTGACTGCAATTTGTGTGCAATAAGTGCACCATATTGCATGTGCATACTGTACACTGGTTCATGTACTCTCACTGCATTGTACTGCACTGCATTGTACTGCACTGCATTGTACTGCACTGCATTGTACTGCACTGCATTGTACTGCACTGCATTGTACTGCACTGCATTGTACTGCACTGCATTGTACTGCACTGCATTGTACTGCACTGCATTGTACTGCACTGCATTGTACTGCACTGCATTGTACTGCACTGCATTGTACTGCACTGCATTGTACAGACTTTGCACCCTCAACAATTATAGCCCCGGGCCTTTATACGAGACATGGCTTTATTACTTCGATTCCCTCTGACAGACTGGCTTTTCTTGAGAGGGGACTCTATTCGAAGGGGGGGGGGGCTTGTATTCGGGCGTGTACGGTAGATTTGGACGAGGTCATGGACTGTAACACTAGGTTAATGGTGTACTTTGCCAGAGTACAAAGTACTCTTCGACATTTTTTTATCTCCTCTTCATTCGCCTTTCTACAGTGGTGCCATTGTCATTGGGCAATTTGCCTGTTCTGGTTGCCCATCTAAGTACATAAATACAATGCAATACAATGGAGGCTCAATTTGATGATCGAAATACTTTGCAATTTATATTTTATTGACTTTGGCTATTTTCCAGCAAGTGGCATATCATAGTGTCCTGACAGTATAATTACCTGACAAATATCTCCAGTGAATCCCGCTATACAGTTGCATTGGAACTCGTTCAATCCGTCTATGCACACTCCATCATTGTTGCAAGGCATATCCATACAGTCGTCAATGTTCGTCTACAAGGACACAGGGAGAGATATTCGTATCACGGTCCGGTGCAAGACGTGCAAATCGAAACGTGTGAAACATCCCCAGGAAAATCCCGCTTGCGTTCACATTGATTTGAAAAGGCCATGTTCGCCCCTTGTAAATTGTTTTGACTACGGGTGCCTGACCCGACATGTCAATAATGTTTTACAACATCAATGAAACTGATTTTCAGCTCAGAGCAAAAAGCAACTGAACAGATTGGTGGTTTGTATTGGTATTTATATCATTATCTCAAGGCACATCGGTTAGTTGTTAAACCCCCTATTCTTCTACGAGAGAGCTTGGAAGCTCAGGGCCCTACGCTATGCTTTTTTGCCTTGATGACCTAGACAAAAAAAGCATAGGGATGTTATACATTCTTTAACATTCTACTCCCCATGCTAGAGTATAGAGTAGACACACACGCGTGCAGGACGCGACACACCAAAAGACAAGAGAGTGAGTTTGGAAGAATGGGAATGTCGGGCAGAGTAGCTGGCCTCAATTGAGTGCGCGTTAACGAATCGTGTGGTCGGCCTACCGAGGGCAGGAGCTGTATATGACCAAGTGGGTCGGCCTGCGCTGAGCAGGAGCGGTTTGTGACCCATGCGAGTTGGTGGGTCGGCCTGCGTTGAGCAGGAGCGGTTTATGACCCATGCGAGTTTAATAGTAGTGCGCGAGAGGCCAGTTACGGAGGAGTGCCCATGCCGACATTCCCATTAGGGCCAGAGGAGATAGCGGGTGATAACAGCCAATATAGATGGTAAGTATGTATTGCACAAGAGCGTTGTTCTAGAGGCATAAAGTCAGACTGATATTGTGGAGTAGGATCGACAAAGAACGCTATCTGCATCCTAAGTGAATGTCTTTGCACTTACTCGGTGATCGGCTGGACCATGGTGTCAGGCCGCTCCGCAGCTGTAGGAGCAAAGGTCCTGAAGGCATCCATCTTGTTCCGGGACAGGGCATCAGCGATGGTATTGGAAATTCCTGGCAGGTGCGATGCTCGGATCAGGAAATTGTGCTTCACACAGATTGAGTACAGGGTGCGGATGAGTGCCATGACTGCAGGGGACCGGCTCGTGCCCGTCTTCAGGCACTCCACGACAGCTTGGTTGTCGCACTGAAACTCCACACGCAGCCGCAGCCACTCGATCCCCCATGTGGCGCAGGCCGCGACAATGGCGAAGAGCTCCTTGTAGGTAATGCTTAGTTCCAGTTGCTGCGGAGACCAGTCACCTCTGAACCAGCGACCATTGAAGAAGGCTCCAAATCCAATGGTGCCACTTGCGTCGGTTTGCAACTGGAGGTCAGCGCTGGGCATCCACTTCTCTAGCAGGAAAAATGACTTTCCGTTCCATGTTGACAGAGTCTGGTGCCACCAGCTCAGGTCGCCCTTGGCTGAGGCTGAGAGGTGCAGCATTCGGTGAGATGACATCTCAGATGTGGCCTTGTCGAGGTCATACAGGCGGCGTAAGAATGTACGGCCGGCAGGAATTGCTCTGGAAGCGAACGAGAGGTGGCCCAGGAGGGAGGCGAGTTCGCGTTTGAGAACGCAACCCTGGTCGAGGGTGGTAGAGACTAAACGACGTAGGGCCAGAAGCTTGGACTGAGGCAGACGCACTTCCAAGCGATCGGTGTCCAGTTCCAAACCGAGGAAGGTGAGGACAGTGGAAGGGCCCTCAACTTTCTCTGTGGCGACAGGTATGTTCAAGAACTGGAACAAGTCCAAGATGATGGCCTTGTGCTTGGCCGCCAGGGAGGAGCTTGGTGGGCAGATGTCGAGGAAGTCATCGAGGTAGTGCATTACGTCGGGCAAGGAGCCGACATGGACAAGGACCCAGTTGATAGCCGTTGCCAGCTGGTTGAAGATGAATGGTGAGGAGCGGAGACCAAATGGAAGGACCTTCTCGTAATAGTACATGCCGTTCCAACGGATCCCGAGAAGATGCCAGTCCGAGGGGGCGACGGGACACAGGCGAAATGCATTACGGATATCTACCTTTGTCAAGAGGGAGCCCTTGCCGAGGCGCATAATGGCGGCAATTGCGGTGTCCACGGAGTCGTAATGCAGGCTGAACTGCCCGCGTGGTATAGCATCGTTGACACTGCTGCCATCGGGAGACGACAGGTCATGTATCACACGAAGTTTTCCATTGGACTTCGGCACAACACCCAGACCAGATGTCTGCATGCACAGAAAGGGTGGCTCCGGAAATGGACCTGCTGTTTGCCCAGCTTCACAACATTCGGTCAAATAGGAAGAAACATACTGCATATTACGAATAGCCGACAGGTGATTGGGAGAACTATGAACACCAGATATAGCAGCAGAATGGCCTATCGTGAAACCATGACACAACCCATGCAGCACAAAGTGAGAGAAGGAGTGATCAGAATGACGGTTAAGGAGCCCGGCTAATCGGCGTACATTGATGGGGGTCTCCACAGAATGTTTACGGAGCAGACGCTGAGGTGGCGGACTGTCCCCTGCCACATTTGATTTCTGGGTGCTTCCCGCGGCATTGAAGGCACACATGGGCACGATAGCAGAATGAGTTGTTGCATTGGTCCTTGTTGAAGTTGCGGCAGATAGGCTTCCCAAGATGGGTTGGCGCGCTGGACTGCGGCGGACCTCCACTCCCAGCGCCGACGGATGGAGGCCCTGGTCTAAAGGGACACCGGGCCTGGGCCACTGGGTGCACCAGAGAACAGCGCGAACATGGCGGGCGACCACGGCTGGTGAATGACGACTGCCACAAATTAGAGTCGATGATAGCCCAGTCGTACGACAGTGGTTGGGAGGCTATGGCGCGCCGGAAACGCCTGTCATAACTTAGCCATGCGTCCACCTGATACGAGTTATTTGCATCCAGAATAGTGGCCTGATATGCCAGCAAATCATTCGCCCTATCTGGAGCCGCCGCGACAATTACTCTTGTGTAGACAGTAAACGCCTCGAGCCATGACGCTACATCGTGGACATGGCGGCGCTGGGCCTGAGTTGGCTTCTGTACAAGTTGGACAGAGCGGTTGGCCCCCACAGCTAGCTGGACCACATCGGGCTCCACACCCAGCTGGTCCGGGAGGAGGTCGTCGAAGTCAATAAACTCGCCGCGTTCAATTCGCCCGCGGAGTTTATCAGGTACAGAGAGCGACGGACGAGCAGCCGGCAGATGGCCCCGGAATGCATGAACGGAGCTGGAGTTGACAAGCGGCACGACGGCTGCAGCAGATTCCAACTGCTCTACTCGCTCCATCAGGGGCTGGAGGACCTGGCCGACGGCCTGAGAAACAGCCGAAGCAAGTACATCAGGGACCACACTCAAGGCGGCGGCAGAAGAAACTGACGGCGCAACGTCGGAGACAACAGAGGCCGTGGATAATGGAGTCCCGGTTGGTTGACGACGAACAGGAGTTGGCCTCGCACGCGCATTACTGCCTGCAGCCGAAGTTTGAGTTGCCGCCCCGGGATCAGGGACCACATTCAAGGCGGCGGCAGAAGAAACTGACGGCGCAACGTCGGAGACAACAGAATCCAAGTGGGGAGATATTGGAGTTCTGGGCGGTTGAAGACGAACAGGATTTCGCCGCACACGCACATTACGTCCTGTATCCGAAGGTTGAGCTGCCACTCTGGCCGATGGCGTCTTTTTTCTGGTCGAGAAACGAGCCATCGTGAGAATATAATACTCAAATAATCTCTGGCCGCTGAAGACACGTAGTCTGACGGGACTGAGCTGAGAGAGAACAAGGAAAGCGAATACTAAAGGCGGCAGCCAATCGGCAGAACTAGGACTGACACTCTGAAGCAGGACGGAGGCAAACTCAAATCAGAAATCAGAAGATCAGAATTTGAAAGCTGACTGCAGGCAAGGAAACTGGAAAGACAGCAAGCTCTGTTGTGCGCGCAGGAAATCTGCGCATGCGCAGAGCGTGGGCATGTGATGTCTATGATACACAGCAGTATGTAGAGAGAGCAAGATTGTGCATACACGTAAGGAGGGTTATGCAACCCGTTATAAAGGCCAACAGCGAAGCAATGGTATGTGACTGTTAACAACGGTTAACTCCAACATTAACCGAACATTTAAAAAAATCCTTTTTTTAGACATAACCTGGGATTCGAACCCGCACTATGGCGCGCCCTGCATGCATCACCCGATACACTTCGCATACATACTAATTCATCCAAGTTGTTTCACATTGTGATCTTGCATTTGAAAGCCCTATTTGAATATGCATTGTGGCCAGCCGTCTTTGATGGCACGGTACGGTAGGGGATAGGTACGGGACAGGTACGATCGAGGGTAATACGACACCGTCTCCCTACCGTACCGTACCATCAAACACAGCTGGCCACATACAGCCGGCCGCCCGCAATATTCAAATAGGGCTTTCAAACGCAAGATAATAACGTGAAGCAACTTGGAAGAATGGGTATGAATGCGAAGTGTATGGGGGAATGCATGTAGGGCGATAGTGCGGGTTCGAATCCCAGGATATGCCTGAAAGAAAAATAGGAGAATTGAGAAATTTATAACATCCTATGCTTTTTTGCCGTCAGATACGGATAGCGCCAGGCGTGACACAAACAAACAAACACACAAACAAACACCAAATTAAAGCTGTGTGGACCCTGGCTAGCGCCAGACGTTACTAAAGTAACGTCTTCTGCATAGCTACGGGAATGAATTAAATTGCATTTCAAAAGTAATGCACGAGAATGAACAAGATCCTTCCAAGTCAGCCCTTGTCCCAGTGCATGTAAACACATTCCGTCTTAAGACAGTATATGTCCCACTCTGATTTGACTGTGAAGTGACTAGGAGGGAAGGTCTGTATGTGTGTGTGTGGGGGGGGGGGGGGGGGGAGGGGGCAGCAACCCTCTAATTCTTGTACATGTACTGAACAAGAGCCTCTGATAGCATTGAGATTTAATACAACATATTGCTAGCATAGAGAATATGCGGGGAGAGGCGTGCATCGGCATTAGAATTATAATACACAGCAAGTTGTATTCCAAGTACAATGAAACCCTTACAGTACAATTAGGTCCAGTGAAGCCTTCAACACAGTTGCACACAAATGTGTCTGGGGTTGGCTCCATGCAAGTAGCACCATTCAGGCACGGTTGTAGTTGAACGCAGATGCCATTATTCTATAGCGGAACACATTGGAACACATACTTCCCCTTAGACAGTGCTAGTGGGCAGTGCTAGTGGATTATATAAAACTAGTGCAGTGCAAAGTATCACATAACTCAATATACACATAGAGGTGAAATGTTCTAATTCAAACGGCTTGCTTTTGTTGACGAAGTATTCATTAGACATGCTGAAGGAGAGGTGTCAGCAAGAATCATGGGCTACATTCACAGCTTTCTCCAGAGACCTGAAAAGTAGCTACCGCAGTGTTTGTCCACATGCAAGGTTACTAAGCAAGTATCCAAGCCCCTGCAAGGAGCTTACATTGAAGTGGTTCCTGCTGGGGTCAAACAGGCTCTCAGTATTCAGCTCATCAGCGGCATGCTCACGTCATCACTTCCTTTCCTCTAGTCCATCAACTAGACTAGCCTTGCTGTATATGGTACTTTATGCCTGACCTATCAGCTGTATATGGTATTTATCCCTGACCTATCATCATTAAATTCACGTGAAAGCACTGCTCTCTATAAAAGTCTAGGTCTTCATTAATCCAGAACAGCGAGGAAGTTTGTATCTCTACAGACAAGCAACTTACAACTGAAGTAATATTGACGGTGGCCGGATCACTTGTTGTACCACCAACCAAAGCCGCCCCCGGGACTGAAATGTCGACTGTCAACGTAAAGATGGTGGAGAAGGTGACCATGTTCGGTACAGTGCATGTGTACCTACAGAGACACCGACACAGTACAGTTTGGAGCAAGGTGCTATACTGCAGTTGCTATGATCACTGATTACATCATGCCAGGAGAGGAGAAGCAATAATTATACGTGTAAAATTCAGTACTGAGTAGATATCAGTTAAGTATAGGAGTTGAGTTGCTGATAAAAGGCTGCCTGTTTGATTGAGTAGAGTATTTTTCATAAACAAGTTCGAACCTCAGGATCTAGTCAGCACACGTTCTTTTGGCTCTATTATTGACCAGGAAAAGTAAAGTTATAGTTCAGAAGTCTACATAGCGTTTTCACATATTTCGTTCACTCACTTGTTATCTGCTACACAATTTGCACTTGATTGCTGATTGTCAAATGCTATTGTTTTAAACTTTACTTTTTTAAAAAGTTTTTTTGCACTCCCAGTGGAGCAAGTCAACGTGGTGGTTATCATAACACATTCTCCGTGGATTCACTTGATCTACCGGCCATGATTTTTGTGTGTATATGCAACAAATGCACCAGATCTGCTTGCGTGACATTCATTTCCAACCAATAGGTCTCACCCCACCTCCATCGAATATCCCAGGGCATGGCCATTCTCAATGTAGCTGGTGCGAATCTATCACTGAGCTATCTTATCCCACAAACTCTGTTTCTGCCAGCCAGTTCACTGTCCCTCATAGTAAGCCAGTCCAGTGTTTTTTCACTGGCTTTAGTATTATGCTGGCTAAGTATGCAGGAATACTCAACATGCCAGTTAAAAGGGGTCATCCGTCACTTCAAGTTGGTTACTGAGAAACATCAGGCTTTACCGCGACTGGAACATTGTGCGCGATACCTCAAGGATACCATGTCGGAGCGCTTTGTCTTCTTTCTAGGTACTCTATTTCAGTGAACATTTGAGTGAGTGAAGAATGTTCGAGTGCATGAATTGATCATCAATGGTGGATATTTGTACGGACGGACTCTAAAGGGCAAATATAATCCTAATACTATGCGTAATAGGTCTTACCTGAGTGCACGCACGGCATTGCTCAGAGTGTTCAGAGGATCGACTGACAACAGAATTGCCTGAGTACTGTTGACAATAGTCAGATTGGCACATGTACTGCTGATGGAGCTATCCAAAGATAGACTCTCTCCTAGTGGACAGCCACCTTCAATACTGTTGATTATGACAATGGCTTGAAGACCAGGTACCACTGGTAAGAGAATTACAACTTGAGGAGATACGAGTTGTGCTGGAGCTCCACCTTCAACAATAACAACATTGTCGATCTCCCCATCACCAGCACGGATAACAGGCGTACCAGCGGATTGCACAGTTATTGTGGAGATGGATGTTTCCGCAGCTGATGAAACTCCATTATCAAAAACAGCAATCCGGAGGGATTGATCAAATGGTAGTGTCTTTTGAGGCTCAGAGAACAAGTTGTAGTATCGCAAAGTGCGAAGGACAGAACCATAACGATCCTCAAATTCCCTGCCAACAAGATCAATTGCAGTGTTGAACATTCCATTGCCATTGCCAATCTTGGTGATATTGGGAGAGACAGAAGCAGGGTCAGCTACAGTGATGAAAGAGCCGCAGCTTTCCACACACAAGACATCAAACTGACTCAGTGGCTTGTTACTTAGAGTCACTGCACGCAGAGTACCAACGAACCGCGGATGCGTTGTCATTGGCCAGAAAGCAAAGTAGATTCGCCTAGTGATACTTGTTCCACTATTAGCAGGCCTTGCTTGGGTACCAAGACTGGCACCATCCACAAACACAACAATGTTGTTGGCATCTCCACTCACTGCTATGTGGTGTAGAATATTGTTATTGACAGTTGACGTCAGGACAAATTCGAGTGGTACATATATAATATTCCCTTCATTGGGAACACAGATGAACACAACGACATACGAGTTATTGATCGAAACTGCAACCACTCCTGGAACAACAACAATCACTCCGCCGTCACGAGATGGATCCATTTCAAAGTAAGCTGCCACTGAAAACTCACTGAAATCCGATGGAAGATCTGTATTTCCAGCATCCAAAGATGTGTTCGGGCCTGTTTCAGTTGTCTGAAGAATTTGCTCACCATCAGTACATGTCGAACCGGCTAGAAGCAATAGATCAGTGGCATCAATTCCACACTTGCCATACTTACTAATGTCAAATCTACAACCCAGTGTTGGATCACCTGCAACACAAACGGGCAGATTGTCACAGCGCCCACCACATCTGCACTCACCACAACCTTCCTGGAGGCAAGCCTTCTCTGCTGCAGTAGTTGTTCCTGCCCTGACAAGAGCTTTGAAAATCTCACCAGTGAAGCGATTATCCGTGCCAGTTGAATCAAGTCTCATATGCGCACCAAGGAGAAGGGAGTCAATATCAGATGGAATAGGGTTAGCAAAGCATGGTGCTTCAGCTGCGGAAAGGCTTAACGTTCTAGTGAGTGTCCCATCAAGAGTGACAGTTACGGAACCAGGTCGGAATTGAGCTAAGACTTCATGCCTTCCTGTTTGAATGTTCCCTCCCATTGATTCAAAGTCGAACGCCTCGCCACCAGATCGTACACGGCCATTTGATGACCCAGCACAAGTACGGTGGTAAGTTTCAAAGCGGGCTCTTGAGCCTGCCTGTCCAACTGCGGCCGCTCCGACAGTCACACCATACTCCCACGTACCTGCACTTCCTGAGCTAACAAGCGCACCACCTGTACCTGTAGCACCCATTGCAAAGCCAAGTTCAAATTCAACATGAACTTCAAAACTATCTGTGTTGGTACGAATACCAGGCCTGTGAACCTCAGCTACTCGTCTCTCATTGCCCGCCATACCACCAAACGAGAAAGATGTTCCATCGAACGCTCCTGGAGTAGCTGCAAAGTGCAACAAGTTTGAGATTCCCACTCTGAAAACCAGAGCTCGCACTTGTCCTCGGAAGCACTGCGCATTATGGCAACCAATGATCAGCTCGCTATGATCATCTGGTAAACCATCGGGTCGTTGAGAAGGAAGAAGTACGAATGGAGTCTGTGGTACATTGTCGACGTGAAGACGAAGTTGGGGGAATCGCAATTCGAGTGCAAAGTTGTGCCAAAGCCCATCAAACAAGTCGGCAGATGGATGGGCAACTTCAAAGGTTTGCCTCGCTCCGTCAACTCTATACGAGACTGCAATAGCTCCAGTTGGTCTTGGTTCCACAGCGAAGGCAACATTACCAGAACCATCCAGAATAGTTAGCAGGTAGCCAAATTCGGTTGTGTTGATCCTAATGCAAGTGGAGAGTACAAAGCCCTCGACGAGGCTGGCCTGTACTTCAGCCATACTGACTGTATTAGCTAGTCCATTGAAAGTAGCAATACCATTGTCAACAGGAACTGGGCCTGTCATCAGTGTCAGTAGATTGAGAGCAGTGACATTGGGACATGTGCCCAGTGGTGAGGCTGTGCAGTCACATGGAAGTGGAGAAGCCAAACGCTGTGCAACAGCGGAAGTTCCTGGAAGCTCAATGGTAAGTCGATCAATAGGGTGAATTTCATCATTATCCACGACAATAGCATTGGGCTGCAAATCTATCGGTCTGTCCTTGATTGTATATGTGTTGTTCATAATGTTTCGCAACATTGGAACATTATCATTCAAGTCCAGTAAATTCAATGTAACTGAAGCAGTGTCAGTGAACATTGAATCGTTCACGAACGCTGTGAATGTGATGACAGGATCAGTTTCAAAGTCCAGGTTGGTATCAATAATTGACAAAGCACCAGTAACTGGGTCCACAGACACACTCGTTGGTTCGCCTTGAAGACTGAATATCAGATCATTGAGTGTACCATCAGCATCAGTAGCTGTGAAAACCAATACATCCGCAAGTACAGTTGCCTCATTGACAGTAGCTGTGTACGAATCTGGACCAAAAACAGGGGCATTATCGTTGACATTGAAGACGTTCACAGTTAGAGGAAACGGTGAGCTACGGGGTGGTGTTCCGGTGTCGGTGACAACCACAGTGACTGTATGCATAGTTGCTGTTTCAAAGTCCAGACTAGCGACCAGGGTAATGACGCCCTCGTTATCAATATCAAACAAAGGTGGAGAATCCTGTTGAAGGGAATACGTCAGCTCATCTCCATCATTATCAATTGTTGGACAACCAGTGTCTCCATCATCAACAGTTAACGCAAGTATAGTTGTTCCTATAGGCGTGTCCTCTGCAAATGATTCTGTAGCAGCATTTGGGACAGTTGGAGCAAACTCATTCACGTCATTCACTGTCACAATCAGCTGGCGAGTTGCAGTCAATCTTCCACCAAAGAAACAATCCGGATTAGCTCCAACACCATCTGTAGCTACAACTGTCAAGTTGTATTCACAGACACTCTCATAGTCTAGACCAGTAGTGGTTGAAATTTCTCCCGAAGTCATATTAATTGAGAAGAGGCCATCGAACGTGTCCACGAGGCTGTATTCAATGACATTGTTAGGGGGGAACACATCATCATCGACAGCCATGACGGTCGTCACAGAGACACCAAGGAAGCTTTCATCCACACTCACACCAGCATTATCAGTGAATCTTGGAGCATTATTATTGGCTTCTACAATTGTTATGTTCAGAGTTGCAGTTCCATTGAATTCTCCGTCAGTTACTCGCATTGGAATTGTAATGGATGGATGAAGAAGACGACGGGGGACAGCACAAAGTTCGCCGTCACATGAAGTCACAATACCCGTTGTGTTGTCAATTCCAAAGACATCACACACAGTCATTTGGGTGTCCATTCCTGATCCACTTCCTGACTCGCCTCCTGATCCACCACTTCCTGGAGCTGCTGTACCCTCCAACTCGGTCAACATTCCATCGACCGACAAGCCGAGATTCAATGACATATTAGGGCAGATGAAGAAGAATCGCAGGTCCTGTACTTGATTGATGCTGTCGGCATCTGTTGCAGAGATGCTACTGGTGACAGTGAAACCTCTTGCACCTTCTGGTGCACAAGTGTCATATTGCATTTGTGTAAACACAGGTGCATTGTCATTGACTGGAATTGTTGAAAGGAATGTTTCCAATGGTGCAGATGTTCCACCGAATGGATTAAGTGGAGTGATGGGCCCTGCCATGCTATCTCTGACGACAACAGAGATAGTCCGCTCTCCATTCAATGGCTCATCAGCTATGTTGACGTACTCTATAAGCTGAATGGCATTGCTGGTGTCCATGAATGACGCACCACCGATGGCTAGGTTGTAGACACGGCTTGTCATATTGGAATCACCACTAAGAGTGAAGGAGCTCCCAAGTGTAGATCCCTCGGCTATTGCCAATCGTTCACCATCATTCCTGATTCCATCCAGACGAACCGTTACTTCCGACACGGATGCTGAATCATCATCAGTCACAATGGATTGGAAAATATTTGGTATCCGGATTGTGTCCGGAGATGCTTGTTCAGTCGCATTAATACTCCTCGGTGCTGGTGGCTCAAATTCTGGAGCATCGTTTGTGCTGATCAGGTTAATAGTCAGGGCTGACGGCCGACTTGGACTCTTTCCATCATGAGCTGTGGCACTAGCCGTTCTTCTACTTCCTGTGAATTCATCATTAGTGTTGATATATGTGAACGACCTCAGGAATTCCGAGTAGTCTGCTTTTGGTGCATTAGGTCCTGACGCAGGCTGGGCAGTGATAGTGCGCATAACCCTCATACCGCCCGTGCTTACGTCATCAGTCGCCACAGTCAAGCTGTTTGGAGCAACAAAGTTGATAACATCTTCACCGGGGTATACACTGTCAAACACAACTGTCAGATTTGCTAGTGTGTTGAACTCCACATCAAAGATCTGTGCATCAGGAGTGAGGTAGATTGCCTGCGCTGATTCCTCTACAAACTCCACCGTTTGGTCTAAGCCGAGCAGTAATGGTCCGTTCAAATCGACGACAGGGCGGTCGTTGACAGGCTCCACAATTTGTGTTATGATTGTAATCTCAGCAGATAACGGTGAACTGGGTCCAAAGTCTGTTACCGTCACTCTTCCCGTGTTGCCAGCTGCAGGCAATAACAGAACAAAAGACAGGGTGTACAGTAATATGTATTATTGATCATCCAGAGTCAAGTTTCACACCAACACCGCGCACCCTACCATCAGTAAACACACGTGTAAACCACTAACACTCCGATTGCGTCGTGATCAATTCAATATTCCTCCTTAGTCTTCGGTGATGTCTCACATTTTCTCTCTCTCATGAACACGTTGAATAGAAACGCCAACGCTAACTCCACTTTGCCTAATAAGGAATGTACAGCTTGGTGCCCTGGGATTTATCTAGTAATTGTCTTAACTGTTACTGTGTATAACGCCATGGTGGATTGTTTCAAAAATTACAACAACGCCCAAAGAACACCCGCATGGCATCTAGATGAAGTGGAAAACATTGTTCTTTACAGACATGCAGACCTTTGCCTGTCTGTTTATGTCTGTGTGTTTACGTATCTGCATGTCTGTTTGTCCGGCCGGCCGGCTGCCCGCCCGCCCGCCTGTTTGTCAATGTAATTGGCTCAATTCATTAGCTGGGACTCTCCTTTCACTCATAGGAAACACGACACTTGCACGAACAGATCGCATTGCTAATATGCAGTTCTAAACCAAGCTTCATACAAGGAATAACAGGGAGAGATGTCTGATTACCTCCCACCTTGATATCAGTGGACTGACATTCTACATTCTGCAAACATAAAAATATAACAACTCACTGACAACTGACAACTCCTAAGGATGCTTACCAGGAATAGCAGAGTTGTCATAGGCACGTGCTTCAATGGTTGCTATCCCATTTGCATGAAGTTCCGGATCAAAGAGAATTAGGAGAGGCGGGCGAAGTACAACATACTCCATGGGACTCAAGTCATTCGGAATGTTGTTGATGACTGTTCCAGGGGGATTTGAATACTGGAAAGAGAAAATATCATACACACAGGTAATTTGTGATCAGATTCAAGGAGTTGGAAAGGGACAAAAGTATGAAGAGAAAACTTTGACTGTTACCGGAACTTGAACTTTGGAATTTTGTTTAGGTCAGCTATCCTAGACCACTAAGCCATGGTGTAGCTGTAATCAGAGCATATAATGACAATGATCAGACTGTGAAACTCACTCAATTCCTGTAAGCTACTCTGGCAGGTGGGACTCAGCCCCTTAATGCATGGCATGTGACGGACCAACAGCATGATCCGTTTTCGTACCGAAAACTCAAAGCCGACAAAGCCGTGAACATCGATTAAGTATCCGAGCTGGTGTAAAATTACGAATTGATGGTAGTAACTTCAGCAATTACCATACCGTATTATCTCTAATATAAGCACGGTCCTTTATTCTTTCAATGTACCTCCGCCCCGTGCTATTAATGGAGACGTTCCTTTATTGGAGACTGTTCCATTATTATTTCAACTTCACTTCAGAGGCATGTTGCCATGCCAAATTCATGTCAGACACACACATTTCAGGATTGTTTTGCCCATACAGATAATGAATTTGCACAGTGTGCTTATAATGGAGACTGAGCACTTTATTTTTTGAATGCCGCCCCAAGGTGTTCTATTTTTAGAGACGTGCTATTATTAGAGACTGTGCTTTTATTAGAGATAATACAGTAAGTAAAAAGTTGGTTGCTTGCAAAATCGGAGCTCACGCTTTTCCTTCCAATTTGACCTTTCACTTGACTGCATCATGCTGCCATCCAGAGTGTGCTCTTGGGACAAGTCAATTCAACAGGATAAGAGCGAGTTCCAACAATCCAAGCGACCAACTTTCTTGGTGTAAAATTGCGGACACAAAAAACTAGTCCATTTTCTATCGAACTTCTGGTAAATTGCCTGCACCCAATGCCACAGTTTTGTCCCTCTTTATGCTACCTCAGTATCACACACAGCTAAAGTTGCTTTTACAAGTTGTGACGTTTTCATGTCCAGCACAAGCGTTCTCCTTGGCCAAACCTTATTGTGCTGACCCAGAATTAAGCTCACACACGTGCCCTGACTGACACAATAGAATCCTTCATATATATCCCAGCTCAAAACAATGTATAAGAAAGAAAAAGGACCAAAGAGCTAAAAGTTATGCTACAATGTCCACTAACACCACTCCTACAGCCTTCCAACTTGTCCAATGGTCTTGCCAGTATCGTCATCGACATGCATGAACATCCGCCAGCGTCCTTCACAGCTGAGACTTTCAGCTCGTGCTCATCTTGGTTGCGCTCACCTTCCCCTCCTTATTTTATTTCTATAACTTAGAACCTTCCAAGTTCGAAGGCTGTAGGAGTGCGCATCCAAGCTGTGCTAGAGCTGTTAGCCATTTAGTTGTAGAACGTCAGTACCATTGGTCAGTGTCGTGCAATGTTATCGCATGAGCTGATTGTTTAGCAACTGGTGGTGTTAGTGGACATTGTAGCGTAACTTTTAGCTCTTTGATCCTTTTTCGTTCTGATAGATTAATCCTTGGCTCTCCATCCGAGTCCATTCAAAACAATGTAGTGGGCAAAGCTGTACTTCAAGTATATTAATTGCTCAGTGTGTGAGACTTGAAGTTAGAGTTTAGGAACCCTCCCGTCTCCTGCATTTCTGCGTGCAGTTCGGACATCTATTGCACCCAGCACTCTCTGGAGCTGGCTGAATTGGCCTTGATCATATCCAGAAAAAGGATAGATAAATGGGGAGAGAGAGAGAGAGAGAGGGTTAAAGAGAGAGAGAGAGAGTGAGTGAAAGAGAGAGAGAAAGAGAGAGAAAGAGAGAGAGAGAAAGAGAGAGAGAGAGCGAGAGAGAGAGAGAGAGAGAGAGAGAGAGAGAGAGAGAGAGAGAGAGAGAGAGAGAGAGAGAGAGAGAGGGAGAGAGAGAGAGAGAGAGAGAGAGAGAGAGAGAGAGAGAGAGAGAGAGAGAGAGAGAGAGAGAGAGAGAGAGAGAGAGAGAGCGAGAGAGAGAGAGAGAGAGAGAGAGAGAGAGAGAGAGAGAGAGAGAGAGAGAGAGAGAGAGAGAGAGAGAGAGAGAGAGAGAGAGAGAGAGAGGGAGACAGAGAGAGAGAGAGACAGAGAGAGACAGAGAGAGACAGAGAGAGAGAGACAGACAGACAGAGAGAGAGGGAGGGAGGGAGAGGGAGGGAGAGAGAGAGAGAGAAAGAGAGAGAGAGACTGACAATAGTTGTCAACATCAGCAGCATTTCCACTATCAACAGTTCTCCTACCTGGAAGGTTCCAACTCCGTTTGTCACAGCATTCCTCAGAGCAATGGCCAGATTGACGTCATCCTGGTCAGAGCTGATGTTCATCAGAATCATGGAAATCGCCGTGGGCATCGCTCTATAAACCACCAAAAGAAGAAACAGCATTGCCATGATTATATTTGCCATGGATATCAATTCATAACAGATAGTTGCTGACCAAATACCTGCTATATTTTCCAAGCAATGAATGAGCATAAAAAGGACCCAAACTACCACGGGAAGCTTCTGAGCCTACTGGATATTATATGTGCTGTGGAGTCTACTTTTGTCTGTCTTGTGGGGCTGTGGCCATGACACAATGGATTAACTTGCTGCAGTCTGCTAATTTACTGGTTCATATCTTCTATTTCAATCCTGTATCAAAAGACATTGCCTTTCCAAATCATGATGCGAGCTAATGAGGTACTATTAGGCATGGCCTTCACAGCGTCAGGTCACCAGATACAGATACAGAGACGATTCCCTGCGCCATTCATGTGGAACTCATCTCCAACTGTCACTTACGGCACGAGAGAGCCATCCTGAGCAAAGTTGTATAGGGTGATATCCCCAGAGCCAGAGCCAGATTCCACCTGCACTCCACTACTTGCTGGATTATTTGAATCTTCAAAAACGATTGGCAACGTGAACGTCTCACTTTCTCTAACTGGTCGAAGGTTCTCGTACTCGAAGCAGATTTGGCAAGTGATATTGTCTTCACTGTAAGGGAACTCTGGATAAGGTGAACAGATCAGCCACACGAGACAAAAGCACAAACATGATGAGTAAAATGGATGCAGGAATTCGTGCAAATCAGGCAGTAACCAAACTCACATGCCTCTGCCAGCCACGTAGAATCCAAATATATACTAAAGTCTACAAATTTTTGGCCCATTCAAATTCCGGCCTCCCAGGGCTAAACCCCATTTCGGCCGCATCAAAATGAATTTTCGGCCTGTTCTGCTGCCGCCTTTATACACAGTCACACCGAACCTTGCAAAACAAAAATTTCGGCTGCAACAAATTTTCGGCCAAACATGTGTTTGGTCACTGTACAATAGGGAGTCGTAATGTCTAGGCACACGGCATGAGATTAGCACCAGAAATGGACATGCGGTTTGACCCCGGGCTGAAAGTAGGTATATCAGCGCAGACACTGCGCAGGGCTTTGCGCATTCAATGATGTAATCGATTTTTCAACGCGGTGATGGTAGACTGAGAAAATGGCGATCGCCAAAAACAGGCTCAGGTAGTCGGTATTTGACGACTCCCCGATGCAGCTCGACCTTGATTTTGAAGTTTGAGCATTTTTAGAGAGAAAGAGAGAGAGAGAGAAAGAGAGAGAGAAAGAGAGAGAGAGAGAGAGAGAGAGAGAGAGAGAGAGAAAGAGGGAGGGAGGGAGAGAGAGAGAGAGAGAACTGGACAGAACGATTACTCAAGCTAATGCTTCAGTAGAGTCATTAGAGGTTCGGGAACACTGATAGGCTAATATCAAATAACGATTTCCACAGCTTGTGCCGTTTATTGCAGAGCATAATTGAAAAATGCGCTGCCAGAAGATCGGCGTCTCCACACTACTACTCAAATCAAATCCTGTCCACACCTGACAAGTGATGTCGCTGCAACAACGGCCCATCTGCACGGCGATATGCCAGAAATGCAGAAATGCACAAGAACGAACGTGGTCCCCTTTCGCGCCACGTGGAGCACGAACGCTTCAGTCAAATTTCCTGCCAGCTCTCAACATCCAACATCAAGTATTTCTGTCGGGTTTACCATCAAATCCAGAGCTTTTCCCCAGTTAAATCCAGAGATTTTCACTCAGAGGTCGTGGCAACGATCTGCATGGTCGCCATTTTCAGCCCGGAAAGAACCCTGTCGTTTGGAACAAAAACGGGTGCGCGCCTTCCAACGAAAGCTACAAATCGATTCCAGAACACATGGGCGGCCAACATACCAAACATTATCCCATCCAGGTAGCCTGTAACCACCATCTCCTTGCAAGGAAATTTCAGCCATTTCTCCTTCGTTCAAGATCTCAATTTTCTGCCAAAAAAATAGCCAGTCTTTGGTAAGAATTCTGCATGCCACTTCTGATGCGCGCTTGGCTGCATGCGCGAACTGCATGTGTAGTGCACGCGCTGAGATCCCTACAGTGAAAGTGATCCGGAGTCCAAGCAACTCGCGATTTTTGCCTTGACCTGCTGATCCCAAGCGGCCTAGACAAGCGATGTCATATGCAGGTGTGTATGAATCGGCACTGCTCCAAGCCAAGGGCGACTAACAGTTATAACGGGTAGGGGTCACAGTCGCCCACATTGTATCCCTAGATGCGATGACTCCCTAGATCCTAAGGTGTGCACAATGATTTCTGTATGAGCTTACTTCATTACTCAGTTGGTGAGTCAAGGAATTATTGAATTAAAAACATGGAAACAGTGGGGCACAATTTTGTAACTATCACCAATATCCATCAATATGTGGGGGTGTGAGGCATTCCGTTATGTTCCTAGTATGCAGTGCTCAAACTCCATGCCCCGCGGAATGTCTCAGTACTCCTTGTCAGTTTTGTGCTAAATAGTGCAAGTCTGGCTGTTCATAATCTGGGCTAGTTGGTGGACTCTAGTGCATAAGTCGTGCCCACGGTTTCCACGTTTTCAATTTAACCCTTTACCGGCAAGTTACTTTTGTATATGAAATCCATAACATTTAGAACGATACCAATAACTCACAACGAGGCCACATTTTGTAAGTGCAAGTTATGTTTTATTGGAAGTCTAGTACTACTTCTTGACCATGGAAAAATTAATTTTCTCATACCACACACATACGCTGCTAAATTGGCACCTCTACGTCTAAACACGGAAATTGTACACATGCAAATCGTCAGAGTTTCGACATTGACATGATACTGTAGCGTTGGCACGCTAGTAACTCACACAGCTGCAGCGTGAATCACTTTCAATGTATTGGTCACGCGTGTTACACCGCACCCGTACCCCGCACTTGCAACTCTGTACCGTGCTTGCAGATCCATGACATGGATAGTAACTAGTCTCACTGCACTGCGTTCAATGTTTCATATTGACCTTAGAAATACTGCTGCACTTTCAACCGCCTCTTTTACGCCCATTGCCCACACTGCTATTCAGCTCCTTCTTCTGCATAGAATCAAATGGCATTCCTTGTGCAATGACTGTAGCCCACACATCTACTTTGACCTTTCTTCTTCTCTCTGCTGAGCTTTGCCGTGACCATTGCTATTGCAGCACGTACATGTATGCTGTCTGCCTATAAAAGCTGCTGTTCACAATTCTCTATACGCCAGTTAGAAACGTCAGTTAGAAAGGCCAGTTAGAAGGGCCAGTTAGAACCTTCAGTAATGTCAGTTTAGAGTTAGAGTCAGAGTTAATGTTTACAATGTAGTCTTCCGTTTAGTTCAGTAAGAATAATTATCAACAGTGTGTTCACTGAGACCCGTCTGCATTTGCCTCAGAGAGAGAGACTGCGGCCCGTTACAGAAATGGTGGCAGCGGTGGTACAATTTTATAATTGCTAGATTCGAACCCACCTAGTATCTGTATTGCATTGATGGCAGCGGCGCTACAGAATTGATGGCAGTGGTAAATTGTTTTATTGGTGTAACCGGTACCAGCATGGCCCAACCTGATGCGCCAGTAGCCGCTACTCCTTCGCCCGCCACGTCTCCCCCAAGCCCGAAATGATGACGGACAGCGTCTCTACTGATCAAGCTCCATGTCCAATGTAAGCTAATTCCCGATATGGCACTTTTCTTTCCTGTCTTCCTTCAGTCTTCCTGTTCTCTTCAGTCTTCCTTTATGCGAGTGTGTGAATCCAGTTTAGTTAGGTAGGCGTCCGATCATGGTGAGCCACGGTCTATCTAGCTAACCTGGGACGATGTGTGTGACAATGCCCCTTAAAATGTATTCAGTTCGGTTTTGAACTGCGATTGTGCTGGCAGGTTGTGCCAGGGTTGGCAGCGAGAGTGCTGTGGTTTTCAAGTCCCATTTGGAGGACGGTTCTTTCCCCCTTTGACCCCGTGAGATCGTGTGAACCTGGAGTGATGCTATTTTATGATTTTGTTATCAGTTCATTTCTTCTGTCTACTCTCAAAGGCTATCATTTCCGATATTCTTTTGCCATATTCCGGTTGACGCTGTACCAGTATGATGCGCTATCTCCTATAATGTTCAATGATTATGTTCGCACCACCTCTCAGTCCTGTGATATGCTGCTGCGCTCCAGCCAGTACTTCAATATCAGTTGTCCTCATTGCGTCCGGATATCAACCGAGGCTGTTCACGAATACATACCTGTATATGCACGTCATCCATTCTGCCTATCTTCTTCCGTCGAGGTTATTCCGACGCGACCATGCATGCCTCCAGTGTCTTCTAATCTCAGTCGATTGTCGGAGTCCGGCTATATCAACTAATGTTACTCGCCCAGTCTAGTCTGCGTATCTTCATGATCTCCTATCAGTGTTCGTCACTTCGTGTTCTGCTACTCGGACTCTAATCACGAGGACGTGATTCTGTTTAAAGAAGGAAGGTGTAGCGTTGGCACGCTAGTAACTCACACAGCTGCAGCGTGAATCACTTTCAATGTATTGGTCACGCGTGTTACACCGCACCCGTACCCCGCACTTGCAACTCTGTACCGTGCTTGCAGATCCATGACATGGATAGTAACTAGTCTCACTGCACTGCGTTCAATGTTTCATATTGACCTTAGAAATACTGCTGCACTTTCAACCGCCTCTTTTACGCCCATTGCCCACACTGCTATTCAGCTCCTTCTTCTGCATAGAATCAAATGGCATTCCTTGTGCAATGACTGTAGCCCACACATCTACTTTGACCTTTCTTCTTCTCTCTGCTGAGCTTTGCCGTGACCATTGCTATTGCAGCACGTACATGTATGCTGTCTGCCTATAAAAGCTGCTGTTCACAATTCTCTATACGCCAGTTAGAAACGTCAGTTAGAAAGGCCAGTTAGAAGGGCCAGTTAGAACCTTCAGTAATGTCAGTTTAGAGTTAGAGTCAGAGTTAATGTTTACAATGTAGTCTTCCGTTTAGTTCAGTAAGAATAATTATCAACAGTGTGTTCACTGAGACCCGTCTGCATTTGCCTCAGAGAGAGAGACTGCGGCCCGTTACAATACTACCAAAACAAGTCGACTTCGGAGCGGAAACAAACGCCATAGCCATCACAAACTTCAGTGGCCATGCCTCGCTCGCAAATGAGAGCAGCATCGCCCCAGAATCGCTGTCGGAAAGCTCCGTAAGGTCGCACGCACGCCGCGCTGCGCTGCCGTCACTCAAGTACGTAGAAAGTCGATGGGCTAAAATTCCGTCTCTTGGAGACTGTCGACACGGGGATCGCTCTCCATGGCTTCCCACCATAAGCACCATCAGATTCTTCCAGGTACATCACGACGACATCGTCTTCAGCGGCTGGCGCTCCCCATATTTGCGTGCGAATTTGCTTGGCGTGCGCACCGCTCCGTAATTTGAAATTCGATTGCATCGGCGGCTGGAACGAAGTATTTTTCGTCGGTCCCAGAGCGAATGACTGCTAGGTCGTCGTCGGAGAAGTCATCCGAGGACGAAAGGAACTCACTGCGCAAGAGAAATGCACCTGACGATGTTTTGACGGAGGCGGGCGGCATTGTCGGCGCGCGTGTATTTCCGTAAGTTTTCGATCGCGCAGTTCTCAATGAAATCAAATGGGACACGCGTGGATCTCTTCAGCTACCTATAGGATCATACCTAGGCTGTGTGAGGGCCACGGGAAATCCCCGTGGGCTGATGCTTCCCGTCATGCCAGGCATGGTTTTGTATGCCTGTCGAATGCGTCAACGTTGACGCATTCAATTATGGGGCTGCCGGTAAAGGGTTAATATTACTTCTTTACCAGTGTTTGATATAGCATTGAGTCCGCAGAGATGATAATGTGTGCTGCTAAGTACAACAACAGAATGTCCATCCATGCTACCAATACATACCTTCCGGGAAGAGACCCGAGGTGTTGCGGGTAGTGTTATCGTAAGCTGCAATAGCGTAGCGGACGCAGCCGGAAACCTTTCCGACGCTGGGCAAAGGCAGAACACGCAGCTGGAATCCAGCCAATATGGGGACACCGACACCGGGCTCCACAATTCCATTGAGAGTGCTTGGGACATTCCTCCATGCACTCATTGCTCCACGACGGTATTGCAAAATGGCAGCAACGGTGGCTGGTTCAAATGATACACCGACGATGGTGGCACCCTCTTCACTGTCCACATCCAAGTCAGTTATCTGTGAGATGACAGTTCAGTACAAAAGACACGAGGTTAGCTTATATTCGTCTCTGTTGCACTTATTAACCTCCCCTCTTTGGTCTTTCCCTCGCCATGGACTGTCCGGGTTGGAAGGCCGCTAATCTGTGCATCGGAGGTGGACTGGAGGTAAGTGTTAGGTGGTTCAAGTCTCAGTACTCTGTCAGTACTCTGTCAGTACTTTGTCAGTACTCTGTCAGTTGGGTGCGTAGTTGTCAATTAGATAGCTAGAGAATATTATCATCTAGTAACAGCTGTTCACAGTCTATATCCGTAACTCTTATCCATGTGCCTCCCTCCTCTTTACAAGTTATTTCCAGGGTGCTCGGATTGCTCTGCCACAACTCTGGCGTTGTAATTGTAACAATACTTCTCCATCACTGCATCAGCTCAACCGCCACCACTGGACTGCCTTTTTACACTCTTTATATTGACGAATAAACAAGACCACGGAAAACGACTACATCTTGACAAGGCGACAGACCAAAGACCAGCTCACACAGTCTCGCGCATGCGCACAACACCACCAACCAACGACGCGTGTGCACAGCGACCAAGACGAAACAAACACGTGCCACAAAATCTACCACACTGGTATGATAAAGCAGCTACACGCATACCTCTTCAGAGGAACGAGTGCCATGAACTTGTTGTTCGGTATTACGTAGTTCTAAGGAGCTACTTCAATAGTCATATGCACACAATAAATCCAAGCGGCAGAGGGCAGAATTGTTCATTGTGCACAGGACTTTTGCATTTCACAAGTTCTTCACGGTTGGTTGAGTCTGTTCGTCCTGATTGCAGACTAGACTAGGAGTTTGCCCGGAAATCTTCTCCGTGCGTACCAGCATGTCACCGTTAACTGCACACGACTCACACATGAAGGCAACATACCTCCAAAGCGCTGATGATATCGTCCACTTCGACAGGTTCAGGAGAATCGTCATCTGTTGGCAGGTACGGTGCACTGACATTCTGGTTGAAGCACATGCTGCCATCACCAAGAACGGGCCGCCGGTTAACAACTGCTGCGTCAATTGCTGTCATCACGACTGCGCTCATTCTATTAACCGGCCAATCAAAGAGTGTGCTTCTGACGGATAGCATCCTGTAACAGTGATTCAGAGAAAGAAGAGTGATTTTCGAGAATTTTAAACAATCAGAAGAGAGATAGAGATAGAGAGACAGAGATTGATAGATAGATAGAGATAGATGGATAGAGAGGGAGAGGGAGAGAGAGAGAGAGAGGATGGAGAGAGAGAGATAGAGATAGATGGATAGAGAGAGAGAGAGAGAGAGAGAGAGAGAGAGAGAGAGAGAGAGAGAGAGAGAGAGAGAGAGAGAGAGGGAGGGAGAGAGAGAGAGAACGTTCATCATCACGCAGAGCGTTGACAGCGTTGCAGTACCCTCCTCCAAGGCCTAGTATTATAGCCGTGAATCTCACGCAATGGTAGTATCATGACTCTGTCTTTTCTGATTCTAGGCTCGTCTTTCTTACCATCTATTTCCAAAAAACTGGGTGCTAGAAATTGCCCTGCACAAGATTATATTCCAAGGGAATGGAAGAGGATTGTGACAGCTTTCTGCAAACAAGTGGCCAACACATGCCAAACATCATACGTTCTATCCATCGATAACAGTTCTGTTACATCTAGCAATGTCAGCAGATATCATTTACTGTAAATCAACAATTTTTGGCAGGTGAGAAACTTTTGCCGATCTCGAAATGAAACTTTCGGCAGTCATTAAAGTTTGCCCGATTGGAGTTTTCAAAAAAGAGATCGATGGGTAGTTGTTGCTCTCACACGCATCCATGGTTCAATTATGCATCAATTGTCTCTACATGACAAAATTGGCCTGCAATAAACTTTGGCCGGTTGGCACAAAGCGGCGAAATCAGCGAAATTAAATCGCCAGCAAAATTTAGTTGATTTACAGTAGAGCATCATTTTAGTTGATGGATATGTGTACGAACTTACTCGGTGGCCACAAAATCGCTGTACAACTTGACCTGGCGCATGATTTCAGCAACCTCCGGCACAACAAGGCGTGTGAAGAATGTGCCTTCAGGAATGCTGAAGCTGATGCTGCTAGTTCCATTACCTTCGATTTCAACATTCTCAAACATTCCTGGAAGTACAAGTCGAATGTTGTTGAGAGGGTTGCATGCTGTTGCGCAAGGTTCTCTGCTATTTCGTTCAAACACAGTGATGTTGAAGCTCCTGACAAAGTCGGTTTCACCGGCTTTTACAGTGTAGTTGTCGCCGAGAGCACTCACACAAACATCCCGCAAAGTAACTCGTCTCAGTCTGCACATAGAAAAATCAAGCGGAGAAACAGCAATCACTTACAAAAAAATATAGAGATAACAACAGAGAACAATATGGAGGAAGAAGGAGACAATAAAAAAATATTTTAATGTGCACTTCATTTCAATATCTCCTTTAGACTATCAAGGGCAAGAGCAGCAGGTATACTTTGCTGTTATGACGAGAGAAGCAAAGTTGCAGTGCCCATAGAACTGGTTTGACACATTCATATTCATCATTTTGCAATGAATTTTCAATGTCCATTCAAAGGTGTTGATGAAATACTGTCGGTTTCTTAGAATATGATAATGTCTATCTCGTTCCTTGGTGGTGCAATACATACCAACAGCGTATCAAGGTCACTACAGACTTCCGAGTACAGTCAGACCTCGCATAACCGCACACATCTGTTTTCCAGAAAAATATCCGGTTAGGCGAGGGAACCGGATAACTGAACACACATACTGGATATATAATATGCATGTGGCATGTCAAAAGCAGTGGCATCGTACATACATGTAGACGGGTCCTATGCAGTGCAACTAGCGTGCACAGTATGTAAAACAAGCGAGAAAAATGACAAGTGCATGCAACTGAGTGCTGTCCACATGCACCCAGCAGGTCAAGGACCTCATTTGCCTGTACAACTCCCTGATTCTAGCTTCTGCAAGGCACATGCAACCGGATACGACGAAGCTTTTTGTACACATTTCAACCAGTTTGTACACAAAATCATGCACCGGTATGCGGATCGCGAGGTCCGGTTATGTTGTATGCATAACATATGCTGCACATCGGTAACCAGCGATTTTCTTCCGGATGGCGAGGGATCCGGATAAACGAGGACCGGATAAACGAGGACCGGATAAGCGAGGTCTGACTGTACCACCTATCATGACTAAGCTCGCACGCACAATTCCGTTTTTGGCATAGGCACAGTTACGTGGAAGGGAAAGATCGCAAAGTTGTAATACTAAAAAGCGGTATGTATAGAGACCTTACCCGGGAGTTGCCATTTGAAGATGAGCAGCCGGGATGATGACAATCGGTATTGTAATTGTGAAACTACTCTCGCTGGTTCCATCAGATCCTACGCATCTCACCGATCGATCCAACTGGCCTGGCACTTCCATTCGTAAATTCTCGTAGCTCATACTACGAACCACCTGCAGGACACACACAGACAAAAACATGCATGGCAAAAATCAGTATTTCGGTGCTTCATCCGTACTTTTATGAAGGCTCACTTTTACACCCTGATGTTGGACCAGGATCCCAAAAATGTGGTGGGACATAATTGATGTGATTTGCAGTGAAGAAGCCGTTGTTGGAGTGCTGGAGTGAGGTTTCAAAAATGTGCAAGTGACTGCGTTGGAGTTTGCGAACAATAAGAAAAGTCCACCAGTGCTTCCGGAAGCGTTCGAAGTCAACTGATGACAGAATACAAGGATTATGTAGGAGTCAATTTGACTGACTTTATCCGCATCCATGGGAACATCACAACCCTCAAAGCGCCAAGCATCGCAGCTGTAAATTGGTAGGGTGGTCGTGGGGGGTGATTCAGAACTAACTAAATCCATGTTTCACTTATGGAAACAATATCCCGATATGCAGGGGTATGTGGGTTTGCAGAACGGCAGAGCTTGAACTGGCTATCCTCTGTTCCTCAGTCATGGTCTCAGACAATCCAACTATGCCTGCCTTTCTCTGATGAAATCATGATTGTATCGTTTTTCCGTCATAGATGAAAAAATCCTAATGCCTCATTTTGTTGGTAATGTGGGGGAAAGTACACAACTAAATGATGCCTGGGTCATGTGCAGTTACGCAAGCATTACGGTCATCCATTACGGTCGGGTGGCATTTAACCTCCAGTTCCATTGGTCACTCCTTGTCAGCCCACGGTGGCGACTATTGTTAGGTAACTTGACGGAATTTGGATGGAATCAGGTGGAATTTACAGGTAATTTGGATGGAATCAGGTGGAATTTACAGGTAATTTGGATGGAATCAGGTGGAATTTACAGGTAATTTGGATGGAATCAGGTGGAATTTACAGGTAATTTGGATGGAATCAGGTGGAATTTACAGGTAATTTGGATGGAATCAGGTGGAATTTACAGGTAATTTGGATGGAATCAGGTGGAATTTACAGGTGCTCGAGGCATGCAACAAAGCAATGAACTGTACAGCTTACAAAACAAAACAAGAAGTCACTTCTTTGCCGTATGATAGCCATTAAAACACTCACCCGCTGGTATTCTGCGACGCTTGCGCCGTTCTCCAGCCTGTAAACTGCGGTGAAAGTGCTGATGTTGACATACGGAGTCACTGTCACACTGGTTCTGGTCGTGTTGAAGAGCAGGAGTTCCATGTTGCCCTCCAGGAAGATGGCGTCGGACAAAGTACAGGTAACTCCGACCAGATTGATATCATCGGGATCTTTGACAACCGTGTTGTTACCAATTGCCAAAGGTGGCTCTGCAACAAACTTCCCAGAAGTGTATGGTCGAGTAGCGGTATCGCTTCCTGGCTCCTAGATAACACAACAGTTCAGCAACGGAAAGCAAGGAAAGGAAAGGAACCTGCGTTTGACTTGGAATGCTTAATCTTCCTCCAGCAGTGAGTGCATGAAAAAATCAAGTGCACAGTGTCGGTAATAACCCGCTTCCCTGCACCCTGCAATGCAAGGCATGTGCTCTATGGGCAAGTGGTCTGTCAGACCAGACTCTGCACATGCATGGAACCTGTCAGTTTGCCGGGACATTAGCCTTTCGCTTTGTATGCCTATTGCCTGTCACAGTCTGTACATATAGTGTTGGTCTCCAGTCTGCAGATCAGACATTGTAATTGGTACACAAACTGCATGTTCATTGTCGCCCTCAAGGCAGGCGGCCACTGATTCTAGCACACTTTCTATACTGAACAAAAGGATTATAACAGTCGTCAAATGCAGGTTGTACAGTGTCGTTCAGTACCGTTGGTCTGCCTCCTCCCTAGTTTCTGTCGCTGTTGATTTTCTAACTCACTACTCGTCAAAATACGGTGTCGAGCCGCATGCTGTGCTTCTGTGCACAGCATGCGCCAGTGCAGGTATGCCTGCACTGGCGCATGCTGTGCACAGTCTAGGAGCGTAAGTCTGGTATTCCGTGTTGTACATCGCACTGTGCTTGGCGACCTGGATCTAATTCCAATCCCCTGGGAAGCAATACAGCGTTGAGGGGGGGGGGGGGGGGGGGGGCACCCGTATTTTACGGCATATACACTACCGGGTATACTGAGGATGTAGCCAGCCTCAAGAAAAATACCCATGGTTATAGCAACAACTTGCCAATAACGCCACTACCCTACCACAGATGCAGTAACCACTTGATTTGCTATTATCAACCTCGCAAATAATGACAACCTGCGAATAATCACACTTTTCTTATGCCTGGTCGACGGTCGTCGTTTGCGAGGTTGACTGTACTTCCAACTGTACGTGACGGAAAATACATTTTGAAATTGCACGCATTGTTTTTACAGTATTGCATGCTGATACGCTTCTGCCCATAGTTTTAACTGGGTGCCTTTTTTCCATGTACATAAAGGACTGAGTGGATAAGCACTGTACATTACACAGCTTCAATAGTAAATGCAGAAGATATGCTACCTTGGTGGTAGAACAAGATGAATGCAACTGAATATCACAATGTAAAAAGCCGTTCCATGACCCTTGACTTAGCACCTACAAAACTTACAGCTTGTAACTTGGGCGGGTTATTGAATGGGCAGATGCACAAAGTCAGGACAAGCGCAGCACCGGCCGCGCCGAAAGTGTCATACGCTTTGATTGTAATTTCCCGTGGGTCAATCACAAGACCAGGGTTGTTGTTGCTGAAAAAGAGGCCAAATTGTGCCGAAATGATATCGGCAGAGACTGGCGTCGTAAAGTTGACAATAAGCTCCCCTGTTTGTTTGTTGTAAGTGACAGTCGGGTCTCCATCAATGAAGTCCACTGTCAAATTGAGCCTGTCTCCTACATCAAGATTTGCAGTTATCTTTGCTTTGAGAACGGAGACATCGTCCCCTTCAGGATCATTGACCATCACAGGTTCGGAGTTGGGTTCCCAAAAGCCAGTGGTACGAACTACACGAACGCTGTTGCCCGGGTTCTCAAAGAATGTAGCTTGGCATGGTCCTGGTGTATCCAGACGAGTTACAGAAGGGCCATCATTGACCGGAATGATTGCAATTTCCGTATCAAATACACCGCTTCCACTGGCCCCAGAGTCATCGCCAGATTGAACATTGGAAAAATCGGAGGCAGCATTCATTTCGCAACTTTCCGCTTCAACAAGTTGGAAGTCCTAAAAGAAAAAAGAAAAAACACAAATATTTTAGTTATTTTGCTTTATTCCCTATAATTAGCCCATGATGAGAAGGGAGCGAAAACGTTTGGTTCAGAAAATCCTCAATTTGCTCCACTACGCTGGTGTAGACGGCGTAAAGATGCATGACTATTGCACTATTCTAAGAATTGGAACGCTTCCAATTTTGTTCTAGAAAAACATAAGCCAAGACTTGTCTCAATATAACTTTTTTTTACCAAAGAAAATAATATCATACACTGCGCAAACATCCGAGGCTAGAAAAAAGGTAGTGAAATTCTGATCACTGAACACATCCATCAAGCAGTAATGTGCATAGCTCCACGGTGTAGTAT